CAGAGCTAATAATAAGCTTTAATACTTTTGTGATCCTGACAATATCTCAGTTGCATTGTGATTAGCTATTGACAGTGTTAACATCACCTCTGCATGGAAAGCTTCAATATTTTACAATATGTTGTCCTTTCCTCCCTTAATCTCTCTTTCTCTCTCTCTTTCTTGCATACATATATATATATATATATATATATATATATATATATATATATATATATATATATATATATATATATATATATATATATATATATATATATATATATATATATATATATATATATATATATATATATATATATATATATATATATATATATATATATATATATATATATATATATATATATATATATATATATATATATATATATATATATATAAAAACAAAGAAATAATACCCGCACGTTCTGTTTCGTGTTTCTACATTCTCGGTACCCGCCAGAACCGGAATTCCCACTTCTGCGGGTGCATCTACTCATATCGGGGGAGCGAGCGGCGGGCAGAGTGCGCCTGAAATCGCGCCAGTCATCAAAACATTACAGTTCTTCACCACACAGCGGCCCAAGTCAGTGATAGTGAGGATATGGACTTTGAGGGTTTTACAAAGGCCCTGCAAGCCTCTGTGGTGGATAGTAAGACAATTGATACAAGTGATACAGGTGAGGGCCAATAATCTGCCCTCCGCCCCGGAACAACCCCATCCCGTGTGCCCAGCCATCTTTTCTACTAATGTAAGTGTTAAAAACCTAATATTATTGATATTTCTCTTAATTATTAATTGTGTGTGCATACCATCATAAAATTAAAGTTATTTTTACTAGCGTAGGTATTGTGTCTGAAAAAGTGGAGTTTGGGGAATTGGCCCAGCCTCTATTTCAATTAATCCCATATGTTCTGTTGTTCACTTCAGCGTTTCCCACTTCTGCGGGCCTCCGTGGGTTCAATTGACCCGTAAAGCGGGGTTACAAAATAAATATATATATATATATATATATATATATATATATATATATATATATATATATATATATATATATATATATATATATATATATATATATATATATATATATATATATATATATATATCTGAGTCATAATAACCTCTTCTACCAAGTAGTCATAATAACCTCTTCTACCAAGTACATCCATAATTAATCAGCAGAAATCAGTAACATGACAACTGTATGCTGCACACACTCAGACACCCCTACCACCTCCTACCACCCAACCCCCTATTACCAGATGATGGACTTTCCCCAGCTGTACATATTTTCTCTCACCCAGTAAGTGTGAGTTTACAGGGAAGATGATACAGGTAAACCTCAATAAATGATGGGGTTAGGTTCCTGAAATCCCATCGCCAAGTGAATTATCGTAGATAGGGAGCATTATAACATAGGGTTCAATGGGATACGTTCCCAGCCAGTCCCCAAACACACATGTTTCACTGACAAAAAAATTGCTACACCTATAAATTCAATAGAAAACAATTAAACAATACTCACCACATCATGAAGAATGAGCCGGGTCATCATCACATGACCCCTTCGAGGCTTAGGGGACTCTTGTAGGTGGAGTGGAAACATCACTCTGACTCCCACACAGCCTCTGGGGAGTCTCATGCCACTTCACAATGTCAAGCTTCACCTCTGAGACATGGTTGTCTTGGATACCTTGACCTTCCCAGACATTTTCAAAGTTACACTGCTCACTTCAGTCACAAAAAAGAGCAAAAGCACTAATCATAAAAACAGAGTGAACAATGACAACGTAAAGACAATCATAGTGGCCGACACTGCTCACATCAAATTCACAAGAACAGAGGCGAAGCACTTTAGTCACAAAACAACAGAAAATATCACTTCACAGTCACCATAACACAGTTCAATCTAAATGTTAGTGCTGTCCTCTCACTATACAGAAAAAAAAAATGATAAGCACAATGTACATACAGCCAACGATGCTGAACGATAATCAATGCAGGGAGTTACGATTGACAAAGGACCAAGCGCAGGACTACCCGGTATAGTGCGTGGGTTGGCCGTGTGGCGGTGTGCGGGTAGATATTACCACGGCTGACAAGTGCAACCAGAGATGTGTTACCTTTGGTGGTGTATCGGGTTAAATATTGTTTCCTTATAAAATATCACTGACTTGTCATAGAAAAATATAATTTGCATTGCTGGAATCCTTACAAGACAGTGATTAATTTGAATACAGTATATACAACCCATAGTTTGCATTAGAGATAAAAAAATTCCAACCAATGGATATCGATGGATATTCGATTGATATCATTAAAGCAAATTTTTTTAAATATATATAGCAAGAGGGTCTTAATTCATGACCATCGTTAAAGCGGAATATCGTTGAACAAGACATCGTTTATCGAGGTTTACCTGTACGGTGATTAAGGGTGCCACAGTTCCACTGACGGCAAACAATGTTAAGGAAAATACTTAAAACATGAACATAATATGACCAACTATATAGCAGACTCCTAAACATAAAAGAATGAGGGCCTAACTCTTCTTCCTCAGTTACAATAATCCAACTCACTCCTTACCTACTTAGTGATCCAACTCTCCTTGACTATTTATGATGACTAAGTCCAAGTCTCCTTGCCTAGTTAGGGTAATCTGGTGCCTTTGCCTAGTTACAAATTCCTGAACCTGTCCTTGCTTAGTAGAAAGGTCTGAATCTTCTTGCTTAGTTAGGATTACCTTGTCTGCCACAGGGTAGTGGTGATAAAACTGGGTACGAAAAATCAGATGTAATGCAGTGACAGGGATTAAGGATTATTTATGGAAAGATAATATTAGGCGGAATACAGGGAGAAAGTCAGTTAATCCCTTCACCGTGGGGATGCCAATTTTAATGTCTTTTGGCTGATGCCAGATAATATTTTATTTGGTAAAAGCCAGACAATTTTATACAGCGAAGAGGCAACCCCATACACAAGGGGTTAAGAGTAGCATGAATATTGATTTAGAATTTTTTTGAGAAATTCAGTAGCAAAGGACTGCATAATTCATGTGCCTGGGCAATTTACAAAGCTGATATTCAACGTTCCCTGAATGATTAAATTATCTAACATCACATAATTTACTTATACGAGAGCATAATATGCAGTATGACAGAACAGGGCCTCTGTAAAGAATAAGAATTATATGTAAGAAGTAACAGTCGACTTAGTGGCCAGTTAAAGGTTCAATTTTGAGTCAGATCAAGATGAAACATTGCTAAATAGATGTGTCATGTTTATGCTGATGAGAGGCTATAACTAGTAAAGAAAGTAACATTTATTACAGTTGGTAGTGTTTTGAATTTCAAATCCCTGAGATATAAGGGAAATCCTGACTCCTGACTCAACACATGAGTTCAATCCAAGCTCCCAATCCGTGAGACACGAGTTTGATTCAGCTCTCAACCTAGGATTAAGGAGTATGGTCCAAATTCCCAACCCAACCAAGCAGAGTTCCAAAGGTGTTATTATAAATAGTGTGTACAAAGTCAATTACCCAGGTATGCCTGCCTCCAAACTAAGCTGACCCTTCTCACACTGGGGTGGTTACCATGTTACAGAACTATAGGAGATGATATGATATGAAGTATTACTACAGCACAGTAGTGTACGGGTACTTACAAATTAAGTGGTAGCTAATGGTGGAAACTAGTAAAATAAATATAAATGATAGAAGGCAAGTAGACAAGTAAAAAATGAAGTGTTAAAGTAATAACACTCAATTGCACTTAGAAACCTACAGTATTTGTGAAATATGACTGGACATAAAATTGAAGTTTACAATATAGAAAAAAAAATGAGAGATCATCAGGAAAGACATGGAAGTAGAAATTTCAAGAGCATTGTAAAAGCTGCAAACAAACTGAGAGAAAAAATCCATAAAGTCTGGAATGGCAGAAGCATTGCAAGTAGCTAAGGTGTATTTCATAAAAAGTATGTTTTTTTTTTAAGTCTCTCAGGGTTTCATATACATTTCACATAATATATATATAAACGTTTTATGAATGAATACCCTGAGAGTTAAGTTCATAGACTTGACATCATAAAGGCTGATAAGATATGTGAGGGATTTGTGGCACTGCAAAGAGTAATGAGATTTTTTAATTAACTTTACTGGATGAAAGAAGCAGTAGGGTGGTATGGGTGCTACAGTATGTACATAAAAAAAAAATATCAAAGGGCATATCTGTGTAAAGTGGACGATGATGTAAAGAGAAAGAATAGAAAAGGATTGTGTGGAAAACCTAAAAATTTTATCAGAGCATGAAAGACTGAGCAAAATTCTCATGTCTTACAAAAGGATTAAAATAAACATATACAGTATTACCCCGCTTTACGCGATTTCTCATTTACGCGGTGCCTCGCCAGAACCGAACTTTCACTTTCCGCGGTGCATCTACTCATATACACGGGAAGCGGCGCGGGCAGAATGCGCACAAGGTCGCCCAGTCATCAAAACATTACCGAGTTCTTCACCCGCCACCCACCACAGCCGGCCTAAGTCAGTGATAGTGATAGTGAGGATATGGACTTATATGGACTTTGAGGGGTTTGACAAAGAGGCCCTGCAAGCCTATGTGGTGGATAGTGATACAATTGATACAAGTGATACAGGTGAGGGCCAATAATCTGCCCTCTGCCTCGGAACCAACCCCCCCCATCCCCGTGTGCCCAGCCATCTTTTCTACTAATGTAAATGTTAAAAAAACTAATATTATTGATATTTCTCTTAATTATTAATTGTGTGTGCATACCATCATAAAATTAAGATGTAATTTTTACTACAACGTAGGTATTGTGTCTGAAAAAGTGGAGTTCGGGGGTCGGGCCAGTCTCTATTGGAATTAATCCCATATGTTCTGTTGTTCACTTTACGCGGTTTTCACTTTCCGCGGTACCCCATGGGTTCAATTGACCGCGTAAATCGGGGTACTACTGTATATTGTAGTATAAAATAAAATGACCATTATTCACGGCTTTCAACATCTTTATCTCAGGAGATACTTTGAAGTAATCAAGAGGTAATTCTCTACAATGGCTCTGTTTAGGGGCTAATATCTAACATTTCACCTGTTGACTGTGACAAATTTAAAAGTGCTTGGCATCAATCCATATTGAAGCCCTACTTAATACTGTACAATGACTTGGTATGTAATGCACTAAATAAAACAATGTGATATAAAAAAGATTTCCAGTAACTGAATAAATAATGTCGATGAAACTCTTGCATGTTTTGAATAACTTGCTGCATATGTAGTTAGTGATGTGTTCATAGAGTTCTTTCCACACCGAATAATTTATTAATAAGTACAAATAATCAAAAAAGTATCTATGCACATTATGTCTGATGTTTTTCTAAATGATCAATACACCTGTACCGCAACATAACCACCAACACGAACCATATTATATATTGTTCACTAGATTAATCTATTTTCTTATGAATGTGCATATAATAACAATACTTACTAAGGATAAAACAAGCAAAATATGGCATTTTGCAAAATCCACCGTCTGTGATGTCAGATTGTTTCACACGAAATGTGCACATACCTTTTGGATTGTGTGCACATAAATGCTTTGTGGGAGAAAAAAGTAATGTAAACATGTAATCACATTCCTTTTCCCACTAACCATCAGGTTCATTAAACATTATGTTCTCTACACATTCCTTACACTCCACACAATAAGTTAACTACACACATATTAAACATCAAGTATGTTCTCCACACGTCCTTAAAGGCATCATACAGTGTGTTCTCCATTTATCTCTTACACACTGTTTACATTTCCACCATCTGGTCTTCTGTTCCCCTGCAAAAATATTAGATGTATCATTTTCATTTGTCTTCAACATCAATGTTTTTTAACATGTTACTCCTATACCCTACATACACCATATTGCTTTAAGTCTTATCATATCCATTATCTTCTCTTCTTTACCCAATCAAATTTTTCATCACACACTAAACCACACTTAGTTGAATTTCTTTATTGGCATTTCCATACCAGTCTATACTGTACAGTACTTACTTATTCATATAATTTAATGATTATAACCACTTGCTCCTATTAGAATGAAGTTTTATATGTGAGTTAATATTTAGATTCTTACAGGTCTTTGTGGCATCTCATCAGAAAGTTTCACCTATGCAGGATTTTTTAGGATTTATTGAGCTTACTTCCTGAATGAAGGGAGAGCCTATGTTTGCTTTTGATTCTGGACATCCTACACTACAGTAAGAACAGTCTTGAAAACAGAAAACCTATCTGTGCCACATTTCCAATCAGAACTTTAGTAACATCCTATTCAATCTCATATTCCCTCATCATTAAGAGCTTCCAAATTTTAATGTTAAAGTATACTTAGTCCTAATTAATTTCATTGTTCCTTCCTCAATTTTGGCTTTTCAAATTTTGATGTTTCCTCAATTATTAAAATATTCAAAAGTGTTGTGTGAACATGAAACACACTGCTGCTTACATTTTAACTATAAAATTAATCGGATAAGGGTTCACGAAAATACAACTAATTATAATTACATTTGTTAATGACAATGACACACTACTGTACAATGTTATTATGAGTAAAATGCTGGTAAAAGGAATATGCTCTTTTGCAATTCATGCAGACAAGCTAAAATTTACTTTTAACAAATGAAATGACAAGGATATCTATAGCATAAGCACCACAACCCATGCTACCTGTGGGAGATGTAGATAAGATCTACACATACACATCTCGCCAATACCCTATCACTGTTTGCACAGCACTACTCAAAACCCAGCTTGTGCACTGCAGGTACAAACCATCTGGTAACTGTCATTTATCTTAACAAAAATGAAACAAAGAAAAACTAAATTCCAATTTAAAATGTTCTTAACAATATCCTATAATATTTTACTATGAGGAAAATGAACTCTCAAAAGTAAACATATGGCTGTACTGAACTAGAAAAACATTAAAAACTTTATGTGGTCTAAAGCTACATAATTCATAATTATCTAACTGGGTATGCTGTAAGTTCTTATATACGCAGATATATACAGAAATTTAATCAACGAAAAATTGGTAATGTTAACAAATACATAAAGCCACTGAAAATAATTTAGTTACTCAGTACTGCATGTGATTTTGTTGCAAATTATCACTGGCAGGCATAGCCAGATGTTATCAAGTCACTGCTACTAGCTTTCAGCTATTATTTGCATTTAGGAATGACAGCATGTCATACAGAAAACTCTGGTATTTTATCTAGGAATGACAAAAGAAATTCATAAACACCCACAGTAGACCCACTCAATCAAAAGAGTAACCTTGACCTTTGACCATGACCCCTCCACCCACCCCCCCACAATTTTTTTTAAATATACAGTACTATGAAACAAAATAAATAAATAAATTTTCCATCCAATATTTTAAGACAAAATTAAACAGCCTCTTAACTGTGTCAGGGAAATTCACAGGCCATGCCAGTACAGTATGTATTGTACTACTGTACCTGTACTGTATTCCTGTACAGGTAACTGAGACAATGACTTTCAAATATTCTCCCGTGATTATTAACATAATATTCTAATTTATTTCATAGCAGATATATTGTTATACATCTAAATTACTATTCTGCATAAAAAGATTCCAATACTCTGTAATACCCATGTTACTTTTTGTGGTATGTTCTGAAGGAATTTGATGTAAAAATGACTACTCGAAATAAACATTTTCTCTCAATAAAAAAAATTCTTCCTTGAGTTATATATTTACATGGTGTGCTGTCTAAGTACTCCTTCTTATCTTATACATTTCAATAAATATGATTTATATTATAATTATGTCGCGATAAGTGTTTTTGTATGATGTTCCCAAAATGGGAACGTTGGACACATCCGTAGTCTGCCTACCCTTATTTACTCATCAACGTGAATGAGCATGTCTGGTTTGTTGGGTTGTCCGGTGGCTGACACAACAAGTTCAAACAAGTAGGCTATGTATGAAACACAGTGATGTTTAGTCGCAGACTTGCAGTCGGCGTTGAGACACTGTTCTGTTAAGACAACGGCATCACGGATAGATCACTCACGCATGGATACCGGACATTTTTATGGGTGAGTGGTTGTTTGTTTCATCTTGCTTTTTTTCATATATTCTTGAATAGGTAAACATTTATTTATTCATTCATTTTATAATTGAAGATGCAATACGTTAGCTGTAACAATGATGCACATCGTAATGGAAGGTCGGTAATATTAGCAAAGTGAATATATAATAATTAGGTTGTTTCTTTTTTTTCAGCTCTGGTGGCCTAAGACGTAGATATCGATTTTTACGTGATGCTACTGAGGCAGTAACTCAATCAAATTCTGAGGATGTTGATATTGTCATTCTTCCACCTTCTACAGGCGATCAAGCTATCGAAAGTGATGAAGAGACTGAAGATGACGCACTTGATCAGGATTATGTGCCGGAGGAAGTTAGCGGAGAGCTTGAAGTCCATGACAATACCGCTGAGGATGAAGAAGAAAGCAACGGCAACATAGAAGCCGGGGCAAGAGGAAGATGGCGTAAAAAGGAAAATGTCTCGTTTGGTCCTCACTCAATTCCTCCAAGTGTTACTGATGTGCATTTAGGAAAGGAAATGTTTGAAATTTTCAAACTTTTCTTCACAGATGAAATCATAAGTCACCTAACAGAACAAACAAATTTGTATGCTCATCGAGAGAAAAACAACAAAGACTTCTGTGTTGATGAGAATGACATGATGAAGTTTTTGGGACTTCTCTTGATCAGTGGATATCACAGTGTTCCCTCTGAAAATGACTACTGGTCATCAAGTGAAGACTTGGAAATACCAATATTCGCCAAGACTATGTGCAGAGAAAGGTTCAAATCCATCAAGAGGTACTTTCATGTGGCTGATAATAACAATTTGGAAAATTCAAAGGTGGCCAAGATTCTGCCCCTCCTTCACATGCTGAGAAATAATTGTCAAAAACATGGAATTTTTCATGAATTTCTCAGCATTGACGAATCACGAATCAATGATCCCGTACCTCGGACAAAACAGCGCCAAACAGTTCATCAGAAACAAACCTGTTAGGTTTGGTTACAAGATGTGGATGATGTGCAGTGCTGACGGTTATCCTTATAATTTTTCTATTTATTGTGGAAAAGATAAAAGCAAGAAGGAGCTTTTAGGCTATCAAGTTGTCATGGACATGCTACAGCCAGTGGTGAATAAAGATGAACATGTTGTATTTTTCGACAACTTTTTCACTAGTCACGCATTGATGATTGACCTTACAAGCAATGGGTTTAGAGCCTGTGGAACAATCAGAGATAACTGCACAGGAAAGTGCCCTCTTCTATCAAAGAAAGAACTTGAAAAAAAAGAAAGAGGTTCATACGACTACAGATCGGATGATTCCGTCCTATGTTCTAGATGGAATGATAACAGCATTGTTACAGTAGCTAGCAACTACTATGGAGTCAGTCCTATGCAAAAAGTAAACAGATGGGTAAAAAATGAAGGAAGGAAGGCAATAAACCAGCCACATATGATAAAAATGTATAACAAAGGAATGGGTGGTGTAGATGTTTGTGACCAGATGCTGTCAACCTACAGGCCAAGACTACGCTCCAAGAAATGGTGGTGGAATATTTGGTCTCATCTACTGAACCTCTCCATTGTAGCTAGTTTCAGATTCTACCAGCATGTAAATCCTGGCTCTCAGATCAGCCATAAGGATTTCAGGCGTGAAATAGCTCGCACACTTGCAAGAATCGAAACACCAAGAAAACGAGAAGGTGGTCCAACATCCTCTGTACCAAAAGCAATAAGATATGATAATGTAAACCACTTTCTTCAGGAGTTTTCACAAGGTAGATGCTATGTATGCAAGAAAAACACACGTCTGAAGTGCATCAAGTGCGAGAAAAGACTTCACAAGGCGTGCAGTATCAACTTCCATAAGAAATGATTGTCAAACTACTTTTCAGAATTTGAGTGTAATTGCTTATTTTGATAATACTGATTATATATATATATATATATATATATATATATATATATATATATATATATATATATATATATATATATATATATATATATATATATATATATATATATATATATGATAATATCATGAATGTACTCCGGAAGTGTCCAACGTTCCCATTTTGGGAACATACTCAAAATACAAAAATAAACCAGAAAGGGAAAAAAGAGTTTTATTTTCATTCAGTGGATTCATACGAAATACTTCCGAAAGTTGTGGCTCTATACCTAAACTTTATAAGGCTACGGTCACTTAAACTCAAAATTTGTCCACAAAGTATTAGTGAACAAAAAATTTCTAGAAATTAGGTTTAAACAGAATCACAATGAACTTTTAATTTAGTCAAATCAATCATACTGTAATTTCTTGTATTCAGTTGGTTAGCAAACACCTTCAAAATTATTTCTTCATAATGAGTATAGAATTTTCCAAATAAATGAGGATAATTCAATCTACAGCTACCAACAATAAAGGGACAGATCCAGGGGGGTCCTGGGGGGGGTCTGGACCCTCCTTTTCATCAGAAAATTCCCATATTTTTTCTTAATGCAGTACAGTATTGTACTCAGACATTTTTTGTATAGTAAAAAGTAATTTCTATTGACCTTGGAATATCTCCTAATATCAAGTGCACATGGTCTCAAAATGCCCATGATATTAGTCAGATTTCAAAAAAATTTCAGAGGGGGCTTACAGCGACCCCCCAAAACACCCCAGCTGGGTGGGCTCACTGTGCTTGCCATGTCCCCCCACCCACAACTTCTTGACACCCCCCCCCACCCCTTTGATATTCCTGGATCCACCCCTGCAATTGTACAATATATGTATTATGATGCAAAATGTAAAAGTGTATCAAGCACACTACACAAAGGTTGTAAAAAAAATAAGCTTACTTACAAAATAAAAAGACTGATGAAAGGCAAAGATGCAACTAAAAACAATATGTGATAACACCTGATACAAAGAGTGGAGCCACACCAAACACAAAAAGATGGATCACTCAATAAGTCAAGTCAATACAACAGTAATCTCATGTCCTTCACTGTACACCCTTTATAAGTACAGTACAGTATACTGTTTACCAATAAATATTTTGAGTCCTTCAAGTTTGTTAACACAGGTATCAGCCACACTGAAAAAGAAAAAAGAGCAATGTTTTCAGTGACATAATACAGTATACAGTACTGTGTATACCTCTAAGTATGAAATAAGCGACTAAAAATTGGTTATACAGTAAGTAGCATCAATAAAAGCTGGTAAAGTTCTCTGTCAGTGATTCAGTCAAAAATGGTGACTACAGAAGAGACTAATGCAGCTTAAAAGTCGTAAAATAGCAGCACTGCACACCAGGAGGATAGACTTAAAAGAAAGAGTAAACAGATCATGGAGGCTGGCAGTGTATTTCACATTATGGTAAATGTTTGGTTTCATAATAGGTAAACTGGCCTACCATAAATGGAGCCAGTGATTTTCCAGATTAAGAACACCACTATGAACTATTAAACCCATTTCATAAAAAACATTAACTTTTCCCTTAATCAAATTAATTGGTTAATAGAGAATTTTGGTTACTCAAGAATGCTCTCTAAGCTGGACAGTTTCCAGTTACTCAAGCAACTTTCTGGAGTCTAATTATACATCTATCAAAAATAAACTCAAGCTAAGGGCCCAATAGGACCTGGGGTTCTGGGTTCCACTGAGCCTCATGTACAATGGAACATGAAGATTTAACCCTCATCTCAATGTGCCAATAAGAATCAAGGCATTAGGACTTTTTGCCCAATTGTTACCAGCTGGAATGATCAGTTTGTTTGAAGGTATTAGTGGTGCATTTCAAAGGTGATTTCATGACAACTTCATGAAATTTAGGAATTACTTTTTATCAAAGTTGAGAGCTAAACGATATTGGTCTGAAAAAAATTTTTCCCCATTATTTGCCATCTTGGAATTTCCAGTAAACAAGTCTCAGACCTGCTGAACCTAACAACAAATCCAAAGGGAAAAGGGAAGGATCCAACTCCAAGCCTCCTGTTTTCTGCTCAGCAATAAAGGGGGATTTCCAGAATCAATCTTCATTTGAAGCCTCAACTCAATCCAAGGAGACTTGTGTATCTAAAGCCAGCTAAATACATTACCTGTACAGTTTTCCCCTACCAACTGAAGGGGTTACATTCTAGAATTCTAATATGGTTAACAAAACTGTGGTTGGCAAGGGCTGGGTCTAATGGGAAATAAGGGGTCATGACTCCTGAGACATACCTAAATTCCTATAATACTGGTGTGCATTACTATATGTTACCTTTCTATACACTGTTTCACTTGTAAATTGTTGATGAATTGAGAAAGAGAAAAAATAAATAAATAAATTTAAAAGCGGAATAAAATTAATAATATACACACACAACCATGGTGGACTACTTTGGGTAACCTTAGAATACCATACACATTGCCGCCACATTTGCTTAATCTCATGTTTACATTGAGTAAAACCTTACCAAATACCTGTAAAATGAATAGAAAATGCCCAGCAAGTGATATTTGTGCCTCTGATAAGCAAATACTGTGTCAAAGAAATATATTAATATTTAGAGGTTATAGGTATCCCTCGTTAAACGTTATTTCAGTTCACTTTAATTTTTTTACACCCTTTTTCATTTAATGTTTTGTCAAAATTCAGTTTAGCAATACTGTAGCTTGACTCACTGGGAAGGGGTAAAAACTGGGAATGAAGTGGCCTGTGAGATGGCATGTTGTTATTTTTACATGCAATGAAACTAAAATAGTTGTGGAATAATTATTAAAATAATGTACTCAAATGTGGCTTAGAAATAGAATAAATAAATAAAATATAAAATAAAACTATCAAATAAGAATAAAAGAGCATGTGAGTGTATGTGTGTGAAGTGAATGTCTGTGTGGACTCATGAGGCAATGGGCTGCAACTGCATAGCCAACTCGCCACCCACCTTTTTTTTTTTTTGGAGGTTTATTATGGAGTTTTTTTGTCATTAGCACCTGAACCCATTTTTCCCATATGCCATACAGTGATTTTCAAGGAACCTAGCTCATTTGTATAGCAAGGTATATCTGTACCTGTATACAGCTCAAGGTTAACACTAAGTGCCCCTGTACAGGGTGTATGCTATATTTTCTTTAAATATATTACAATGTCCTGTATAAAAATACTGTACAATCTGTACAATACACAATACAGTACAAGTATCAAAAAAGAAAAGAAAAGTGTAATATAGCAGTCTTCTGACATTACAGTACAAGCCTGGCCTTGATGTTCCCTAACAAAGCTGCTCCTTGCTGTGTACCTCCCCACCTTTGTATCATATCCTCAATCTGCACAAAGCACTTTCTCTACATTTTTTTTTAGCAAAGATCATGGGGCACATAAGTCACTTTTGCACTACCTGTTACACAAGTCCTAATGTACTTTTATTTTTCTTTATAGTTCTCACAGTTGACTCATTAAATGGGTGGATGCAACATTTTCCTTTGATGCAAGTTGATTAACGGCCTTGGGTGACGTTCCAGAACGTCCGCTTAGCGCACCCCAGGTGACATTCCAGAACGTCCGCCTATTTTCCCGCCAATTTTTTATTTTTTTTATTTATTTATTTTGTTTTGGAAAATTTTATTTTTTTCACGATTTAAACCCACGGGGGGGTGGGTTTACTGCCAGCAGCACCCTAACCCGGGGCTTAAGGGTTAACCAATTCCACTCTCTGAGCCAGTGAATTTACTTTCCTCATCCTCTTTGGAGTAAAACCACTTGCATCACTAGATATTTGCTTTAAGGCCATATTTCAAGGGGGAAAAAAGTCAATTTATTACAAGTTTGTTAACAGCAGTGTCACAGGGATATTCATGGGGGTGAGTCTCAGTCCCTATCAGAAGGGAGCAGCATACTGACCCACTGGGCAGGATATTACACCTGTACGAACATTCAAAGCAAACATTAAATTAAAAAATTTGTTGTGTAGAAAGCAGCAGGATATTTTCTTTTTGTATATATAGTGCTGTAACAAGGGAGATGCACAGGAAGGCCCATTTGAAGTCATTTCTAAGATGCATAAGCCCCTGGCATTGAAAAACCTTACATTTTATCCAAACAGAAACAGTGAAAAGGAAAACAAAAAAAATCAGCAAGCTATCAGCTAATTCCCAACTGACTTGGAATTTAGCCTTACAAAACTGCAAGATTAAAATAAATGGAATCTTACAGGTGAATCAACAGATTTCCCAGGAACCCACTACAGTATAATACGATATGATCAACCTAAGAAGAAATTTCCTCAATCAAGCCAAGAGGAAAGGCAGATTTCCTCTTGGAGAATCAATAAAGTTTAAGCCTAATTATAGATGGTCCTGTACCTGCATTTAATCCAGAAAACAGAACTTTACCAAAGGGAATCTTTGCAGTTGAGAAAAAAATTCCAGTTCTCCATTTTTGACAGGTGAGGTGCAGGGTAGACTTGACACATCAGACTCTCAACATCCAAACATTTAAGTCCAGAATCTGACAAATACAATTCAGAGTATATAACTAAAAAAAAAACCTTTTCCTCTGATAGAACAAAATGTAGAAGAGTAGAAGCCCGCTTAGAAATGGAACCAGACACCAATTCCAAGACTGGAATTTCATCAATAAAAGCCTTAAAATGTCCCACAATTTCCCCAAATGGTATGTGCAATAAATGTGTCACAAATGGCTACATTCTGGAATAGGGAAAGAATTCAGGAAAGAGGGATTCTTTCCATACCACTATTTCTGAATTACCAAGATGATGGGGAGACCCTAAATCCAGTTCTTCAATGAGTTTTCTGGACTGGTTCACCCTTGATAGATCAGAGAACACTTTCCATAAACTAAGGAATCAACATGTCAGGGTGTAGTCATGCCTCCTCAATACTGCTCTTCTATATCATAACCCCCCACATAAACCTTCATATAGCAACAAATGTAGGAAGTAAGTCAAATGACTTTACTCACCATACCCCCTTTATGTTAACTATCTTTACTTCCTTGATTACTGATTAACAACCCACATTAAAGACTGAAGCTGCCAAATTCACTCCAGACTTGGAGACTTCCTCAACATCAACACAACTACTCCAGGTGTGCAGTTTGTCTCAGGACCACAGGTAAGTCAATCTCCTCCCAAGGCCCAAGGAGCTCAGGAGGAAAATGAGTCTCTTCACTTCTAATTTCCCCAGATTAAGGAACCGCTTCTCATAATATTGATGCAGAGGTCTAAAATCAGGCACTTAAACATAAAGCTTTTTTTTTTTTTAACATAGGAGGTACCACCAGAATCTGCTGCATAAAACACTAAAAACCTATCACAAGACTGACCATATAAAAGGTGAAAAATACCACAACAGACAATTCACAAATAGAACACATTTTGACAATGCAAGTCAAATAACCCACAGGAATTCACAATGCAAAGGGAACCAGTAAATAGCTATTATGATTTAATGAGAACAATACAATAATAACCTGCAGACAACTTTAACCATTAGCTTTTTGCTCTGGGGAAAATTGTCTGGTGAGGGCATAACTCAGTACAGTGGTCCCTCGATTAACGAGCACCTCGGTTAACGAGATTTCGGTTAACGAGTTACCTTCCATAAGATTTTTAACTTCGGTTAACGAGCAATCCCTCGATTAACGAGTTTCTTACGAGCCGACCTCCACATGTTTTAGCTTGCATTTAGCGGTCCACCATCTGTAGTATTAGTCCGCCAATACAGTAATCGGTTCTAGGGCTTAAATTCCTTACCCTTTTAGTAAATATCAAGAAGTTTATACTATTCAATCATTTTAAAAGTTTAATATTAAATTTTTTAGTCATTTTAACAATTTTTGAACATAATTGAAGGTAGGGTCACTAGTTTGTGGCACGCCATCCAGCCTGCCAACACAGCATACAGGCGTCAGTCTTTGTGTCTTTTCAGTGGAGGTAACATCTTGCTTGAGACTCTCTTCAACTAAACGCTTTTTTCTGTGTTTGCAAGCAAATTATTGGTCATTTTGAAATTTATTTTACATATTGACAATATATAATGCAGTGCAGTGTTGATTTAAAGAAAATAATCTTGAATTACACCAAGAGAACTAAAATTTTATGGGTGAAATGGCACCATGGGGTGACTTCTCTTCAACCCCAATGCCTTCTCTTCTCCCTTCTCCTCCACCCCCATTCTAATTCCCATCATCATCATCCAGGAGCCTTCTACATACACACCTCAAAGTAAGTGTACTTTTCTACCTTTTTTGTTGAATTTAGGCAATTTTCGGTGAGCTGGAACCAATTACCCAAAAACCCATTGAAACAATGGTTTTGGTTAACGAGTTTTTCGGTTAACGAACAACCTTCTAAAACAGATTGTGCTCGTTAACCGAGGGACCACTGTACAGTAAAACCTTGCTAACACGACACCTATGGGGCTCTGACTTTGCTGAATTATCCCAAATTCCCAATTATCAAGGCACCCCCTTACAATAAAACAATATTAAAATATAATCAGCCCATGTACATGCAATTACTAATTTTCAAAAAGAAACACTTACTATAGTGCATTTTTTCCCATTTGAGAAGAGATGCCCCGCCCCCTCCTCAAGAGTTGCAGCTGATTGGCTGTTGCAAATCAGTCCGATTTCGTTCTGAAGTAATGATGTACTGTACTTCTAAATGAGTTTTATTCATAATCGTTGGGATGACCGTTTCTGACGAGAAAAACATTTAGCTAAATTATATAAAGATACTGTACATACATTCATTATTTCAAACATGAGCATGTAGGAAGTTTATCAGAAATCTTATATATGAATTAACTGTTAAACTCTAGTAGGAAATTCACGCTTTCGGAGGACGCATTTAATATATACTGTATACTTATTTTTATCCACAATAAGGCATACTAAGACAAATTATGTGTCAGTAATACAACATTATGCAAAAACTAACATTTTAAAAGATCAGAATCACATTGAAATATTGCAATGCCTCTGAAAGTTGGTGGACGAGATGAGTGTGACTGACTGGGGAGCTTGGCAGCTGAGCCTTCAGCAGAGGCGGGAAATATGAAGTTGTTCACAGTCATTACCCGCCTCTGCTGACAGCTGGGTAATATTTCAATGCGATTCTCATCCTTTAAAATGTTAAGCTTTTGCATAATGTGGTATTACTGATATGTAATTTGTCTTAGTATGCTTTATTGTGGGTAAAAATAAGTATAAATTAAATGCGTCCTCCAAAAGCGTGAAATTGCTACCAGAGTTTAACAGGTAATTCATGAATAAGATTTCTGATAAACTTCCTACATGCTCATGTTTGAAATAATGAATGTATTATTAGTATCTTTATATAATTTAGCTAAATATCTTTCTTGTCAGAAACGGTCATCAAAACAATTATGAATAAACTCATGTAGAAGTACAGTTGTAATCCGCTTAACGCGGTTTCACTTAACGCGATTTCTCATATACGCGGTGCCTCGCCAGAACCGAACTTTCACTTAACGCGGTTCATCTACTCATATACGCGGGAAGCGGCGCAGGCACGATGCGCACAAGATCACCCAGCCATCAAAACATTACCGAGTTCTTCACCCACCACAGCCGGCCCAAGTCAGTGATAGTGATAATTATAGTGAGGATATGGACTTATATGGACTTTGAGGGGTTTGACAAAGAGGCCCTGCAAGCCTCTGTGGTAATAGTGATACAATTGATACAAGTGATACAGGTGAGGGCCAATAATCTGCCCTCTGCCTCGGAACCAACCCCCCATCCCCTGGTGCCCAGCCATCTTTTCTACTAATGTAAGTGTTAAAAAACCTAATATTATTGATATTTCTCTTAATTATTAATTGTGTGTGCATACCATCATAAAGTTCAGATAATATTTTTACTACAACATAGTTGTGTGTGGTCAAAAAGTGGAGTTTGGGGGTCGGGCCAGTCTCTATTGGAATTAATCCCATATGTTCTGTTGTTCACTTAACGCAGTTTTCACTTAACGCGGTACCCTGTGGGTTCAATTGACCGCGTTAAGCGGGGTACAACTGTACTGTACATCATTACTTCAGAACGAAATTGGACAGATTTGCAACAGCCACTCAGCTGTAACTCTTGAGGAGGGGGCAGGGCATTTCTTCTCAGCTGGGAAAAAATGCACTATAGCAATGCCTGCAAAGAATAAAGCAACATAGTAGGCGACAGAGGCATGGTATGTGACACAGAGGCATGGTAGGTGACGCAGGTGAATAGTAGGTGACGCAAGTGATGGAGGGGAACACCAAGTAAACAGTAAGGCACTTATGTATAATAGTGTAATTTGTTCACTTGTACAAAATAAAGTTTCAATTTCTCTTAAACACTATTTTCACTTGGAGAGACAGCCAACATGCACCTGATCATGACAATACATAACAAATGCCAGACTGACTGAGTGGTTAGTCACTGCTACCCAAATGACTCGGACTAGACAAATTATACTAAATATTCCAAGATTTTCCAAGATTATTTTATATAACTCGTTTATTTCCGAGTTATTTTTAAATAAATTACGAAAGTATAGCCATCTTAAGTTATATAAAATTACAAATTATCAAATGTTGAGTTATCCAGGATTTACTGTATTGTAACGCACACTCAAACTGATGGTTACAGCACCTGCATAACTAACTTAGCTACACTAAGTCAGATTTCAGTAAGTGCATTCCATAGACCTTATCGTGAACATCATCTAGTCCTATCCAATCAAACACTGAGCTCCTTTTGGGTTTTAGTGTGCTCCATTTTAAAGCTTAGAAACATACCCAATAAGTACTGAGAAACAATTAGGTGCAGTCCCTGTGAGACTTACTATGCTCATAATGCTGGAGTTTTGAAGCCCTGCCATAAAGCTCCCTAAGTGCAATGTATGGGGTGAGAGCACAATACTGCTCTGTGTATGAAATGAACTGTCCATGGTAAGATTTACTTTCAATGGTGAGAAGGACTGACTGACAGTTTTAGGTGCTAGAAAATCCAAGATAGCTGTTAACAGGCAAGGGAGAGCTGCTTTGCATGAGCTGCTACAGCACCAAACCTCATTTAGCTCTCAACCTCAAGTGGTGACTTTTGCCTCCCAAACCCACTTTTCAACCCTTTGTAGGTATTTTATTCCGGCTAATGCCAGACAATTCTATTCAGCTAAGAAATGCCTCCCCAACAATAGGTTAGGGGCTATGGTTGCAATGGGAGAATTGTACTAAGTTTGATTAGTGCCAACCATCTATAGGTTCAATTCGGGCTAATATACCTGGGCTGCAACCTACAGGCTTGATGGATACAATACACGAGTCTTCTGGACCCTACAAAAGACCATACCAAGAAATAATTACAAGAAAATTATGACAAACTATGTACAGTGCTTGGGATAAACTTTCAATACTGTGGTCACTTTAGAAAGAACATACATAATCAATGACCACACAAATGCAATTCCATGTGAGGTACTACCTAGAATAATCCCACAATTCAGACTCGCACACATCTGGAGAACGCAGGAGACATTTTCTTTTAAGTAATATGTGGTAAATTATATAAAGGAAAAATATTCTGTATTCTCAAATTTTATATGCTTTTTATGTACTGTACAATAAAGGTATAGAGTTGCAGTGAAAGTGTGGGATTTGAAAGTGAAAAAGTTTGCAGGTGTGGATATTGCCAGCAACAAATGAAAGAGCATGAGTGTAGCGTCAGCTGACCGATAGCAGCGCTTGCACTACGTAAACAAAGCAGCAGAAATTTGGGATGACACAATAACTCATCAGGGGTCAAACATGGGATTATATTTTTCAAAGAGAACATATCTCCAATTATAGAATGGGAATCAATGTATTACTACAGAATATATATATTTTTAATAGATGTTAGCTTAGCGTTCCATACTGTTAACTTTGTCTCAAATCTCATCAAGTTTCTCGTAACAAATATAAAATTATTACTTAAATGCATTTATTTTACTTATAATGGTTATAATTGGCTAATTATCATTATGTACACTAAAAATTATCATTAAAACATGTTTTCTGGCATTTTTAGACTCTTTTTTTTCATAGGAATGTATCTCAAATTTTATGATGGGAGTCTATGGGGAATTGTGCTCCTATTTACAAAAAAAAATTATGAAAGGTTTTTCAGGAAAGGAACTCTTCCAAAATTTGAGGAATGCCTGTATTAACATCCTGTCTTGACAATTACAGTACAGTGAGTTCTGCTATAACGCGTGTTTTGATAACGCGAATTTGCTCTAACGCGATTTATGAATTAGGAACGATATTTGTATAACGCGAACGCTTGTTTGCTATAACGCGATTTTTGCTTACTATTTCTCCAATTTTGTGGTATTAACTGTGAATATAGTAAAGAAGAATATCAACAAGAAGCGTTCTGGTGATAGAATTCCCGGTGATGATCGTAAAAGAAAGGATATAACACTTGAAGAGAAGCTCGATTTTATCAACCTCAAAATCACCCTTCTCCCCCATCAAGTAAAGTGTTACATTTACTGTATGATTTCATTATTAGATATGAAGGTAACATTTATTTAGACTGTGCTATCCTTTGTGTTAGGCTAACTACTAAATTTTTTCGATTTCGAGTAATCTGCACCTAACCCTATTTTCTCCATAAGCCCTGTTATTTCTATTACGCGTTTTTCTATAACACGATATTTTACAAGAACACAATTATCGCGTTATAGCAGAACTACCTGTACAGCAATTTCTAGGAGCATAACCACATGAATGTTGAGATCTTATTGCTAGCGGCAATAAGAGAAAAGGCCGGTCTTCAGACAGTGAAAATGCAACGACCAAGTAGTGCAGGATGACATTAGACAGGGAAACCATTTTTAACCCTCAAGCAGAGCTGAGCTTCTTAACCACTTAAAGAAGCATGGTGAAAGCATTCATCCAATTAAATGTCAATTTAATTATGGTATACAGTACAGTGATGCTTTCAAGATTCAACCAAAAATTACAAATAAAATTCATTGCTTGGTTGTGGCAGATAATGGAAGAAGCCATACAGTATAGTGCACGTTATTTGAAGCTACATCCTTTGATTAGGTTTTGAGATTAGAATATTGTCAGTTTAAGTCACAAATGCAAATAAAACAATTATTGATCTGGTCAAAATGAAGCTATAGGGGTGTATAGTAATATAAACTGTAAAGTAAGAAGAGTGAAATGTGACAGTGGGTCCCAAAGGCCTGGCTGTCCATTAAGGACTGTGGATACAGCACACGGTACAGTAAAGCCTCCGATAACAACGGTTCAACCAATAACTTTTCATATTTAAAACCCTAGTTAATTTAGGACCCAATTCAATTTACGCCCTTATTTCATTCATATTTACGACCAAAATATAATAAAAATATAATAAAATTACATTTTCATATAAATAATAACTAAATCCCGATATGTGTTATAAAATAAAAGAATTAGTGTAAATAAATTAAGAGCGCCTTGCGCAAAAAAGTTGCCTTGCCAATGAGTGGCAAACAACAGTCGGAGCTTGGCGGGCCTTTTGTTTTCACACATCTGGAACAGGAACAGGAGAAAAATTTTATCAGGTTTCCTACAGCATTTTTGCATCCCTATTCAGCATGAGCAAGAGAGCAAGTGATGGCAGTGTTGTTTCAAAAGCTAATAGAAAGTGTATAAGCTTAGCCGAGAAACTAGATGTGTTAAAATGATATGAAAAAGGTGAGAGGTCTGTGGATATTATATGGAGCAAGCAATGAACATATTTTCTGAAGTGGATCCATTAACAGATGTATAATGAGAAAAGAAAGCAGCTGTGCAAGGTTCTTTCGACAGCTTTATTATTCGAATGCCTAAACCATCAACTTCAGCTGCACCATCAAATTCAGCATCATAAGCAGCTTCAACATCAACTTCAGGTTCAGTAACAGTTTCAGCAACAGCTTATGGAAAGCTACAGCTTCAGCCAGAGTTGAACCTGATGACTTCGTCATCTGAGTAAAAACTCGCAGAATAATATTCATTGGCTGTCCTTATGTTTTACACTTTACCACCATTGGTGAGTAGAATTTTTGTTTTACATTCATAAATATTATTTAAAACATATACGAACAGTAAATAAGTGTTGCTTTCATATTCATATGTAGAGAAATGACGATATGTTTTCACATGTACGCACTAGCTGTTCATACGTTGGCATGCCCAATCGCTTTATTTCTTTACCATTAGTGGTTAGCTACTTCCAGTGTTCCATTTATTAACATTAAATAACATTACTTAAAACATACATACAGGTATTCAATAATTTTTTTAAATTAAATTCACTACAGCTACAACCGGGGTCTTATTTTCTTCAGTTTCTTATGTAGAACCATCATCACTCACGAAAAGAATGCCGTCTTGTCTCCTCGTGTGTGTTTTAATATTCTAGGTATTATTAATGAATTGCATTGTTCATTTCACATATATAAACAATAATTCAATTAAATACATATTCAGTAATAAGCAATAATGAATCTTTTGTACATATTCTTAAGATAAATGACGATGTTTCCTTGAGTGTGCATGTACTGTATACATTGGAGTTCCACTATCAGTCTCACCTTTTTTCTTTAATATCAGTGGTTACTTCTACTATACATTAAATAACATTAATTAAAACATACCTGTACATATTTTTTGCATTAATTTAACTAAACTAACAACCAGGGTCTTATTTTCTTCAGTTTCAGGTGGATAACTGACATTATGGGTGTAAACACTGACAACAATGCCGTCTCTTATCCTCTTGTGTGTTCTAATATTCTACGTATTATTAATGATTTGTATTGTTCATTTCGCATATATAAAGATTAATTCAATCAAATACATATTCAGTAATAAACAATAATGAATCTTTTGTACATTTCTTAAAAAGAAAAATGTCACGGTATTCTTAAATGCGCACGTATATGTTGGCGTTCCCAATCCATCTCTTTTTTTTTCTAGCTACTTCTATTGTTCCATTTATTAACATTAAATAACGTTACTTAAAACATATACAGTATATTAGTTTTTTTACATTAATTTTACTACAGCTACAACCAGGGTCTTATTTTCTTCATTTTCTCATGTAGAACTATCGTCCCGGACTCCCGGCTGTAAACACAAACGAAAACAATGGCGTCCCATCTACTCTTGTGTGACCATATTATTTTTCATTTATATTGTATAAGATGCATTCAGAAACATTATTTAAAAAATATAATTTGCAATTTTCATTAGTTGTATTGTTTTGGGGGAAAAGAGGGTAAAAAGCCACACAAAAGATATGAAAAGGTCACATTTGGGAACGCATCTCATTATTATTGCTTTAATTTAATGGTAAATAATGATTCACGATAAGACGATTCACCTTACACTGCAATATTGGAGGACACATTAACGTCGTTATTCGAGGCTTTACTGTACTGTATATCAAGCCTTTGGTGCACAAGAAGGCAATTGTAGCAGGCACTGCACTTGACCACTTTCACTTCCCCAATTATAAAGTTACTGTAGGTACCCATTTACAGCTGGGAGGACTGGGAGTGCCCAAGGATCAGACTAATCAAGCTTAGGACAGGAAGAGAGCACTGTATCCACTCAGCTACCACACCCCCCTCCACATAAAATGTAAAGAAGAAAGAATAATTCAGCTTCCCAACAAAAATATCTTATGAAATAACAGTAAGTACTACAGTACATGCAAGTGATCCTCAAGGTGTAAACAAGGAAAAAATTAAGTAGATACTAAGACAGGCGAAAAAATCAAGTAAAGCTGTATGGTAGTTACAAAGGATTCTGTACTTGACATGGCTTATCACATCATAAAACTATTCTACAGTACAAAAAATAATTTATACTGTACAAAACTATTTTTCTTCCACCAGCTACCTGGTCAGTTCCTTACCCATCATCTTCTAATGTGTAGCCTATCCATAAGCAGGAGTCTGGTGCTGTAAACTCTCCACAATGTACTGAGGGATGCCCATCTGAAGGAGTGTTGATGGTGGTAGGCTGGGTAATTTCGGAGTGTAGTGACAGAGCGCCTCCCAGCATATATCACGGAGTTTCCCTACGTTAAGCCAAACTTTAGTCACTCTTGCTGTTCGTTTGTTATCCTCAAGGTTCTTGACTCCTCCAAACATGTACATGCATCCATCCTGAGGTGAAGCAATTCATTAAATCATGTTCTAAAATACTGATTTTTCAATATACACTATACATAGAATGCTTTTTTTATTTTGTGTAAAGTTTTCTTTTCTGTCAAATCAATAGGCAATGAGGTTTCACTAAAATATAATCTTAGCAAAGAAGAAAATGGTCTACTGCAATAATAACCATATTTCCCATACAAAGTGTTCTTAAATTCTTCACAATATTTGTTTTATTCATACATGGCAACTAATTTATTACACAATCTTAATTCTAGCATGATACAGCACTGTACAGAACTGAAAATTATTTTGTATTTCATACAACTCGCATTTTTTTTTTGTTTTAAGAACTTATGTACAATGAAAGACTAGTCATGTCATGAAATTTGGTGAAAACATATGCCGAAGGGCTAAACTATTGGTGTGCTCTGCCTTTTGTCTTTGATTGTACACTCGGTAAAAAACTACTGTACAGGTGGGGTCCGATGATTTTCCAACTGAACATTCCCATTGTCTCGCGAGGGTTGGTAGGCTTGAATGTGAGACATGTCATACTTAATTTGGCATGCCAAAATTTGCTATTTCATTGACAATATTGAATTACTTTGTTACAATATGACTGGAGAATGTCAGTATATCTAGATAAGTTAAACTGTTGTTATATTAAATGTTCCACACACCATGGACTATAGTAACCATGGAAGTGGATGAGTTGTCATATAGGAATGCATTATATGTTTGGCAGAATTAGTGGATATAGTAAAGGTATAGGATTATTTTTCAACCCAATTTCGAATCTGTATTTGTATTGCTACTTCACTTTGGGCTAATGCCACATTATGTCATTCTTTATTCATATTGGAAAATATACCAGTCCTGTTCCGAAACATCTGAATACCTCCACAGTTCATATAACATACACATTCTTTATGTAAGATATCAGGAAATGTTGGGAGCACTAATTACGTAGATCACAATATTAAGCTGCTGCAACACCGCTCACAATGTGTATTCAACATGGAGAAATGAGACAGAGTTCCAATCAAGTTTCAAATTGTGTTAGTGTGGCAGTATTAACTCTGACTCGTTTCAGAGTGCCGATCACTTGTTTCGAGCACGTGTGGCCGAACCCATACACGCGCAGGGCTACCAATGCGAGGAATGCCTCAGGGGCCTTTTTGATACATTTTGTTTCGCGCAGGAATTGTAACGGTAGTTTTTTTTACCGAGTGTCCATATAACAATTCTTTTGAATTTCTTGCTCAATAATTAAAAGAGCCAATGGTAAAAATCTAAAAATAATTCAAGCTACTACCGGTAATTTATTCACAAGTGTACATCAGGTACCAATATTCTTCATATGTGAAAATTTCACAGATTCATCAACTTGTTTTTGAGATATCACACTGATCTCCTCCCATGAAATCAATACCGGTAGTGACTTTACACTTCAAGACCTTAATTCATTTAACCATTATTCTAAGTTTCTGTACACTTATAAATATAATACCTAGAAATTTCCTTTATGATATCACATTCCTATCTTGAGGAAATTTTTTTTATCCCACCTCTGTCACAGCTGCCGAATGAAAGTAGAGCGGAACAGGTGACTTGCAAGGTAACTTCTGCCACTCAAATGTTATCAAATTCAATCTCCAGAGATCTGCAAAAGCTTCTACACCATCATATCCGCCATGTATGTAAACATCTGAAACACAAACAAAATTATCTAATTGTGAGGAGTCACTTAAGAAGCCAATCGTGTGGTGTTTCTACACAAACAATAAGATAAACTTACCAATGCCTTCCTTCCTGTATATTACATTATCATTATATAAATGTATATTTATGTTGAAAAAGTTTCTGGTCTTGCAGAGTACACACAGTAGTGCAGCAAAATATTCTTCCTGTCATTAATTTAATATGAGATGGGTTATTTGTCACCCATGTCATGCATTTAATGGTTAAGGTGGAGGCAGAAAATGCAAGGTGGACCATGCAAGGGATGAACTGAATCCCTTCACTTGAGTCTTTAAGGCAGTGGTTCCCAAAATGGGTGCCTCAGATATCTCTGCCACTGGATTTTTGAGACTAATAAATAATGAAATCTGTTTTGGTATATTCCATTGGTTTTGACAACAACAGAAAGGATCTTAAAAACAATTAGACAATTTTGACAAGACAATCTGGTAAAGGTTGACCTTAATTAAGCTACTGCCAGGTCCTGACCCTTTTATGGGATGGACATTATGAAACCACATCACCCTAGCAGGCAGTCTTAGCAAAGTCTTGCTTCAGTTAAATTCATTTCGTTTTTAGTCACATCTAAAGAAACTGCAAAGATTTTCCTTAACAAAGTCCTCGAAAAATGCAACTGGATAACTACTGGATATATAAGATTTATTTTTGGTTGAATATTTAATCTAGATATTTTGACAAAAATTTCAACCAAACTTGAAATAATTTTATTCTTAAAACCAAAGACAAAAACAAAAATATCACCCTGTAATATTCAATGACAATACTAGATCTATGAGTACTATCAATTTCAAGGCAAAATAGAAAGAAGTAGAGTAATGGAGATATTATACCTTGAAAATTTAGACAAATTTGAGAAAATGTGTAAAGGGTTGAAAATTTTGAAAGGGTAGAAGGGGGTTACGGGGCTAGAATTGATATACATATGATCTCTGATTGATGACAGGAATATCATAACAATCGACCAAAATTAAAAGCACCTACACCAAAAACCGGACTCACCCCTTAAATGCCACCAGCACCCCCCCCCCCTCCCTCCCATCGTCCTCCACCTCAAGATTCATCTGCTACAATAAAAGTTAAGTGCAGTGTAAATGTGTAATGTTTACTTTAATTTTGTTTTGGGAAGGAATATTTCAGCAAAATGATGGCTGCATAAGTCAGAATTTTAGATAAGTCAGACAGCCCCAAGCTCTATACAGTATAGTCTGACTTAGAAAGGTCTTAAAGTATAAATATTTCACGGTCTTCTATTATTTGCGGATGACACTCTGGATATACCCAAGAATGTCTGTGAGTAGTTTTAAAGTTGCGGCCATTTTCGCAGCTGGGACAGGGAGCCATTCGTTCTCAACAGTAATTTCCTTTACCTGTATTGTAAATATGTGTGTGTGTGTGTGTGTCTACATCATATAACACATGGAAGGGTGCCCCTGAAGCTAGTCACGGTGGGTTACCCCGAGGCCAATGAACTGCTCTTGCTATGGCACTTGAGTCACAAGCTTACAGTGGTGAATGGGGGGAGAGGGAGTCCCGCTATGGTTGTTACCCAACTCTTAACACCAACCATGACAAACAATACAGTATAATAAATAAACATAAACCTGCCACACCAAAGCCACCCACACACCACACAAATGAAAGACACAAGAAACTATATCAGATAAAAAAGAAGGAACTTGACACAGTTCCATTCAGAGTTGGGAATCTGAATGTAGGTACGATGAGTGGAAGAACATGTGAGATTATTAAGACAGCCATAGAAAGGTCGACGTCTTCTTGCGTGCAAGTAATGAGGTGAAAATGTGCCTCAGCAAGGAAAATCACTGGTAATAATAATAGTTACAAGATATTCTGGAAGGGGAGTGAATCAAGAACAGGTGGTGTAAGGAATTTGATTGCCAAAAAGTGGGTGGAGAAAGTGCTAGAGGTGAAAAGGGTAAATACAAGAATATTGGCATTGAAGCTGCTAGTAGGAAAGAATCTGAAGGATGAGATTGGGATAAACTGTTGCATGTAGTGTCAGATCTGGAATGAAAAAGAAATCATAGCACTGGGTGGTGACCAAAACGGTCATGCCGTGGTAGGTAGTAGGCAGCTACCAAACAGGGAGGTACTACAGCCTGGGAAGATATTGGAAGCATAATGTGTTGTTTAATGGAAGACCCTGCTGCCATATGGCAACACAAAAATTGTGACCAAGTCCCAGGTTGCTGATCTGACTTTCGGCCTCATTTGCACACAATTTCAGTGTCTCAATTGTTTCTTTTACTTTGACAACACAACATACATACTGTACTGTATATCATTTCTCACTATTTGATGGTCATGATAGTTTATTTTAATACAGCCGGCGAGATATAGGTACTGTATGACTAATGTTTACTTGTGTTGGCAAAAACCTCTCACGTTGTATGGGATTTTGTGATAAACGTAAACACTCCTGATTGATTTATTGTCTTGTACGAACCACAGTACCCGTATCAGTGATGTTTTAACCTGCCCACCGAAATCTAATAAGTCAGGATTTTGAATGTTGATAATTATTATTTTATTTTTTATAAAAAAATATTAATAATTATTATTATTATTATTATTATTATATTTTCGCCCCCCCAGACCCCGATGTGGGTCAGTGACCTGTGCCCGGGTGAGCTAATCCCCTTACAAACATGGAGGGTCATGAAGGTGTGCATGGAGGGAAGGTGTGGAAGGAAAAAGTTGAATTCATAGATGCAGTGAACATGGTTGTATGCAACACATTACCTATGAGTCAGATAGAAAAACACAGACTGATTACTTTCTCATTAGGAAATCAGAAAGGAAGCTTGTTAGGGATGTAAAGGTTATAAAAGGGGAAGAATGTCCCTTGCAGCATAGATTGCTTGTGCCTGAAATACTTAAAAGGTGCAGAGAAAGGAAGAAAGTGGAAGTTCCTAGAAGAAGAATGAGGACGTTGAAGGAACTGAATAAAAGAGAAGCATTTTATAAAATGCCGAGTTAAGAAGACTGAAAACGTCCAGTGAGAGTGAGAGGTGCAGTGTTGCAGGATGCTGGGCCAAAATAAAGGATGTTCTGTTGAGCATGGCTGACAAGATGTGTGGTTGGATGAAGGATCTAGTGAGACATGCAGTTACATGGTAGTGGAATAATAAAATAAACAGAACGATAAAGGAGAAAAGAAGATTGTAAAAGGCCTGGAAGATGGAAGGCAGGGCCATTTTCTTACGCAGGCAGAGTAGGCGACTGCATAGGGTACCCATGGCTGCTAGGGGCCCCTTGCATATATTTTGTTTTAAATTACCAGTACCCTGATAGTCTCATTGCTAGTCATAGTGGTGATTAAAATATTAATGTTAACTATCTTGATATAAATATTTCTATAAATGAAAAATGCATTACTATACATCTATACTACAAGGTTGAGGAGTTTGCTTTGAAGTTGCTTTATACATTAATGCTACTTTAAATATACCTTATAGTTTGGGCTTAAATGTTCTTGCAGGTCAAGTTTTAAGATTTGCCAGAATATTTTAACTCTAATAATTCTATAAGTAGAACTCAAAAGCTTCTTCAACCTGCTGTATGGTAGGTCAGGGTTACTCAAAGGATAGATTAATTAAACGTATGAGGCATATGCCCAGTAATAATATTGTTATTCTTAATAAATTTGGATACATATCTGCTTTGGAAGTACCTGAAACAAAAAAGGTTGATTTAGTGCATAAAGAAAGTTTTTTGTATTATGGTTTATTCAGAGGATCACTGACCATGTAAAGGAAGGGTCTAATGCCTGAATTATTAAACAGCATCTTCCCTTGAAGAGGGTCGTCGTGTTTCAACCTGAGGTGTAAACTAAATGAGTCCTGAGGGACACCACAGTACAGTACCTAACGGAGTGTTGTGGAGGTAAAATTAACTAATTCCAATGAAATTAATTCATAATATTGGAATTAGTTAATTTTACCGTTAAGTACAGTACTGCAGTGTCCCTCAGGGCTCATTTAGTTTACAACTCGGGTTGAAACACGACGACCCTCTTCAAGGGAAGATGTTGTTTAATAATACGGGCGTGAGGGTCATTGAATAGTGGCCAAAACCTGAATCCTATCCTGGTTCCATCTGATGACCTCATGTTTGTTGATTTGTATTATGGCAATTTTAGTAGTACGTACTATATGATTGTTTTGCCAATGTCTATGTTAGTGTCAGGTTGTAATGTCTCTTGGTTTTGTAAGATTTCCTTTCTATTATTTTGTGCATGTGTTATTAATACAGCTATTTTATTTCAATATGAGGGTGAGGAAAGTCTTTAGCCCCTTTTATTTATCATGATGCTGGAGGCAATATCATGGGACTTCAGGACTGTATGTTGATGACTTAGTACTGACAGTTGATGGTATTGAAGAGGCAGTGGTGAAATTTAAGAAAGAAAAAGGAAGAGAAGCCACGGCCCTAAAGTGAATGTAGCAAAAATAAAAGTATGGATGAGACACCCATAGTGGAAAATGGCCATGTGCTGTTTGCAGGAAAAGTGTTGGCAGGAACTCAATAGTCTGCAACGAATGTGGAAGGTGGGTACACAGGAGGTGCGGTGGAATAGATGGCAGACTGCAGGATGTTGCTGACTTTAACCCCATCACTTTATTTGACTAATGACAGACTGAGAGACTCCATACACAAGGGGTTAATACACTATCTCCACTAACCCCTTCCATATAGGAATGCCACTTTTAATATTTTATTTGGCTAATGCCAGTTGATTTTATTCAGCCCAAAGAGTCCCAATACACAAGCGTATTCTGTATGTGTATGTAACCATGTTCCCATAGCAGGTTGGAGAAACATAACATTGGGGATATGTGCAAGGCTGAATTGAAAATGGTGAGATAGATGTGCAAGTTACTGTACACTGAAAGACTGGAGGCCCTGTTCAGAGCTAACAGGGCAGCTTGGTATTACCACTCTTGGGTTTAGGTAGGCGTTCTCCTGCGAGAGGCTCGGAGTCTGGCCTGTTACTCACCTCTCTGCACTTGACTGCACCACACGAGATAATTGTACGTAATGAGTCACAGCAAGCTTGCAATTTGAGATAAAAAGATGGGATTTATTGCATTAGCATTGTAGATAAATTATCAACAAATAGTTTTATATGAGCAATCACAATAAAATAATTATTTCTATTTGTAAGCGCGAGAACAAAAAATTTTTGTTTATGCTTAGTGAAAATGTTTATACAGTACAGTACATCGCTTTAAACCTTCATTATTTAATGTGATTGCAATATGAACCTTATTCCGTTATAAAATAGTTATAGAAGAAAAGCTGTGAAAAAATTAATATTTCGCTAGGTAATAGAGGGGTAAATTTTGCATTCTGACCAGCACACCCAGGGATAATTTTATATCCTGGGTCTTTTAAACACAAAAGGGAGACTGGTGTGGTGACCTTGGACTGCAGTCTACATAGTTGCCAGATAGTGCTGACATTGTCAAATGTGCATCTTGGGTGTCTAGCGTTCATATACAAACATAAAATTATATTTTATTTTTTTACTACATATGCAAATTTGCATATGAAATCCCTAAAGCTATAATTTTGATCATACACAATTTTGCATATGAAAACCCCAAGAGAATTGAGAGTACAGTACTGGCAAAGTTTTGTGCAAAGGCAGGCTGAGATGGTTTGGGCAGGTGGAGAGAATGAATGACACCAACTGGACAAGAGGTGCATGTACCTAAATGTGGAGGTGAGTAGAGCCAGGGATAGACCAAGCTAGAACCTGACAAGTGTGTGCAAGAAACCACACAGCACAGAGAACTGCCACCAAGTAACCACAGCTAACCCAGAAAAGCATGGAAAATGGTCATAAAACAGTGATGATGACTATGAAAAATATACAATATTCTTAAGAATATTCTTTCTCTTTCCTCTAATACAACAGATTCATTCACTTACTTCCAATCACTGGTCCAGTTACTCACCTGTTTTATACTTAACCAATCCATTTCATCTCACTTTGTACATTCAGATCATGATTTTCTTATCCATCATTTTCATACCACCACTCTATATTTTTATTCTTTGACCTGTGGACATTCTGTGTTTCTGTATGTAAAGACAAATTTTCCTTTAATTATGTAGGTAGAGTAATCACTAATGATGTCCTCTGCCTCTTGTCCTTTCTGAACTATGGACATAGTTCAATGATGCAATACTACAAGCTACTTGCCATCCTTACTCTTCTCCCACTTTTGGATGGTGTCAACCATGTGAATTTCAAGAGTGGGGAAATAGTTTTGGAAAATAATGGAAAACAACTGTATAAAGCAACGGAATATAACACCCTACACACAAACACAAAAGAAAAAACACTAAGTTTATATAAGTACAATAAGTATTACACACGGTGAATCCCTGGCCTCAAGCTGAATCACAGTGCTTCACGATAATTCACTACATAAGCAATTATACCCTAAATTTCTAATCAACAAATTATAACATGATCATCTGCACATACTACTCAACCAAGTGAGATGCTCTAACATGATTACACCTTGCCAAATTAAATAATTTTGCACAATAATATCTATGTAGAGTGTATAAATAATATATGTATGTATGGGAAAAAATAATTAAAATAAAAATACTTACAATTACTAACTTTACTGGCTACATGACATCTTCTAGGAAGAGGATATTTCCCAGTATGAGCATCTGGTCGAGTGTGAGTACTTGTCCACGTTCGTTCAGGTAGCATAAATGTTGGCAGATGAGTCAGATCACACGCAGCATCCGACCTCCCTCCACCAAATACATACAGTGCTCCTGCATACTCCACTATCTCATGACGATACCTGTATACGTAATAACAGTAAAGCAGTACCAGTATAAAATATAAGTAGCCGTGGTGAAAAATTATGACATAGGACACCTCTTAATAATGTGGTAAAGAGAGGACCTACAGTAAGATAACCTATCCTAACCTTAAGGATTTGGACCCATTAAGACTATGCCCCAATTCTATGGCTTAGGTCAGGTAGAGGAGCCCATATGTCCAGTCACCAGATAGTAGACAGTCTCTCAAATGAATTTTTAAAGACAGCAACAATAATGGTAAAAAGCATAAGCAAAGTATAAACCTAGATGTTAAAGGTAAGGCATTAAATTAATAATCTGAGAGGAATTTAATAACAAATTTATTTCAAATAAGAAATGGTAAACTTAACACACAACATTCATATGCATACAGTACATGAAAAAAAACTAAAATGCAATATTTCTGAAAAGAAAAATGCTACCAAGGTTGGAGTAACAATATACAGTAAAAGTCCAAAAATCCGAATGCCAGAAATCCGGACCACCCGAGAATCCGGACTTTTCGAAAACTCAAACTTAACTTTTTTTTCTCTTTTTTTTTTCTTTTTTTTTAAGCTGGCTTTTGTGTGTATGTGTGCATGCGTGAGCGCCACAGCTGCACAGCGACAACAAGCGACCATGCGGTCGCCACTTTAAAACGAGCAATCAAACTGTGACAACGTATGTAATTTTGAGTCCTACTCTTTCCATTTACAGAGTACAGTCAACCCTCACTTTACGCAGTTAATTCAACCCACAGGGTACCGCGGAAAGTGAGAAACATGTAAAGTGAACAACATAACATATGGGATTAATTGAAATAGAGACCGGGCCGACCCCCAAACTCCACTTTTTGACGACACACAACTATGTTGTAGTAAAAATATTATCTTAACTTTATGATGGTATGCACACACAATAAATAATTAAGAGAAATATCAATAATATTAGGTTTTTTAACACTTACATTAGTAGAAAAGATGGCTGGGCACACGGGGATGGGCGGTTGGTTCCGAGGCAGAGGGCAGATTATTGGCCCTCACCTGTATCACTTGTATCAATTGTATCACTATCCACCACAGAGGCTTGCAGGGCCTCTTTGTCAAACCCCTCAAAGTCCATATGTCCATATCCTCACTATAATTATCACTATCACTGACTTGGGCCGGCTGTGGTGGGTGGCGGGTGAAGAACTCGGTAATGTTTTGATGACTGGGCGACCTTGTGCGCACCATGCTCGCGCCGCTTACACAACATGGCGGATGGCGGGAGAGGGCAGGAGAGATGGCGGGAGGTTTGGATCCAAAAATGGCGCGGCTCGCCAGACGCTCTCCGCGTAAAGGGGTACACGCACCGCGGAATGTGAGCATTCCTGTTTCAGCAGGGTACCGCGTAAACGTGGAAACGCGGAATGTGGGACCGCGTAAAGCGAGGGTTGACTGTACTGTACAAGCCCATAATAATGGCTCCTAAAGTAGATAAACTTCGTTGTGTGAAGAGAAAGAAGAACACGTTGAAATTGAGTGACAAACTTGAAATAATTAAGAAACTAGAACGTGGTGTGACCAATACTGTTCTAATGGAAACATACGACATTGGAAAGTCTACAATTTATGATATAAAAAAGGCAAAGAATAAAATTTTAGAATTCACAGCTTTATCTTTAAAACTGCTCGTTTTGATATATGAAGCATGCTATATTTGCTAATGAATAAACTACCAAAATGTACCTGTTCATCTCTTCTTTATTTCTCCTGAAATTTGAATTTTAAAAGTACTGCCTGAGAATCCGGAAAATCCGAAAATCCGGACCGACCCAATCCCCAAGCAGTCCGAATTTTTGGACTTCTACTGTATCCCCCTCTCCCCCCACCCCACTTTTCATCAGAAAAACAATGAAACTTCAACACCAAGGGCAGATTCAGGGGGGGATCCTGGGGGTCCAGATACCTCTTTTCATTAGAAAATTCAAATACTTTTTCTTTAATGCAGTATAGTACTCAGACGTTTTTGTATCGTAAAAAGTAAATACTATTGACAGCATCCGTCATTCCCTCCCACCCACCTACCCACCCACACACTGCATCTCACTGACACACTGTATCTCATACTCGTTCTACCACAATCGTCACTACTATTCATCAAATGACTGTCATTCATGATACAATATTGTTTATTTGTTATTCATTAATTAGTAAAGATACGTATGTTACTGTAATAATCTGTGTTTATTAATACCTGTACCCTTCACATACGTTGGCCCTGCACTGTCCATCTCACTTTTTTTCCTTTACCATCAGTGGTTACTTCTATTGATCCATTTACATAAATAACATTAATTAAAGAATACAAAATTTGTTTTACTAATTTTACTATAGCTACAAACAGGGTCTAATTTTTCTTCAGTTTTATTTGGAGAACCATCGGCATGAGTGTAATCACTAACAAAAACAATGCTCTCCCATCTCCTCTTGTGTGTTTTAAAACTCTACCAATTATTGGTGAATTATATTGTTCATTTTGCATACAAAATCATTAATTCAATCATATAGACATTCAGAAGTAAACAAAAATAAATCTTTTGTACAGTCCCATCAGAAAGTTCTTGATACAGTCAAAGCGGAGGATGCAAAGTCCACTCCCTCCCTTACTGGAAGGCAGGTCCGCTGTCCGGCCATCGCTCCACCCCTCCCCCCCAACACACAAACAAGCACCCAAGCAGTTCAATAATCGAGCTCTGATACTTCCACTTCTCAAAAATGACTGGGAAAGGATGTCACAAAACAATTTACCCAATCAGGTTTTATATTACCGGGGTACTTGACTACTTGACATAATAGGTTACATCATTAGTAGATAATCATGACATAATGGAGCATGCGTCTTGGTAGCTGGGGTTTGCAACAATAATATCAGAATCCTACAAGATCTATTGTCCCTCAGAATGGTAGCCAGAAAACTCAGCATGAATGTGAGGGATAACATGGTTAAGAAGAGAGTTCTTTTTCATCCTCCGTGATACAGTAATGGCCTTATCATAGGGTCTACACATGTAACCTTGGCTTAAGCCCTACATTGGATGAACTGATGGGAGTACTGTATAGCAGACATATGAGAGACACGATTAATATAAAAGTGTGTCATAACAAGAATTATTATAATTTTTTTTTTTTTTTTCAGGGAATAGCCCACCCGGACACAGGTCATCGACCCACAATGGAACCTAGAGGGCAAAAAAAAATAAGAGTAAAAAGAAATTAAAAATAGAAAATAAGATTATATTAATCTACACCACGAAGATGCCGGAAAACCAGCTTTTAGAAGTGAGATAGACTGGATGAGTATGGAAACACAGAAGGAGGCAGAGCATTCCACAGTTTGGCTGTGTGAGGAAAGGAGGAGGTACTATGACGGGTTATTCTAGTGTGACTGACATCCACAGAGAAATGGTGGGAACCGCAGGCAAGATGAGTGTTACGAACCCACGGCTTTGCCAGTGGTACACAGAATGCCAAATCCACTAAACATTGCCCATTAAAGTATCTGTAAAAGAGAGAGTGAAGCAACACTGTGGCAAAGAGAAAGGAAGGAAAGATTTATCAACTAAAGGAGGAGAGTTAATAAGACGAAATGCCTTTGGTTCCACCCTATCTAACAGTTGGACAGAAGAAGAGCCACCCCAGATATGAGAGTAGTACTCCAAGTTAGGATGAATGAATCCATTATATACTAGAAGCAACTGCTCAGAAGTGAAGTTGCTATGGCATCTATTCAACATTCCCAGCATTCAGGAGGCAGCTTTAGCAATGTTGTGGAAATGTGGCTTCCATAACATATTAGAGGAAATGGTGAGGCCTAGCATATTTATTTTAAAATTTAGCAGAACCATTGCATCCTGAAATGTGAGTGGTGGGAGATCATCTAATTTGGAAAGTGTAATTGGTAAATACAGAGTTTTATTACTGTTACCACAAGCAGTAATGAGTAGGTTAACCCTCAAACAAATATTATGTTAGGTGCATGCCTGTATATAGAGTATCGAGTCAGTGGAGAAAGAGACAAGGAGAAGGATGGTGTTGCGTAGTAGAGAGGAGTTGTTTGTGTATAAAACACCTGATGCAGCGAAATGTGTCAACCCAGGTAGCGTCTGCCACGAGGGGCACTGGCACTTTAGATCTTCCCATCATAGGGTGAACACCCAACCTATTCGGTTTGAGACCTTCAACACGTAAGTTCAACCTGTACTTAAGTTTACACAGGTAGACTGTGTCCATTGTATCATTTATCACTGTGACAACATGGAAATATGGCAAATTAAGTATTCATTATAGATGTTATGATTAGACTAATTACACAGTTAAGACAGCTATGATTGCAATGTTAATATGTAGTGGATTAAATATTTATGTATGATTACCTCCGTATGATTTATTATTTGAAATACTAAGAATGAATTGCATTCAACAGGTTTGACCGAATTATAACATTCGAGTTCAACGCTCTAAAGGTGATTACAATTACTATTGAATTTAACCAAGTTTCTACCTCACCATTCGGAGATGCTGCACAGATCCGCATTGATAGATGTAATGATATCAGCTCTAGAAACAGATCTAGTTTGAGAATTAGGGGGAAGGGGAAAATGTGAAGAAGAGTGAAGAGTAGAATCATCAGCGTAAGAATGGATAGAATTAGTCGTAGTGTGAAGTAAATCATTGATAAAAAGGAGGAGGAGAGTAGGTGAAAGAAGAGAATCCTGTGGGACACCACTATTGGTAGAGAAAGAGCGAGAGAGCGATCCCTAGACAACAACTGCCATGGATCGGTTCTCAAGGAAGCTAGAAATTAGAGAACAAAGTGGGGGAGAGAAGCCATAAGAGGAAAGTTCAGAAAGCAAAGACTTGTGCCATACCCTGTCAAATGCTTTGGAGATGTCGAGGGCCACGACAAAAGTTTCCCCATAATCCCTAAGAGAGGATGACCAAAGATGGGTGTAGTAGGAGAGCAGATCAGCAGTAGATCTCGCCAGACGAAAGCCATACTGGTGATCCGACGAAAGAGAATGGCGTTCAAGGTGAGAGAAAATGAGAGTTCAAGATACCGGAAAGCCTGGCACAGGCTGAGTCATGCACCTGCCCTACTTCCTTCCCAGACACTCACCCTGGTCACTTACACAATAACACTGGACTGGTTTTGCCATTGTCTCAAGCACATTATAACAAATTACTACAATACAGGTCTACTTGTTTAAATATTAAGTAAAATGTCTGCTTTCATTTACTCAGTTTGTAGCATTATATTAATTATAATTAAAATAATTGTACGTAATTGGATATAATTTTCTCATACCTCAAAATTTTGTTAAGTGATCTGGAAAGATTCAGACATAAATCTGGTAAGCTTTGTTTTTTTTTTCACAAGTGGCATCACTGACAACGATCTGCCGTCCACCAAGGGTGAGGCTAACTCTACACCCTCCACCTTGACTGTATCAACAAATTTCGTCCAGGATTATACATATTCTTAATAAAAGAAAGGCCGCTTTATTTCCATGAGTGCACATACAGACATACGTTGGCCTTCCGCTACCGTCTCACACTTTTTTCTTTACCATCAGTGGTTACTTCTACTGTACATTAAATAACATTAACTAAAACATGCATATTTTTTTTAACATTAATTTTACTACAGCTACAACCAGGGTCTTATTTTCTTCAGTTTCAGATGGGAACCATCATCATGGGTGTAAACACTGACAACAACCATGGGGACCCTTCTCCTCTTATGTGACTACATATTATGAGTGATTTATATTGTATAAGGTGCATTAATAAACATTATTTAAAGAATATAGTTTTTATTTTTCATTAATTTTACTGTCTTGGGGGGAAAAGGGGTAAAAAGCCACACCAAAGATGAGAAAAGGTCACACTAGAGAATGCATCTCATTATTATTGTATTGCTTTATTTTAATGGTTATTAATGATTCACGATACTACAATTCACCTTACACCACAACATTGGAGGTTACATTTACTGTTGTAACTCGAGGCTTTACTGTACTGTATTCTGACTTCCTACCCCCCCCTCCCCCTTGATCTGGTGTTCCATGATTACCATGTAGTTTCAGTGTTTTGTCTCACCCAGTAAGTGTTAATTTCCACGTGGTCTAAGCATGACCAAGGTAACACCTTAACTTTGATATGAACAAAAATTGATTTCAATAAAACATACAATAGTATGTGTTCATTTCTCACCTTTCCTCAGGACTAGCATGAGGGTGTGTAACAAGTGGGGAGAGCTGCTGCCACACTCCTTGGGTTAGGTCTAAGCAGTGAACATCAATGCTGTACTGAAATCCAGTGGTCCCACCAACTACATATAGTTTATCTTCACTAAGACACACTGCCTGAAATGATATGGTTATTTCAATTAGGCATCTAACATTAAAGTATACCAACATGGTACATAAGTAGGTAGATAATGAGGCCACACTTATATTAATACATTTCATACAATCTGTGGGGCAAGAATCCCTATGATTAATTATCCAAAGACACTGACATGGCTGGGAGTAAACTTTCCACACAGCACAGCAGTATAACATGTCAGCAACCTTGCCTGAAACAGGTTTGACTCCTTATCTCAAGGGGTTGAGATACCAGAATACAGCCAACTGAATCAGTAAACCTTTCATATCATATATGTCAGCTGTACACACTTAAAGAATAAAAAATTCATGTTACACGTCATCCAAGTTTTTACAACCGTACTTCAATTGACCTTTGCTTCATCTAATATTCTACAGTCTATTTCATCACACGTCTCATGTATCCTACCTTCCATTTGTTCATACAGGTATCTCCTAACTTCCCTTTTGTGCTTAATAACTAATTGTTCCATAATATTTAAAAAAAAAATCCTACTTACCATAGTGCTGCACCTCTTAATGTTTCCTATCTCCAATATACGGTAATCTCGTTCCTTCTGTATCATTTTTCAAATAGTATCTTCACATATGCAGCATGGCCATTCAAATAATCTTTTGACAGCACCTCCAAAGTCCCTAAATATTCACTGTCTTTACACATTTGAGAATTTCTAATAAAAACAAATACCCGAGGCAGGCAGATTATAAGGGAAAAGGTTATTCACTTGTAGTGGCATCTAGTGCAGGCATCATCGATTTTATCATCACATGTTCAGTACACTTTTACATATTTTGTTTTATTATTTTTGTGGGTTAGGAACTTCATCCCTCTTTTCCCATAAGACCTTCCTATCAGTACCCTTCACAGTGACCTCAGGGCCTTAATCCCCATGAATACTGAATGTCTCCTGTATACTAGTTAACATAACACCTGTAATGACATTCTCCAAAAAAATTTGAAGTGATAAGCACAAGCAAAAATGTTATGCTTAGCCTAGGGTATTGACATGAAAGTATGAATGGGGGACATCTATAAGATTAATAGCTAACTCAGCACTTACAACAACAGAGTAAACCAACCAACCCAAGATTGAATCTGTGTTCCATGAGTCAGAAGTCCAGAGTGCTACCAACTGAGCAATAGAGAAGCTTAATTTTGTGCACTGTAGACAACAAATTTCAGGAAAGTGAAGTGTGTAATGCACCTACCTGTCCATACATAGGTTCTGGCTTTCTTCCATATGTGGAAATCTTCTGCCATTTTCCAGTAGGTAGATGACACGTGTACAGCTGAAAATTATTATAGTTATGCATATCTTTGATTCGCATTCTGATACTATATAATACCAACAAATATGGCTATTTTCAATATATTTATGCAGTACATTATAATTTCAAACACAATTACCTGTTCAGTTACAGTATATAAATGCAGTAGTCTAAGTATTTTATAATGCTTGGGACCAAGCACATTTCAATGCAGAGTTCTGAAGTGCAAAAGACTGATGCTCTACTGTACAGGATAAACAGTACCACATACATATTTGCCATGAGCAAAAATATTACAAATAAATTCAGCAAACCAAAAACATGTAACATCACATTTATGATATGAAAGTCAGGAAATAATGTATCATGTAATCTCCATACTGAATCTGAAGAAGAGTCCCCAAATGGCATGGCAGTTCCTCCAAATACGAGCATGTTGGGTCCAAGCTGAACAGCAGAATGAGAGGCTAATTCTTCAGGCATTCCTCCTGTACCTTCAATTCTTGTCCATGTGCTGTTGACTGTGTTGAATTGCCATAACTTTATAGAAAACAGAAAAACAAAAGTAAATAATACTTGTACATACAGTCAGTCTAAGAAAAGGTAAATTATATGCATGGTGTAAGCCTACTTAAGCACAGTACGTATTGTAAAACCATAAATTGAATGGAAAAATTCAGTGATGAACCTCAAGTACAATTGAGGGACAAGTGAACCTTGGTACACATGCAGTGTTTGGTTGGTGGTACCTGACAACCCTAATGTAGTAAAGTGTGGAATTCTATGAATGAACTCTTCCATTTGTAAGAGATATTTATATATTTGTCTATAAATCTCTGGAATATTTACTCAACTAATTGTTCCGTGAAAGGGAGTCTGACAAATCAGTGGCAGGCCGTGTGAGGCTTGGTGCCTGCCAAATTTAAGTGGTACCTGTAATATGGCAACTCTCACCAACTCACATGTTGGCAGGCTTGTTTTCATGATAGACAGGTTAGTGACACAAACAATTTTACACAGATAAGCAGATTTGACACAGTACCATTGTACTGTGAGGTAGGAAGTGGTACAGAACATGATTTCACATGTTTAGCTGCACAAGACTGATTTGATCTCTCACATAATAAAAAAGGGCACAGGTATCCCCCGTTTAACATTGTGGTTACACACGTGATGGAAGTGTAATATATAAAGGTAAAAAACACTTTTATTGATTACACACACTGGTCTAAATGCCATATTTATGAAGTGCAAAGAAGATTAGCTTATTACCTAACCTAATTTTTTGAAATGTACTAAATCATTGTTGTTACTAATACTACAGTATGCACAAAAATTTTGATAAAATACAACTAAAGTAAACTGTTGTTTGCAATTTATCATAATTTAGAATTTGCTTTATTTCGGCAAGGGCAGAGCCCCTATTACAGTACTCCAAATTATGGAGGTTTTACGGTACACTTTTCATTTTAACACCCCGCTCCATGGCAGCAATGGGGGAAGAAAATTTGTTTTCTTTAAGTGACACGATCTTCTGGAAATTATAACATTAGACGAAACATCACACTTGAAGTGATAGCAAATACTGCATTAATATCTATTTGATGTGATATACCCAGTAATGTCTGTCTTCACACTGGTTGGTCTGTCTTTAGCTCACACAAGTACCACAGTCCTCTCAAAAATCCTTCAAAACTTGTTTAACAGTATATGTACAGTTCTGGGTATTGACTTTCTCAAATTGTTCAAATTTGCTTCATGTTCCATTTACCTTTATGTCTAGTGACTCATAATAAAAGTTCATGGAAGTCAGCCAGTAGGAAGGTCTGTTTAATCTCTTCCCCTCTCTGGACATTGAGTCTGTGTATTGTTCATGGGACAACACACACACACTCATGAAAACACACATTGGAAGTTGGAACCGTGTATGTTTTCTTCGACTAAGTCGGATAAGATTATGTCTGTCACACGGTTATAATCTTAGGTCATACAGTATATCTGTCTACACATTCTAATTTGTGTGATACAATATGAAGGTTTAACCTCCATGGAGGGTGAGGCCAGAGGGCATTCCACTCTCATCAGATACCTGCTTAGTGTGTTTCAGTTCATACCATGGTAATCAATAAATGGTTCCCTAGTATAACACAGAAGTATGCTGTTAATCAATAAAAATAGCATACAGTAATATTTTCTTCCTTTATCGCACTCTACCTATATCAAGATAAAGCCCATTTTGCAAACTGGTAATGTTATTCTCATAGTTACTCAACAATGGTTCAAATTAGTGAGGAGAAAAGACTTTCTCTTGTCTGCACAGTATTGGTCACATGTATCCTGTCAGGCATCATTCTATCCCAATTTCATAATTAAATCAGTACAGTATATACCGGTAACCATGTACAGTAGTAGAGAACCATATTCTCATATATTGTAACTCCAAAAATTTCCTTGGGGAATACATAGACCATTAATGAATGCCTTACTGTATATCAGTTGCTACATTTTCTTGCCTTAAATTGCTGTGTGAAGCAAACATATATTGTGACGGGGAAAACAGTAAAAATTAATGTTTTTAGTATCAAAATTTGATTTTTACTGTAATTAATACTAGACTCATTACAACAATTTTAATAAACACAACAAAAATGTTACATCGACTGCAATTGTGATGTCTCAAGCACCTAACCTAACCTATAAATACAAAATTTGCAATCTTAAGACAACTTTGATTACAGCAGGAAACTGAGGTCACAAAGTGACCAACTGCCTCTTCCCCGCTAACTAATTGGAACAATGATCAAACCAATGCTCATGTGGCCAACATTCAAACTCACCGTCCAGAGAGGGGGAGAGCTCAGATGGACCCAAAGACTGGCTGACCTCTATGAACTTTTATGAGTGATTGTACACTACTAATCTCATTTAATGAAGATGATGTAATACAGGTATCCCTTACTTAACAGATGTTGAGATATGAAAATTAACTTATATAAATTCCCTAAATTAACAAGATTTGACCCTAATTGCATGCATAATTTTGCAGGATTAGATGATGTCAGACAAGTGCAACAGGATACTGTTAACCTTGCTCAGGAGGCTGGGTTTGGGAAGGTGGACAGGGGGGACATCTTGGCTCTGCTCTAGTCATACAGCCAGAACCTTACCAATGAAGAACTCATGCAGCTTCAGCAGCAAAGACTTTATGAAGAAGAGGAGGACAAACCAGAGGAGCTTCCTCTAAAGCCGGATCACTCTCAAGGTTGTTAGTGAGGGCCTCAATCTCATTTGAAAGGGGCTTGAGTTTTCTGTATCAAAGACCTTCACAGGGAAAGGAATGGTGCAGTTGCCTTTAGTGTGAAGAGACATATCCGAGGCAAGACAATCCAGCACATCCTCCTTCTTCAAACTGTATCCTGTATCTTCAGCTTCCAGGCCCACTCCCTCTACCAGCAGACTTTCTTCCACTCCTTCCACCTCTGGTGTGACTTTGGTGTCCTTGGTAGACACCAGTGATGAGGTGCACAACACTCCTCATCTCTCTGAGCAAAGGCCCTCACTCAGCCCACCCCTCTTCACCCCCTTGTTGTGAGTCCTAACTCCCCTCCCATAAGGTAATGTCCCAAATTTATACAGTACTTTAAGAATAATAAAAAATGAATAAAATTAATGTGTTAGGTACAGTATTAAGTTCCAGTACATAATTACATAATATTTATCATTAGTTGGGTAGTTTTGTTTTTGTTTGTGAACTGATTTCATGTTTTGGGGTATGATTTTAGGGTTTTCTTGTCACTGGGGAACCAAACCCTATTTTTCCCACGTGTTCTGTTATTTGAGATACAAAAATTCATTTAACAAAAGTTTTGGAGGAATTCTAACCCATTCATAAGCGAGCAATACCTATACTTCTTCAGTCTATCATTATTCTTGTAAAGCAAAAGATATTGTAATTACCATAACAATGGTTACACACTAACTCACTTCTATCTAATTTATATAGAAATTTAACTACTGTACAGGTATTAGCAAGATGTTAGAAATAAAATAGTTTTTCATTCAACACTATCATTTGAACACTTGTTGGATCTACAGTATTATAAAGCAGAATAAGGGCCAAAACCTGTGGCTACTGACCCATGTCTAACTCTAAATTCCTAATTTTCCTAAATACGGTAGGCAGTATGGATATCAAATGTACAAAATAACCATTTATGAGAGCAGACCAAAACTACCCAAATTTTCTTAGTTTAAGCTTGGTTTATATTTTACATCACATTGTGTTCAGTGCCACACTCTGATAACCCTTGTGCATACAAAAGCCATTAATTTTATATACAAGCTATGCACATTGGATTTAGCAAAATTAAATTGAGAGGTAGACCCAACATTCATTCAATGCATTAAAAGAAATAAAATGTAATACCAAACCAAATACAGAACAATACGGTACTAACCTCCTGGAATAATGGGTGAGTTCTCTGCCAGGTGTCATCTAAATATTCATTTGTAGTTATCTTGGGGTTGTAGCCACCAAATGAATAGAAAGAGAGTCCATGACAAACAATGCGATGACCACTTCTTGGCATTGGCAAGGGTGTACCTGGTCAAAAGACATAATGTTAGCCATTAAGCAATTCAGGCAAGCACTCAATATCTTATACAATGCATGTACAGTGTGTTATGCTCCCAAATCCAGGTACCAGTAGCTATTGTAATACAGGATCACTTGCAGGGGTTCCTCAAGACCTTGGACAAGACCTCCTTGCATCAACCAGTGTGAGTCTATTAATCTTCTTAGATACTCTCTAATGAAACAGTGGTTGTTTCAAAGAACTGAAGGTCTATTTAAAACTACTGTATGACTATTCATGGCTGAGTACAGAGCAACTTTCATTTGCCATGGTAATGGGCTAAGCTGTTTATAAACCCAAACAAGTTCAACAAAGCCGAAATGAATCCAAGTAAATTGAGGTCTAGTTGATCACTCACACTTTAGTTCCCACTGACCAGACATAATTTAACCAAGGGAGGAAGGTGGGCTTCTAAATCTTAAGAATCGTGTATTGTAATCATCCATTTCTACCCGATACCTGTTATTAGATGGACATCAGTGAGCACAATACAAAATGATTTAGTTTATTTTTTTTAATGTAAAATTATATACTATTTTCTCTAAAAATTCCATTGAATTGATGTATATGTAATGTATTTTATGGGGCAAAGGGAGGCTGGGGAACATAACTAGTGTATATTATCTATTTCTTATGAGGAAAATTTATTCCATTAACATTGTTTCTGTTAACGTTGTGATTTTCAAGAAAGTAACCACGACATTAAGCCAGGACTTACTTTACTTATTGCATAAATCAGGGGTTCCCAAGCATTTTCCAGCACGACCTCATCTAGTGCTGCACGGTTTTCTGAGGTTGAAAATCAGGCACATTTTCTGAATATTCCAAGAAAAGTTCCAGAAACTCTCAAAATTTATTTTTCCGGGCCTGGGAGTAAAAATTCCAAGGATGAAATAATCTGTCATTCTGGAAAATTCCAAGAAATTTTCCCAATACCGGGCAAAATTCAGGGGATAAGGGATTTTTCCGGGTTTGAGAGATTCGTCTTGTTACCTGGAAATCTATCATCCCCAGAACTGCTCTGCACCAATTGTGCAGGCTAATGGGGATATCACTTATGCAACCTAACCTAATTTTTTAGGGTAAATGTATTAAAAACTAAGCATTTGCACAAGAAGCGTTACTCTTAAATATTGATTCGTAATTAAAAAATAAAACATTTAAGGTAGTCAAAAGCACTAGAAGAGGAATATTAACCCGTGTACTTTTGAAAAGTCCAAAATACTCGAAAAATATAAACCAGAAGTTGTTATATTTCGTTCATATTTCCACAATGTTCTTATCCGTATAATAAGTACAGTACTATTTTAAAAGAGGTGACTTTTTTTTTTTAATTGCAGGGATCATTTTATTTTTATTTTTTCGTTTTTCTCTATGATTATAAATCACCTGTAGTGGGCAGGGCATGAAGGATGAGGGCAATTTTGGGGTAAAACATGGTGAAAAACTGATCAAATGACACTAAAATGATGTCTCTATGTGGTTTGTAAACAAAGAAATTAATTATTTACCATAAATACCATGTGTCATCTGTTTGTTTACAACCGACCCGCTCAGTCTGAGCATACTATCATGTCCATAAAATATATAAAATTACACCATGATGCTCCAACAAAGTTGCTTTCATTGGTACCAGATATCAAAATAAGTATACTTTCTGTTTAATATGGCAAGGGCTCTGGGGGCAGAGCCCCCAACTTGGAAATTAGATAAGGATAGGTAGGTTTTTTTGGTTGTTAGGTCAGGTTATAGTAGGTTCTAGTAAATGTTGCCTCTTTTAAAATACTTAGTACAGTATAATAATATGAACATCTGTGGAAAAAATGAACAAGATCAATCAACTCCTTCTGGTGGTAGTGTTCTCAGACATTAACTTTTGTTTTTGTAGTGGATACTTTGCCGTGACCAACTAAGTTCCTACTAACGCTATTTTACCATGAGTGAGCTCTGATTGGCGAAGTACTTCCTAGGCTAGGAAGTTTGGTAAGGTTAGATAGGTTGGTTAGGTCAGGTTCTATTAGGTTCTAGTAAATGTCGCCTCTTTTATAATGATAAGTTTCCATGCACAACAGAAATATGGTTAAGTATGTTTACAGCTACACAATGATCAACTCACAGCGAAATAAATGCCAAGTGTCACTTGTCACGGTCAAATATAGTTATCGCTTTGTTCACCGGTAATGAATGATTAGCCAATCAGAGCGCACTCACGGTAAAATCGCATTAGTAGGAACTTACCGGTCACGGAATAATTTTCACTGCCTCTTGTTTTTGCTCTTTCTCTCTATACAAATAAAATATGAAGCTCTGTGATGTAACTACAAGGAATCTTTACCCCCTATCCTGTAATATATATTGATGTGAGAAGTTCAGTAACAACAGGATTCCATTTACTGTACAGTACTGTGCTAGTTTTGCCAAACATTAAATCTCTTGATACGGTTATGATGTGTCTAGTGATGTTTGTTCTCCCATTTATGTAACTTAACTATATACACAGTTAACTCTCCCTCATCTGATATCTTCTCATGTCTGTCTACTTTAGCTTGATCAATCATTAGCCTCTAACACTAGCCACACTAAGCCTGCACTTCTTCTTTAGTTTTATAATTGCATTTTGTTTTTATATTCATAAAGCCCTTACCATCTTTGAGGTTACCCCGTGGCCTCACTGGATGAAATACCAGCGGTTTAAATTTATATGTTCCTTTACAGGTTGACATTTGTGCGAGGTCGTCATCGAGACACCAGCCGCAGGACACCTCTCAGCCATCCACCAATCACAAGTGCGGGAAAGCGAACTACCTAGTTACCATAAATATAAATGTTTATACGTAGCACATGAACGACCCTGCGTATAAATATATAGAGTAAGTGCAAAGAAATAATACAAATAAAAGAAATTTGTTTGGTATTAATTGAAAGCATGAAAAGTGGCCGATTCTTTTCGTACTATTTTCTGTTGGTGCTACTAACAGAACACACCAGTTACTCCTAATACTGTATTATATAATGGGGTCGAGTCCTGTCCTCAGATCCACAGGGGCGGATCCAGAGGGGGACCTAGTGGTCCGGACCCCCTTTTCATCAGAAAATTCCTATGCTTTTTCTTTAATGCAGTATTGTACTCGGGCGTATTTGTATAGTAAAAAGTAATTATTATTGACCTCAGAATACCTCCTAATATTAAGTGTACATGGCCTCAAAATGCCAAATGCCAACGTCCGACGACTTATTTTAACCCTCAGGACACCATGCCCTCCAGCTCAAGGAAATTAAAACAAAATAAAAATAAAATCCAACATTGCTTCACCGAGCATTCCACAACTCCAGAATTTCCGTAAAATCCCTACAGCCCCTTGCTGCCCCTGCTGATGGTCGATGACTCCATTTACTCCAGTGCTATCCCCAACTACTACTGTTGTAATCCTATTCTATATACTGTACACCAAATATAAGTCACCATTGCAATACTTTGTTTAGTTTTTGTTCTGTTCTTACCCAACCTCATCAAAGAAAAAGAGACTAAACCATTATATAGTTGGTAACTTTTACACGGTTTCCTTCTGCATTAACTGGACAATAACGGGCATAACAGAGTACGTAACAATAATATGAAACTGATAAGTAGTAAAGTTATAATAAGTGTTGATTCTAAGATGTGAAAAAATGCGAATCCAGATTTAAAGGAGTGAAAAAAATGAAAGCTGGGAGACGGTAGACACCTTACACAAGAAGGTCCTGTGTCAACAGCTTAATAACCAATAGTCACGTGATGATGATGACGACACACCTTGATATATACTTCACACTTAAGTGACTTAATAAAATAAAAGGATTCAAAGTGACAGTTAGTCTGAAGGATACATCAATTAAAATACGAAGTTTAAACTTAAAGCTGAATCCTCCAGCAGGTTTAGATGACAAGAGTACATTACTGTATACTCTATGTCACCAAGTAATCATGTTCATTAAGCAATTCGTAACAAAAAATGCAGTGTTGGAGGGCACAGATAAGTCACCAATTCCCAAGAGTAACTCAAAAAATGAATTTGTGACTCTCCTTATAAGACTAATGTGGGTTTTGCTTATCATTGCTGTGTGCTGTTGCCTTTATGTCCCCAGTTCTTCTACCTGTAATGGCATGCAAGACTCTTCAACGTTTCACAGGTTCTTTGTTCCAGATGGTAAGTACAAGGTATTGTTTCAGTCATCCAGCGAACTTTAGGATTTTAAGTTTAGGTCAGGTTAGGTTAGATGGATTTTTTTTCCCATTGGTTTTATTTTGTGTTTTGAACGATTCTGACCTACAGTACTTTCAATAGGGAATATTATTTGGGGCTGGAAAACCTGGAAATCCAGGGAATTTTACAAGTAAACCTGGAATTTTATGTGAATTCAGTTCAACTTCAAAGTATTGTTATTTTGACAGTATTCTTACTATATATTAATGATGTATGCTATATAATAGGTAAGTAATGAAACCTTAGGCATATATTCCAGTAAATAATACACTCCAGTAACTGAATTGTCTGTGTACCCGTCATATTCCATGTTAGCGAGCAAATAACCAAATATTATATGTTATACCTACTAATTCTGCAGTGAGAATTGTCAGAGATGAACTGTTCTCATAATTAAGCAAGTTTATTTCAGTGGATTATTCCACATATTTATCATGAGTTATATAGGTGGAGCAGGAGTGTGATTTTCGTTTTTTGCCGGATTTCCGGCTTTTTTGGAACATCCAGGTCGACCCTCGTGAATCGCGCAAATCCGAGGAGAAAAATATGGAGGAGGGTCAAGGTCTTTGCCGATGTTCATCACTAGACCTAATGATTATGCGGATCATAGTTGGTTAAGTAAAATAGTCAGTCCGGTAGCCAGTGGCAATACAAAAAAATGATGGGCAAGTGACCTACAATATTGAGACCCAACAGAGAATCAGCTGTTTAAATTTATCGGCGGGTGGACAGTCGATCGAAGCAGTGACTCAAACTGCCAGTGGATGGTGCTGGAGTTATTCTGGGTTACCAAAATGTGAGGAATTTATGCAATAAAGTTGAACAAAATTAAAGAAATTAAAGACAATAGTGGGAGTCTGACAGCTTTCTGTAACTAGTATTTAGACTAAGTACATCACAGGTACATACTTTAATTAATATTTCAATTTATAGCTGTATAATTTTTTGTCTGTCAGATTGGCTTGGGGTGGGTTCCTAAAGGGTCTTCAATTTTTGTATTAATGTCATATACTGTAGTATATATATATGTATCATCTTTAAATTTCCTAATACTGTAGTATATACTGTACATATTATTGAAAACCTCTAATTTGTCATAAATACTCAATTAATGTACAATACCTGGAATTTTTTAAATTTACACCTGGAAAACCCAGGGAATTTTATTTTGTCTGGCCAGTAGACACCCTTAACTGTGATCATAATTGCCTGTAGTGGGCAGGGCATGAAAGTTGAGGGAAATTTCAGGGTAAAACACGGCAAAAACTAATCACATGACGCGCATAACTCTCACCAATATGTCAAGGGTTCGAGCCTCAGCCCGAACACACGTAAGAAGGGTGTTATCCAGTGTGACCCTCACTACCATATACCACAGGTTTCCCGGTCCCCGGTTTCCTCCTGTACTAACACTGGATAGAGCGCCCAAACGGCTAGTAAGTTGATAAGTGGCGAATATGATAAATAAAAATATATAAAAATAAAATCTTTAAGTTCTTTGTCGGTGAAGAAATAGATTATTCACTGTAAATATTCCTAGTTATATTTCTTCTGTGGTGTTGTGTGCTTGTGTCTCATCGTAAACTAGGAATTTGTGATTTCGGTCTTTGTTAACATTAAAAGTAATGGTGGAGGCTCTCATCAGGGGTTTTATTACCATAAATATTGGCATGATTGTCTTTTGTTTTCAATGTTATAGGTTTCTCTTTTTTGCTTTTCATGTGTATAGGGTGTGGAAATCCCCATTCTTTCTATCTCTCTCTCTCTTCATGCAATTGGTTCTTAAACCTATTCTATGTATAATGGCTGATATTCATATACTGTAGTTGGACTCAAATCCCATATTATGCATTTGAATACATAATCCAATTTCTTTAGAGTAACATTGGAGACATGATTTTTCTGGGTGCCTTGACCCTTCCAGTTGCAGGACCCTCAACAACAGGCTTGCTAGTCATCTTCAAAGTTACACTGCTCACTTCACAGTCACAAAAACAGAGCAAAAGAACTTCATAGTCACAAAAACATAGTGAAAGCACTTCACAATCACAAAAACTGAGCAAAAGTACTTGTTACAAAACAGAGTAGAATCTGAATGTTAGCTATGTCCTGTAACTGAAAGGGAAAGAAACACACCAATGATAACGAAAAAACATTGATAGTGGCTGATACTGCTCACATCATGTTCACAGCAACAGAGGCAAAACACTTTACAATCACCATCTTTAAAGCAGAATATCGTAGATAGGGAGATCCTTGATCTGGGGATACCTGGCCATAAAATGATGATGATGATGATGATGATGATGATGATGATGATGATGATGATGATGATGATGTTGAATCCACTGCTTCCTTTGACATCATTGAAGCTCACAGTTTCCCCTACCCCACAAAGGTGAATGTTCATGGGGAAGAATTATGTGATGGTTTGTTTTAGCATATGGAAATGGTGGTGTACAGTACAGTACTGTACTTTCCATTCTGGCTCAATTAAATTCACTCCAGTTGCTTTCTTAATTAAAGAAAGTCTTAAAACCGTAAATTACATGTGTGAGGGTAGTTACATGGAAAAACATACACATTTAACATTCTGGTTAGAATACACTACTATCGAAATTATGATGGTGTAAAATCTTTTTTGTCTTTGCATACTGCATTTACTATCTTGGCTCTCTTAACAAGGTTTTTTTTTTCAGCGCAAGAGGGCATTTTGAGGAATGGGAGTTCTACAGAGAAAAAAATTGTGTGTTATTATGCATTACCCAACAAAGGAAGTAGTGAGGCCACCATGAGTGCCAAGGACATTGATCCTACCCTTTGTACACACATTATTATTTCCAAGGCCAAAATTGAAAATTCAACCATTGTTCCATTGGATGAAGGAGATTTAAAGGTATAGTATTTACAGTACATACTACTTTACAAATAATTTGTTATCTAACACCAGGTTTGGGTGCCTCACATGATATTACTGATTAAAAACTTGAGTACTCTTAACATTAGGTGCTGGAGCGAACTATAAGTATTGTAGGTAATTAGTTGAAAGCTTTCCCATTTCAACAACAGCCCTTAAAAATGGGTCTTAGAGGTATTAGTTGACACTAAAAATAGAAGGACAAAAATTCTTTCCACTACAGTAGTTCTTTGCTTTGTAACCCTCATTTGACAAACTGACACTTCACTGGGTAACCTCTCAGTTATTTACGAGGTAGAAGTTTAGAATAACTTGAACGAAAAATTCAAACAAAGACATGTGATGGAACCCAAGTGTTTATAACATCGCTTTTTTTTTTCTTGTGAATATAGTACTGTACAGTACAGATATTTATATCTGAAGACAAATTTTTGCTCACTGAAACATTACATTCATGCCTTAAAATTATGATACTTTAGTGTACTGTGCTGTACTGAACTGTATACCACCTCAGTGGTGGATCAGAGGATGAAGAGAAACCTTGAAAGAGGAAAGAAAAAGAGTGAATAACTGCAGAAATGTGAGTCACATGAGAGCCCCGGGGTGCTAAAACACCTCCAGCATAGAATCTTGTTTAAACTGATCTTAATGAAGTTTATGTTAATTTATTTTTTAACTACTGTAATCAATAAACTTGACAGGGAAAAATATGAAAATATTTTTTTCTGCGTCCCAAAAGTTTGTCGTAAAATTTATGACTCCTCAAAATATTTATTAGATTTATTTGATATGAATAATTAAAACTTAGAATTATTCTTTATACTGTATTGGAAAAAAATCGTGGAAAATTAAATGTATATTGTGGGTACTGTATAACAACTGAAGAGAGATATCTCCCCTATGAACCATGAGAAGCACCACCCACAAACAATGCAAAATAAAACTTAAGGGAATACCTAGGACTACTCAGTTTTAAAGACAGAGCCATTGAAGTTAATCTTATGATAGAACATCAAATGCATTGTAATCTCAACATTCATTACAAATTAATTAGTACAATATAAAATCACTGATTATGAATACCGTACTGAGTAAATTAAGCCTCTGGTACTCTTAGCCATACAATAGTTGAACATTTCACCCCCTTGCAGTCTTTAAACACAGGTTGTGCTGGTAACAGGATACTTTTTTTTTTTTTATCTTTTCCATTTTAATAAACTTTGGGTAGAACATTCGAGACCCTTAGAAATGCATCTGCCAGCCCACGAGGCTAGTGGGAGGAGCTTAGGTGGTTGATAGGGGTGGTCCACTGTTCCAGTGTTTGTGTTTATGGGAGGGGTGCCCTCAGTGTGAGATACTACCAAATGGGAGGGGTTGTGCCAGCATGGGAGCACTTAGCGGCGCAATTTCCGTCGAAAGACCACAAGAAGGTTAAATACCATTCATATATGTTAGCATGCTTATTCCCTTAAAATGAGAAATACAGAAGACAAAAATTCCCCACACCACCAGAGTACAGTGATCCCTCGGTTAACGAGCGCCTCGGATAACGAGATTTCGGGAGTTACCTTCCATAAGATTCTTAACTTCAGTTAACGAGCATTCCCTCGATTAACGAATTTCTTACGAGCGCCCCTCAACATGTTTTCGCTTGCACACTTGATGTCATATTAGTCCGCCAATACAGTAATCGGTTCTAGGGCTTAAATTCCATACTATTTTAGTAAATATCAAGAAGTTTGTACAGTACTATTCAATAATTTTAAAAGTCTTAAATTCAAATTTTTAGTCATTTTAACAATTATTTAACATAATTTAAGTACAGGGAAACTAGTTTTTAGCGCGCCAAACAGCCTGTCAACACACCATACAGGCGTCAGTCTCTGTGTCTTTTCAGTGGAGGTAACATCTTGCTTCAGACTCTCTTCAACATAAATGCTTTTTTTCTGTGTTTCCAGTCAAATTATTGGTCATTTTGAAATTTATTTTACATATTGACAATATATAATGCAGTGCAGTGTTGATTTAAAGAAAATAATCTTGAATTACACCAAGTGAACTAAAAAATTTTGGGTGAAATGGCACCATGGGGTGACTTCTCTTCCACCCCAATGTTCTCTTCTCCCTTCTCCTCCACCCCCATTCTAATTCCCATCATCATCATCATCCAGGAGCCTTCTACATACACACCTCAAAGTAAGTGTACTTTACTACCTTTTTTGTTGACTTTAGGCAATTTTCGGTGAGCTGGAACCAATTACCCAAAAACCCATTGACACAATGGTTTCGGTTAACGAATTTTTCGGTTAACGAGCAACCTTCTAGAACGAATTGTGCTCTTTAACCGAGGGACCACTGTATGTTAATTACCAATTCTTCAACACCCTTGTTCTCTTATGACACTATTACTTGATTAGTACTACAGTATATGTATAAATATAAATTATTCAGGTGTATGCTGAAGTGGTGTCATTGAAGAAGCAGAACCCAGACCTTCATGTGCTTCTGAGTCTTGGCAGTGGGTTTCCATCTCTTGTTCAGGACCGTATGGCAGTTGCTGTGTAAGTTGTAATTGTACTGTACAGTGTAGGCATTCAGGTGCCTGTGTGGAAACATAATACAGTTTCAAATATTGTTTTGCCTGATTTTGATGAAACTTGGTAGCTTGGTTGGATGTTAGCTAAGGAACTAATTTAATTTTGTAGAAAATTAGTCCAGTTCACTGCTTGGTAGTTCTGTACTGTATTTTAATTGTTCTCTACCACATAAAAGTATGGGACTATAATTATGTCATGCATGCATACAAGTTTTAAATGAGATAACGCTAACAATTGGAAACATTTTAATAAAGGTTAGTGAGTGGATATAACTTAACAATATGACAGAAAAACTCAGTAGTACTGTACTGTAGTTAGAAATATCCCTCCTTATTTTGGGGAGACACTGTATGACCATATCCAGTTCTCTAGGGTTTCTGTCCTTTATGGTACAGCTTTTCTCCAGAGGAGAAATGGAACTAATATACTACTGATATCTGGTTACCTCTGTAATATTCCAACCAGAGTGCAGGGAATGTTGGGAAGATTTTATTTTGAGATGCTGTGTACCTGTCATTACAAGAGATGTTATTTGTAATGCTTTAGGTTCCAGTACAAAAGATGGGAATTTGTTACTGTAGCCTGATATAATACAGCTAGTACAAAGCTAATCTTTATTATGTTAAGAAACTTGGCTAAACTAATCTTCTTGCATAGAATTTCTAACACAAAACTAAGAGGTAGTGCTTGGAATAGGCAACTGTGCCATGCACTGAAGTCAGGTTGGTGTGTGAACACCATCCTCAAATATTTGTAATATTAGTGACTGTCTCTGAAGAATTGATACAGTCAAGATAAATTTTTGTTGTTGCTCTAACTTATGCATAACTGAAGTACTGGCAGACTCTGATTTATGAACATATGCAATTTCAAATGTTTTATTTTTCCCACACTTTGATTTAGAAGTGAAAATTTTAAAAAATTACAAACAAATGAATATTAATACTGTACTGCAATGAAAATACTGTATGCTAAAACAATGCATTTTTTTCTATTATTATGTTTACTGTACTTACTTCATAACTTATTTAATTACTGTACATTACCTTGTATTTGAATACATGTACATTACCTGAGATATTTAAGGAGGGGCTTGATAGAGGGTTCAGTATACCCTGTATAGCGAATTCGTTTGTTATAGAAAGGTAATACTTTACCGGAGTAGAAGTTCGGTATAGGGGTAATACTGTACTGTACTGTATTCTCTAACACTCACAGTGCTACTAAGTTTACAAATAAATCTTTCTGTTTGTCAAGCTAGTTCCTCGTACTGTCGTTTGTCCAGCTTTCAAGAATTTCCACCTTTTTAGCACTTAGCACTACAGTATATGTTTCCTTTTAGCACTGTTAAACTCAGTTCTATCACACTTAGTACAGTACAGAATACTTTCCATTTCCTTTTAAGACTGTTACACTCATTTCTAACAATTTGGTGTTTGTGTGAAAGAAAAAGAAAATCACTACACTATTAAACAAAAGAGTGCTGAGCACACATGGCCTTATACTTGAACCTGCATCATCATAACTAGGCATCTGGGCTGCTGTGTTTGCACCACGTAAACAAAACAGGAATTTAATTTGATGCAATAACTCGACAGGAGTCGAGTGTGGGATTTTTACATAGAGAATGAATGTTCAATTATATAATGGGGGTCTTTATTAATACAGTGTACAGTACTGTAATCACTATAGATATTGGATTAGTGTTTCATTCTGTTCCCCTTTTTTAAATATTGTCTGGTTTCTCTTTCAGTACAGATATAAAATTATTACTGTACTGTATGTGGAGAATTTTGGCATGTAGTTTTAACACTTTCTTGTTCAACACAGTGTTGACAACACCTATCTCTCACCTTCCTTCCCTACCATATCCTCTTTCTTGAGGTCTCACTACCACTTGATCCACCCCACATAAAAGTGGGAGAGGAATACATATATTTGATGATTAAGAAAGCATCCGTCACTGTGTTTCATGCAGGTTTGGATATAATGCTCATAAGTTCCTAGTCACCCATGGATTTGATGGCCTTGACCTTGACTGGGAGTTCCCTGTGTGGCCATCATGGAAGAAAAACTCCAAGGAGAAGAATCGGTTTGCCTACTTTGTTCTCCAGTTAAACAATGCTCTTAAGGTAAGCAGATACTGTACTATTTATATCACCCCCTCCTAGGTACTGGGTGAACCTAAAGGGGGACACTCAGTGGTTACTCTCTTTGTTACATTAATTGGTTGTCTGGGTGATATCTTCAGCATTTTTTTGAGGTATGAAGCTGAAATTTGGATACAATACTGTACTGTAGTGACCAGGTATAGTACAGTACTGTATCAGTCAACTGAAAATATTCTTTATCAAAATAGCTGTTTATGAAAGGTTTGAACATTTTGAATATGAAATTAAGAATATAGAAATATTTTCTTTTATCTAATTTTCCACATATTACATGAGAGTAAATGAGGAGAAATTAGATGCTCATGCAACTGGCTCAGTGACTGTCTGTGGTGGTGTGAGTGATGACTCACTTAAATTCATGTAAGTGAGGAGTAATTTATATGGTGATTTTAGGAGAACGGTGACACACTGGAGTCTTATATGCAGAGACTACTACTACAGTATAGTCAAACTAACACAAGTACATACTGTACTTTGGTTTATTAAATACTTTCCTTGGACATGTGTTCAATTTGTTCATGAGATATTTTACAAGTACTGTACTGTATTTCGGCAAAAACATTTTTATCTTTATTATTGTACACCATACCCCTTCTCCCATGGTTGTAGGACTTGCAAATGCCTTTTAACAGCAAAATGTAAAACTCTGCATATGAGACACAACACAAATCACAAGTATTTTGCAAATAGACCAATCACTGTAGGCAGTGCAAGAAGTGAAAGAAGCAGTGAAAAATACCAAACTAACTAGGAATTATAAGTCATACCTTTAAGTACAAAGGTAAGAGAATGTTCTCTCCTTTTTATTACGATTTTGTACATCCTCTTCTGGACTGCTGTATACAGGCATGGAAACTGTACCTTCAGAAAGACATAACATCCCTTTCCTAGAAAAGATGTAACACAGAGCAACTGTCATAAGAACTCCTGAAAAGTGGCACCAGTCTTACTAGGATCGTTACTAAATAATCTTAACTACTGTATAGTATTTCAGATCAAGTTTTGTCAGAGTGAAGAAACACATAAAATATAAGAATCTATAATTTGTGGGAAATGATTTATTCCCAATATTAACCAAGAAACAGTATCATATTACAGAGATATGAGTGCATAAATGACAATGATGACTTAAGCAAAGTGTAATAGAAAACCTTTAATTCTGTTGAATAAGTGGTCATGTAAATTGTGAATAATTTTCTTGAAATACTCTTATATACTGTACCACACAGTCTTAAATAAATACAAATAATATTAAATTAAGGTCCTATTCCTAAATGAGGTTACACCTCTGGAGCTGGCAGACGCTCGCCCCACAAGGGGCCTCAGCTCAAGGTTGAAGTAGCCGCAAGCCCAGAAAACTGTGAGGGGTAACTTTTTTGGAGTGAGAGTTGTGAACTCTTGGAACAATCTGCCAGAGAGTGTTGTGACGGCACCGAGTGTAAGATTTTTTAAGACCAGACTTGACCAACACTGGAGCGGGTTCAAATAAATTCAAGAGCCAGTTCATGCCCAGTACTTGCAACAGTGTGTAACAGAGACGTGACCAATCGCCCAAGCGGCTAATGAGCCAATCAGTGATGAAGAGGATAAAGTTAAAAAAAAGTACATATATGTGTGTGTGTGTCTGTAAAACACAAACCAATTTTTTTTAGCTTTTCTTGTGAATACTGAACCTTCCCTATTAAACAAACTCGGAGAATCCCACGGACTTGCAGGCACGGTAATCCTGGTGGCTGTGGCGAGGTGTTCCCAGGTGGTGTCACGCATACAGCTTCCCGAACTTCTCGCTGTCTCAACCAACTACCGGTAATCAAGTTTTTAGGGATGATGATTCTCATATTATGAGAGAAGAGTTATAAAAAAGTAGTTTATGAGTTCAAAAGAACTGAGGATGTTTGTTTGAGCACTTGTCTCTGCCTGTTGATGGAATTTCCATCCTTTGGATGTTTCCAGGAGTGTGGGAGTTTGTTCTCCAGGTCTTCTGTGCTTATACTTGAAGGAGCTGAGCTGATGGTACCTCTTAGTTGGATTCATCTAGGTATAATTTGCTAGGAATGCATTTCTTCCTAAGTTAGGACCTTGATGGTAATAGTGACCATGCACATTGCCAGGATTCATATGCCAGGTACAAAGATGGCATCTCAGAGGATGTGGGAACAGAGGTGGTTTCTCAGATTCTCTATCTGGTTATCTATTTAAGACTTGTGAGCAGCCTCTCCTTGACTTACGCCGGGGTTCCGTCCCGTCGACCAGGTCGTAAGTCGAAAAGGCGAAAATAATACATAAAAATTCTAAAATGGGTGTCTTTTTTTTCTTCTCAGCATCACGAGAACTCTCACTTTTACGCTTTCCAGCCATTTTAAAGGGAATTAAAAAAAAAATTTGTCAGTACACAGTGCGATCACTAACGTCGGGACTCGAAAATACGTAATGTGGGTTGTCGTAATTCGAATATGTCGTAAGTTGAGGAGAAACTGTATGGGTTATTGCTAACTCTCACACCATTGTATCACCAATTTCATAGAAGGGTTAAACATTGAATATGCTTTCCCGATTCTGGACATGATTTGCCATCATGGTTTGACTCGAGGATTGTTGTAATTTAGTTACCAGTATTAATACTGTACTGGCTGTAATATTTTTGAGGATGGCTTCATTTGGCAGGTCTCAGACTGAAGCCCAGATTTAACTCTAAGGGGGCTCTAGGTTTGAATCTTCATATTTTTGTATGTTACATGCTGGTAAAGTGTAAGACATGGTTCATCATACAGTACTATTACAGGACAATGATCTAAGCCATGGTGTATCCTTGTTTTGTTGCCTGCTGTAGGTGTGTAAGACATACTGTACTAGGTTACATCAGGAGATGTACAACATTTTTATTCACCTTTCTTTACCTCTATCCTCTCATCATGTACATACCTACAGGTATTAACTTTATACTCATCCCTCAGGTCTTTAACACCCCTCCCCCCTCCCCCTGCACTGGGCTACAGTAAGTATACCCACCCCTCCCCACACAGGTATGTTCAGAAAAAAAAACCTAATATTACAAACTGATCATGTATGATATAAACAATGAAGAAATACAGGTACTTACCACAGGTTGGCATCTTGGCATCAAAGAGGCTAGGATAAGTGTTGTTGTTGAGTCAGAAAGCACATGAAGTATGAGGTATATACAGTATGTGAGGCAGTGGGGCGAGGTAGGCAGTATGAGGTACATAACACTGATTTGTAGGTCGTACAATACACTTGTTTTATTATGTTATACAGTAACTATTTATTCTTATTAATACTGCCTCCAGTAATTGATCATGAATTTGCTGATGGTTAAGACCCCTACTGTGCTTACATTTGGAGGGTAGAAATGTGTGGTGAGGTGTATGAAGTCAAAGGGTTAGATTCCTCCATCTCAAGAACTGAGAGGTTACTGAGAAGGGAGACTGGGATGCATGAGCGAGTGAAAGATAAATGCCTACTTGACAACATAATCTAGCCAAGCCTACGTAGTGATTCAAACAGTACAGTACAGCAAAATAATAATCTGTCATATGAAGGGATCTGAAGTCTGGGGGTTAATTAAGACAGTGTAAATTGTTGATTTCTTTCATTCTTGTTTGGAATAAATTGAGAAGTGGAGGATGTACAGAATACAGTACAGTACTGTACCTTAAAACCTGCCTCTGAAGCTAAATATAAATAATTTTAATATCTTTCCCATTTGTATACAAATGGATAGGAAGATTTTTCTAAGGCATACCTTAATATGCTGTATACTTTCAGCTAGCATCTCATCCTCCACTTTTGCTGACGGCTGCTGTTGGAGTGTCTAAGAACATTATTGATAATTCATATGAGATTGGTCAGCTTGCAAAGTGAGTGTTGTATATTTTGTTTATTTATTAGCTTGGAAGTTGGGAGTGAATAGATTTTTAATACAATGCAATTCTCAAAAATGAGGATATGACCCTGAAATCCCATTTTAAAACAAATCAGATTTACACTTATCTAAGCTTCAGGGTTTTTTCTGGTGAAAAACTCTGCAGGTAATTAGATCACTTACTCACTTTTGTTCATTTCAGGTGTGTTGACTTTGTCTCAGTTATGGGTTACAACTATCACCAGTTCAAACCTTACCTGCCCTTCACAGGCCATAATGCTCCTCTTGCCAAATCCAGTCAGGAGAAAGGTTATTTCGCTACTTTGAACATCCAGTGGGATACTCTGTACTGGATGTCAAAAGGAATGCCAAAGGAGAAGCTCGTCATAGGGATACCTACCTTTGGACGTACTTGGAAGTAAGATATTGTACACTACACTTTAAAATTACTTGATGTTATATGTAAATGATACTCTTTTGTATGCTGTATGGAAAAAAATAAAAATCCTTGAAAACTTGTTGTATTCGCATAAAATTAAAGATTTCTTCTTCATTACTTTACTACTATGGGTATAAGAAAAAATCTAAAAAATTTGAGAATACTGCACAGGTTTCATTTGTAATACAAAAATTTCCTTAAACGAATTTCTTTAATCGACACCACTAATTCGAGATGCGAAAGTTTACCCTGCTTATATGAATTTGAGTCTGGGCAAAAATACAAATTGCGCGCTTCAGAGAGTCAGCAGGGGCGGCCACATTCCCTTAACAAGTTAGTACTCAACCTACCAGGCTGAGGGAGGAGTGTGTCGTGGCAATTTCTCAACTCGTAATTTCTGATGTATAATCATAACACTCTTCGTATTTTTTTTCATTCAGTTACATGCACACACAATCCTACACACACAATGTGCAAAAAAAAAAGAAAAAAAATGATCATCATCTTAAGGTAAAAACCATAAAGGGAATAAAAGTTTCTCTTACATCCCCAAGAATCATGGGAGGGGAAAGGAGGATCGAGAGGAGGGTGGAGTGTCGCCTGTGTCGGTAGCTTAGCTTCCTGTCTTATTGTTCTTTATCATCTCTGTATTTTTGGGCAGAAATATGTAATTTTTTTTTAATATTTACATGTACTGTACACACAATCTTCAATCAGAATGTGCAAAAAAAAAAAATTATCACAAGATCAAAAACACAAAGGGATTAAACATTTATTACGTGTGTGCAAGAGCTAGTGTTGGTGGTAAGTGGTGGTGAGTTTTGATGGTGTGCGTGTTGGTGGTGACAGGGGTGTGGTGGTGGCATGAGTGTGGTGGTGGTGGTGGGTTGTGTGCTTTGCCTGATTGTTGTTTTTCAACTCGTATTTTCAGGTAGATATACATAATTTTCTTATTTTTTTTTACTCTGTTACATGCACACACAATCTTCATACAGAATGTGCACAAAAAATAATTATCATAAGGTCAAAAACATAAAGGGATAAAAAAAATTATGTGTGGGGGAGTGAGTGAGTGAGCGACCAGTGAGCTGTTCTCTCACCCTCACTCACAGCTCCGTTGTCTCCTGCCAAATGCCAATGCAGTAATTTGTTCTTTTATTTATTATTATTATTTTTATTTATTCTTCACATTTACTTATACTGTACAGTACAGTATACAGCTACTCCCTGACTTACGACGGGGTTAGGGACCGACATCCAGGTTGTAAATCAAAATGGTCGTAAGTCGGAAATGCTTAAATAATACATAGAAAATCTAAAATGGGGGTCTCTTTTTCTTCTCAGCACCACAAAACACTCACTTTTAAGCTTGCCAGCCATTTTAAAGTGAATTACAGATGAAAATTTTGTCTGTGTACTAACTTTGGGACTCGAAAATATGTAATTTGACCAAATTTTGGTGCGACTGAGGCAGGTCGTAAGTGCGGGTGGGCGTAAGTCGAGTAGGTCGTAAGTTGGGGAGGAGCTGTATATCAGTTTATGTACAAAGAATAAGTTCTTCCACATGCAAACCTCCCATGCATCCCACATGTAATGTCCTGCCATAAGGTAATGTACCTAAGTTAAAGTATTTTTTTAAAGTGTTTGGTAGTAAATTAGAGTACAGTAGTTGTGTACTATTTATCATTAGTTAGGTAGGTTGTGTTCTTGTTTGTGAACCGATTTCGTGTTTTTGCTGAGTATGATAATGGGGTACAGTATACAGTATAGATAGTCCCCGAGTTACGTACAAGATCTGTTTCTACGGATGTTCTTAAGTTGAAAAAGTACTTAAGTCGAACCACATACCCTATGTGTATACTGTACTTACAGAACAATGCTTAAAATCCCACTAAATCATAGCTGAAGTCCTTACATACATATAAAATCACTTAATTTAAGAGTAAAGAAGAAATAGCATGACAAAATACAGTAAATGAAAGTAAAAAATAAATCACCAGGTAAATAAAATACTGTGAATATAAAGTTTAACACTTACATTGAGACCTTGGGCTGGCTTCTCGCTTTTTCCCGAATCAAGGCTAGGCTTACAGGCATACACTGCTGATTTTGATCTTCCACCCTTATCACTAACAATCTTTCATTTTAATTATCAATCCACTTTTTTGTTTTGTCATCACAGTTAACGGCATTGGTGCCGTTCTACCAATAACCTACGGTGCTTCACCTCTTCCAAAACAATTCTTGGATGCACTATTCTCACTTGCATCAGATTTGCATTTGGGAGCAATGGTGAGGGCAGAAAAATAGTTAATAAGTGAAAAAACTACCCCTTTCACTTGGTCACACAACTGAGATGAGCATAAGGCTTGCTGACGCTACATAAAGCGCGTGGCTGGGTGAAGCTCAACTCCTCAGCCATCGGGCCGCCATGCAAACTATTTCTCGAACGTTACTACAAACAGTTGTATTTGTCAGATTCTTAAAATAATATACATTATGGGGACCTCATTCATATTGGCGGTTGTTCGCAAGTCGGATGTACTTGACCCAAGGACCTCCTGTATATTATTTTTTGTGCAAGGAATAGCACCTCTGGATGAAGTGACAGTTCAGCCACCCATCTGACTCACATTGGGAGAGGGAGGGAGGGAGGGAGTGCAGTTGGTGCCTTGAATGGCAAGACAGCTATGCAGTTTCAACCCACTGCCTTCACACACAAATGTTCACTTCTCACACATACAGACCCATGCTCTTAAATTCTTAATTTAGAGTTTTATATTATATTTCTGTATTTCTAAGCCACTTTAGATTACTGTATTGTAAATATTTTTTTCTCAAATGAGCATGGAAAAGTGATAAACACAGAGTTAGCGAGAGATACTGGATGGTTTGGCTAGCGCAAGAGCAAGACCCAAGTGTAAAGGGGGGGGTCAGATCATATGAATGGGGGGTGTACTATAAATACACATACAATACTATTCTGAGACCTTACTGTACTCGAATGTGGTTTACATATAAGTATGATGTAAAACTATAAAATAATAAAAAGAAGAGCATGGGTGTGTATATGTGGGAAATGAACATATGAGTGAAGGCAGTGGGCCGTGGTCCCTCCTCCTCTGATGTGACACTTAGCGCCGCAGAGACACGAGTGGAGGCATTGGGCTGAGCTCCGTCCCTGAATGTGACATCACGGCATACACACAGCGCCTCACACACACACATTCAGAGTTAACTGGATGACTGCCTGGCTGAACTGTGTCGCATTGCCCAGAGCATGGTTCAAGTGTGTACATAAAATGTGTGCTATTGTATTTTATGGTATGCTATGTATCAACTTCATTGTTTATCATAGCAATTTCTATTTTTTTTTTATATCAATTTGTTTGAATTTGGCTCACCTTTTGCTCAATGTATCATTTAACTCTGAACCACATCGTATATACAGGTATAGAAGTTTGGTATTAATAAATCAATTACTAAATTCGAAACTGTTTATTGTACTGTATAACAAACTCATTTCTTATTATTATTAGGGGGACTGTATTCAGTGTTTACCACCCTACCGTTAGAACCTGTTGTTCACCCTCCGTGCTTTGCTGTTATTCTTCGTTTAGCCACAATATCACTTAACGTTCAATTTTTCAGGAACACAACCCCATCGTTAAATGAGATATACCTATACTCTGTACTAGAATTTATTTGCACAACACCTGTTCCATGTGTAGTTGATGGTTTTGGGTCACCAGTAGATGAGGACATATGTGCATTCTCCATGATGGCAGAGACACTACTAAGGGACACTAGTGACACACGGATGGAGACCCAGTGAGACATATGATGCAGTTTACAAATGCTAAAATTGTGTGCCGTTTAAAAAGTGCCACCCAAATTTGTGATTGTGGACTCATATTAGGTATGTCACAGTTTAAGGCTAAATGGGGAAGAACTAAAGGTGGTATTACACAGACACTTATGCCAGCAATGCTCACTTTCAGCTAGTACTAGCAACTGATTTACAGGGGCTAATGGCTGGAGTTTCACCTGCCAGCAGCTGGTTTCTTCAGCCCGATGTATTGGTCTTGAAATCGTAACTACCGGCATATCTCCGAGCCAAAAGACAACCAATATTGTAATACTGTATATTAAAAGCTAAAAGAAATTGTTTATTATGTTTTGGTGGTGGTGAAGTAACCATCCAGCTCGTTATAACATATACAGAAAAAACAAATTCTATACAGCTAATTTTAATATTTTGTTTTACATACTTCTTGTCCATTTACTAGCATTTATATTTTTATTTCCAGTGAAAATACCTGTACAAAAGAATCATATGAAACTTTAAATTATGAACACAGGTAAGACATTTATCCTCAAAATATAAAAACTAATGTTAATTAGGGATATTCTTATTAGTTTATTATGTTTCTGCAATTCAGAGCCAAGCTTTCTTCCTTCTCGTAAGCCAGGAACTAGACCACAAACTTGTCTTTTCACTTTTACATTCAACACAATACAAAGCAACAGTTGTAAGAACTAAGAATTCCTTGTCAAAGTCTTCAAAGGCATCCGTCGTGTAAATACAAATCTTAAAAATCGAGGGGAAAACCACTGCTGCTGGTGTTAGCCAAAAGCGAAAAATGCTTGTACAAGTGCCCATGTGATGCCACCTTAAGTCCGTTTAAATGGAGATAAACCAGTTTTAAGATTTACGCCCGTATTATTAAACAACATCTTCCCTTGAAGAGGGTCGTCGTGTTTCAACCCGAGTTTTAAACTAAATGAGTCCTGAGGGACACCACAGTACTGTACCTAACGGAGTGTTGTGGCGGTAAAATTAACGAATTCCAATAAAATTAATATATAATATTGGAATTAGTTAATTTTAAAGCCACACCACCCCGTTAAGTACAGTAATGTACTCCGGTGTCCCTCAGGACTCATTTAGTTTAAAACTCGGGTTGAAACACGACGACCCTTTTCAAGGGAAGATGTTGTTTAATAATACGGGCATTAGAGTCTTTATAATTTGTACACATGCATTAAGTGTTCTCGTAAGAGTACTTCAGTTTTTTATAGTGTCGAGTCTGTCAGTTTTTTGGTGCAACTCTGTTTACATTATTGTTTACTCTTCAGGTTACTGAACAGTAAATGGCACAATGTTGGGGCTCCTGCAGTTGCAGAAGGTATGCATGAAGGAAAGATCACCTACTTAGAGGCTTGCATCTTTGTGAAAGAAGGAGCGGTGCATTACTTTGATAATGAAAGTAAAGTTCCCTATGCTGTGAGGGACCAGGACTGGGTGTCGTATGAGGACACTGTCAGCATCAGAGATAAGGTATGAAAGACCAATTTTGTAATTTTGAAAATTTACAGTTTTCTCCAAAAGAGTATGGACTGGTTGGAGGGGGTTCATTCATATTTCCAGTTTAATTTACTCTGGTTTAATTTGAAAGGGTGGATTTATTTGTAAAAGAACCAATCGACTGTTAGGAAACTAGTGTATTTCATTTGGTAATTATTTTTCAGGTCATAAATTTTTTATTTTTCAGGTACAATGGATCCTTGCTGCTGGTGTTGCAGGTGTGATGACCTGGAATTTGAATAGTGATGATTGGGCAGGGTTGTGTAGTGGAAAAAAATTTGAACTGCTCAACATTGTGAAAGATATGCTTTATCACTCATTCCCAAAGAATTGAGGTAGGCAAAGCAGAATTGCTTAGGGAACTTCTAGACATATGGGTTACATTGTCAAATCTTATACAGGCATTTCCCAATTTATGAAAGGGTTCCATTATTAAAAAAACTTTTGTAATAAATTAATTTTTCTTTCAGGCTCCCATTTTAAAAGCTGAGGTATGTTTCTATGGGAGGGGGGAGGGGAGGTTTTAAAAAGCTACAAAATATGTAGCCAATAACAAACATATTAAGTGAAATACATGCAGTACTAGACAGTAATATAGGTATCCCTCGTTTGGATTCCTAAAAAAAATTAACATTTAGCGAAATTATCGCTAAACGAGAGATAACAGAAAAGCTCGGAGGGCAAACAACAGGTTTAAACGGCATGGTGGTAAACAATGAGTACAGTCTCCCTAATAATAAACTCGTTTGTTACAATCAGTTTTGAAGTAAAACGATTAATATTTTAACACCAAACTTCTTAAACAATGTGGTTCAGAGTTAAAGAATTTAGTGAGCAAAAGCCGAGCCTAATTCAAACAAATTTAAAATTGTTTACAGGCATACATAAAAATTGAAAACAAAAATTATACATAGCATATTGTAAAATATAAAAGTACAGTACATCTTTTATGCACAAAAAATAGCTCCAGCCACATTCAAACCATCCTCTGGGCAGTCACCCAGCTGTCTTTGAGACAGGAGTGTATGTGCCGTGACGTCACATCAAGAGGTTGAAGGGAGTTGGCGGCGAGCTGAAGCAGTTACAGCCCACTGCCTACACACGTTCACTCCACATACACACCCATGCTCTTCATTTGTCTTATTTCATAGTTTTATATAATATTTTTTTCTATTTCTAAGCCACATTAGAGTATTATAATAATTTCCATAACTTTTATAGTTTCATTACATGTAACAATGGCAACATGCCACTTCATCCCCAGTTTTCCCTTTCCCAGTGAGCCATGCTATTGCTAAACTGAATTTTGACCTAATGTTAAGTTAGAGAGGGTGTCAAAATCTTTTTTCACCACTAAACCAAATTAACGTCAAGTGAACTAAAGCCAAACCCTTCATTAACGAGCGGTTCAATTTACGAGATTTCGGTTACCGAATTAGTTCCCATAAGGATTTTCAGTTCTATTTACGAGTACAACTTCTATTAGCGACAGCCTTACAAGAAACACGCTTTTGTTTGCTGATCAGCTAGTCCGCCAATACAGTAATCGGTTCTATGTTTACATTTGTTTCCAATGGAGCAAATATCGAAAAAGTTGTGCTCTTGAATATTTTTGCATTTTTTATATTAAAATTATTGATCATTCTGAAATTTAGTTAACATATTGATAATATATACAGTACAGGGTACAGTTTTTGTGCGCCCATCAACTGATCGAATCGCTCGCCAACGCTTCTCAGTTTAACTCTGTTTACAGTGGAGTAAACATCGAGTTTGTTGGTCTCTTGAATATTTTTGCATTTTTACATTAAAATTATTGGTCATTCTGAAATTTAGTTAACATATTGATAATATAAGTGCAGAAATTATTAAGAAATACGAAGAAGGCATTAGAACCAATGCATTCTGTAAAGAATATGGCATGTCATCATCGACTGCATCTACAATCAGCTGTTTGCTAAATAAACAAAGCCACCGGGAATACGACATACACACCTCAAAGAAAGTTAAAATACAGTATTCTATTGTTGTTTTTATTTATTATTGTACCATATACTGTACAGTACAGTACTGTATTTTGTTTATATTTAATGTTTTGTTAATTTTATTATCGGTATACAATGATCCCTCGGTTAACAAAATTTTGGTCAACGAATTTCCTTCCATAAGATTCTTAACTTCGGTTAACGAGCATTCCCTCGATTAACGAATTCCTTACGAGCGCCCCTCAACATGTTTTCGCTTGCACACTAGCTGTCATATTAGCTGTCATATTCTAGGGCTTAAATTCCTTACTATTTTAGTAAATATCAAGAAGTTTGTACTATTCAATAATTTTAAAAGTCTTACATTCAAATTTTTAGTAATTTTAACAATTATTTAACAATTTAAGTACAGGGAAACTAGTTTTTAGCGCACCAAACAGCCTGTCAACACACCATACAGGCGTCAGTCTCTGTGCCTTTTCTGTGGAGGTAACATCTTGCTTCAGACTCTCTTCAACATAAACGCTTTTTTTCTGTGTTTCCAGTCAAATTATTGGTCATTTTGAAATTTATTTTACATATTGACAATATATAATGCAGTGCAGTGTTGATTTAAAGAAAATAATCTTGAATTACACCAAGTGAACAAAAAATTAATGGTGAAATGGCGCGACTTCTCTTCCACCCCAATGCCTTCTCTTCTCCCTTCTCCTCCACCCCCATTCTAATTCCCATCATCATCATCCAGGAGCCTTCTACATACACACCTCAAAGTAAATGTATTTTACTACCTTTTTTGTTGACTTTAGGCAATTTTCGGTGAGCTGGAACCAATTACCCAAAAACCCATTGAAACAATGGTTTCGGTTAACGAATTTTTCGGTTAACGAGCAACCTTCTAGAACGAATTGTGCTCGTTAACCGAGGGACCACTGTACAGTACAGTACTTTGTATGTATTTTTCCGGGAGTTGGAACCAATTACCCAATATCCCATTGAAATAATAGATTCAGTTAACAAAATTTTCAGTCAACGACCAACTCTGTGGAACCAATGGTGCTTGTTAATCGAGGGACCATTGTATCACACTTCATGGACTGTTTAAAAAGCAGTGCCTTAAAGATACAAGAAGTCCCGGGTTACGAATGAGTTCCGTCCCTGAGGACATTCTTAAGTCAGAACACATACCCTATGTGCACAATATCACAGCCGAATTTTTTTTTTTTTTATATCTCGAATCACTTAATCTAAGAGAAAAAAATAAATTGAATGGTAAAGAAACCAAAATTAAAATTTTAACACTTTGAAACCTGGGATTGGCTTGCTTGTAGAGATGGGCATTTGTAGGAGTGATAGAGGCTTTATTGGGATGAGTGAACTGAAACTTTCTTCTTTTCATCATAAATCTCTCTGGAGCATAGTAGATATTTAGTAATACCTCTATGAATCTTGGTGAATCTTGCTATGTTGGTATCTTGTTCTTGAAATTTAAACAATCCTTTTTCAATAAGCCTGAAACCATCTGCCATTTCTTTTGTAATGAATCCCTTTGGTTCTGGAGTTTCAGCTTCCTCTACATCCTCTGACAAAATTTGCTTCTCTAGTTCAATCAGGTCCTCATTGCTTAATTCTTCAGCATGAGACTCAAGCAACTGTGTGACATCATCCTCATGAAGATCAAGCTGGAGTTGGTTCCCAAGGTCTACCACTGTCACTTCCCCATCATCATTTTCAAAACCCCTGAAATTGTGGACAAACTGTGGGAAGTGTTTTTTCCAAACACTATTTGCTCTTACCTTGAACCGGCTAAACCAGCCCCTACTAGTAACAAAATCTTCCCCCTCACTTTCACCACCACGTTCAGTCTTCAAGTCAGCATGCAAGCTTCTTGTTTTTTCCTGAATCAAGGTTTGATTTAGAGGCAAATCCCATTGATTTTGATCTTCCATCCATATCACTAACAATCTTTGCATTTCAACTGACAATCCACTTTCTTTGTTTTGTTATCACAATCGAGTGCATATTCAAGAATTTTCTGTTTGTCTTTCAAAATTGTTCCGGCCGAAGGCATTTCGCCTTTTTCAAAACGTTTAATTACATCAAATTCCACTTCTATTGTAACTGTTTTCCTTTTTTGGGATGCACTACTAACACTTGCATCAGGTTGGCTGGATGATGCATTACTCCCCATGCGCCGCTACACCACACAAACTAGTTCTCGTACGTTAATACTTTGAACCCACTTTGTATCGGCACAAAGAGGTGCCAGCCAGCCAGGTGTCTGACTTTTCTCACCTGATGCCTCTTGTGTTGCTGGCATTCTCCACACCTCCAAGCATTTCTTCACTTTCAATTCTTATATTTTCTCCTACAAATTTACACCTTTCTTGTACTTAATTAGCATGTGAAATTTAAGAATTCAGAATTATTTTTTTTCTAATTTTCCACATGCAGTACAGTACATGAGAATAAATGGCTGTGAGTGACGAGTCACTTGTCATTATGTATGCGAGGAGTAAGTTATATGGCGATTGTAGGAGAATTATAACACTTTAAGAACTTATTTTTGTTAGTCTTAATAAAATTGTGAGGAGTGTTGAAGACTAATCATGTATGTTGGCAAAATAAGTCAACATACCATTAGTTAAAAAAAACTGCATTATTTTTGGATATTTTCATTATTACACTGTTATAAGCCTATTTTATTTTCATAACTTCGGAGGTTTCATTCTTAAATTAAAGCATATGATTTTTTTCCCCTAACTTTGAATTTTCATAAACTGAAGTTTCATAAATTGGGAACTACCTACCTGCATTATACGGTAGACCCTTGTCATTCATGGGGGAAAGGTTCCAAGAAATAGTGTGAATTGGTAAAACCGTGAATAGCAACTTATACTACCCTAGTGCACTACTGTATACCTATACCAAACAACTGACCAGCCATGGCAGCACTCATTCCCTCTTTTAACTTGCCTAATAATAAAACTTTCTTTGTCAGGGTCATCACCGACTTTTGCCTTTTACATTTCACTCCACCAGCATCACTAGCACCGACACGAGGCAGTCTTTTAGGAACCCTTTCCCACAGAAACACTAAAGTTTTGAGAGTACAACAAGAGATGCTGCATTGGGTGACTCATTGTTCTGCGGGAAAGGGCTTGCAAGCTTGCCACCATCTGCTTACTGTGAATTGTTGAAATCGCGAATCGCAAACTTGCGAATGGCAAAGGTCTACTGTACTAAACTCAAAGACTCGCTCATCTGTGAATCTCTTGACACTCAGTGGTACTTTCTTGACTCCATCAGGGCTGCCCCTGTAGGTTGTTTTCCACATCTAGGTTTTGCACATTCTGCTCTTTTCATTATGATCCTACTTTCTGAAAGACATTTTTAAAGCTTTAAGAGCAATAAAGAGGATATCAGTACCTGTTGTTGATTAGCATAAGCTAAAATCAGATGGTGGATTTTCTAGCCTGTCTTTGTTTGAAGTACCACTGTAGGATAAATAGAGGGTTTGCCAGAGGAAAAACTTTCTCAGGTATCTCAGTTCTGGCTAATATCATTTAGTATAAAGTCCTGCAATCTCAATGTATTGCAACATATTTGTGTAACCGTAAGTATTTGATCTCACTATTATAGCCCACCACCTTTATGTTGGTTAATCATTTGTCCATTTATAGTTCATGGATAAGGCAATTACTGTATGTCCTTTACTTTATGATGCATCTTTATCCTCCCTTCTGGCAAAGGATGACTCAATTTATATGGCAGGTGCATGTTCTGTAGTTAACTACACGAATCCTAATCATATATAAATAACCCTACAATGTTTCTCCACTTTTGAAACATGTTGACTTTGTTCACTGAACAGGCCTGTGTGTTCCTTGTCATACATTTTGCAGTTCACAGTCTTACCCAAGCCACAAGAGGATTTCGCACTCAGATATTTCTTTTTAGAAAGGTCTATATTCATCATTCATTACATCACTTGAGGCTGATTTATCTCACTGTACTACTGTAAACCTTGCCATTTGATACTGTAATGGTCATGACCTCATTCTTAACATGTTCCAGTATTTACTGTCATGATAATTATTACATTTTGCAGTTTCTTGTAATGGAAAAATCAGGGTTCTTGTACAATTATTCATAAAATGCATGTATAAGAGAGAATTTGGCACAATTTTACTTTTCTATTTCTGTTTTAAAATATGATGTTGAATGTGGAGGGAAAATTGTATGCCACAGTTATTATTTTATCAACAAATATGAAATACTTAAATAGTATTTGCACACATTTCATTCCATGTTACCAGACTATGAAATGACCTCATTCAGGGATATTCTTGTGCCCTTTCAGCAAATGGTTAACATGGATGTCCCTGATGTAACACATCACCACATTTGCTGACATAATTGAATGGTATGTTCAAAGGAAAAACCATGAATTTAAAGTTTAAAATAATGCATTAATAAATTTATGTATGATATGTTCTAAGGAGAAAATAAGTGAATTTAATGTTTAAAAATAAATGCATTAATAAAGAACCAATAAATAGTATTAAAATTCCCTTGATGTTCCTAATCTTCTAAACAATAACTCTGTCAGTTTGATTGGGTTTTTTTTAAAATAGCAGGGAAGGTATATGATGGGACTCCATAGTTATTAGTACTGTACAGGTTGTACCTCTCTAGTCTGGCAACCTCGGGTCCTGACCGGTGCTGGACCATGGAAATTCACCCTTTACCTGGACAGATAGTGACTTGCACTTACGTTAGCACCACTTTCACTGCTTCGTGGTCTCTTTGAAGACATATTGAAGGGTTAAATGTCGTACAGTAGCTTCTCAAATTTTGCGAGTTTTTAATTCAACGTTTTTGATTGGGACACAAAAAAAAACACTGCATAATTTAAAATTTTGACGGTGGAAACTCGAATTTCGACGGGTTTGAGCGATCCGCCAACGTTTTGGCGTGCACAATCGTGTAAACAGTGTCATTTCTCTTATGTACAAAAGATTCATTATTGTTTATTACTGAATGTCTTTTTTATGGAATTAATGTTTGTGTGTGCAAAATGAGCAATACAATTCATTAATAATATGTAGAATATTAAAACACACGAGGAAATGAGACAGCATTGTTTTCGTTGATTACAAAACCAGTGACTGAGTGGTTCTACATATAAAACAAGAAAATAAGACCCTGGTTGTAGCTGTAGTAAAATTAATGTAAAAAATGAATATGGTTGTTTTAAGTAATGTTATCTAATGCTAATAAATGGAACAATATAAGTAGCTAACCATTAATGTTAAAGAAAAAAGTGAGATCGCGTATTTAAGTGCGCACATGTGAAAACATGTCGTCATTACTCTACATAAGAATATGAAAGCAATACTTATTTACTGTTCATATATATTGAAGGGTTAAATGTTGTACTCTGTATAGAGAAACAGAGAGAGAGAGAGAGCCGAACTGCCAGATGTAAACAAACCTTAATTTCCCGCGGCTTTGTTTTTTTTTTTTTACAGGGATTAGCCCACCCAGGCACAGGTCACTGACCCACATTGGAGCCTGAGGGGCGAAAATGTAATACTCCTGTGATGATAATAATAATAATAATTCAGATAAGTAATAAAAAATAAGTAAATAAATAAAAAAATAGCTGCCTATCTACCTATTGGGCAAACTAAAATCATTCCGGACCACAGAATGCCAGACTAGAGAGGTACAACCTGTACTATGATTATGATGTAAAAATTAACACTAAATCAATTACAGCTTGATGAATAAATTGAACTTGCATATATGAATTCAAGGTGCTATAAAGATTTCTTATAGACAGATAAGCATTTATAATTTATTAAATCCATAATATTCAACACAAAAATGGTTAGTGAACTGAAAATGGGATTGGGGCTCAAGGGTTAACGCTTTTAAAATTCTAAAAATTTACACTACAGTATATTACAAAATTGTAGTGTTTTGAAACAAAAATAATCAGCAGAAACTCATTCCTTCACACAGATGCTATATGTTGATCTTGCCATTACAAGCTGCAATTTCTTTTAATTAAATAAAGCAAAGTGGAAACTTGCAGAAACTTTTTAAAACAATTTGAATTACCATCTGTAATTCAGTAGTTATAAGATTCCAATACTTTCATGCACTGAAAATAAGCTCCAATTACAGAAACATATCCTCAAAAATTATGCTGCTTTGTTTGGCTTTCAAAAATTAATGTTATTTAGCTTGGAAATTTAATTAATTTTGAAAAAAGAATTTTAACTCTGCAAATGTATTGACGGGGAAAATAAAGAACCTGGGAAAGATGAGGACAGATATCAATGAGGGGTAATTAAAACAAGATAGGAAATACAAAAATCTGAGAATTAATGTAAAACAGTAACTGGGCTACAAAATTACTGCTACCACATTAAATATCTAATGTGTCAGATCATTTCCCCCTCTGTTCTGCTCACATACGATATCAAGATCAACTACTGTAACAGACAGCTTAACTTTCATTTTATAAATGTATTTAAAACTACAGTCCTGGTGACTGAAATAAAAGATTTAATAAAATATCGCAATATTATGACTTAACAGCTACTGGCTTATATGCTGGTCTTTCTGCTTCATCTATGAGCCTGTATCTTATCTCAACACTGCTTTAATACCTCCCCAGAGAATTGGGGAGGTATTAAAGCAGTGTTTGATAAGATACAATGAAACAATGAGGTTCTACTGTTCAGTGAAAACCTTTCATAAAGTAAATCCCCAAAATATTAGGCTACAAGAAAGTATGTACCCCTTTAAATGCATCCGATAACCTCACTAACACTTAAATGTTACTATCCTATAAATAATTATTAAGCACAGCTGACAAAAATAGTAAGCAGCCAAACTTGTACACTATCCTTATAAACAGTAAGAAAATTATCACAGATTTACAGGAATTATAAAATTTTTGAGATACGACTTGGTGTAAATCCCAAGTCTCACTACATAAGATACACCATTACAAGAGTTTCTGGATGCAAAAAATATACTTTAATGGATATCTTAATATATACCTAATAAAGAAGTGGTGAATTTCAATGAACTGCTCTTCCAGAAAGTTGAACTGTGAGGACTTTCTTATCCTCCAGGACAGTCAACTTAAGATGGCAAGAAAAGAGTCCTGTTGTTTGAGGCCTGAAGTAAACAGGAACACTTACATAATGGCCAGACTTAATCCTGAACTGTGTGTGACGGACTGTAAAAGGACCCTGGGAGATTTCTGCTTTCACCTGCAAATTATGTCAGTCAGAATTAGTATCAATGGAAAAAAAAAAACCTGGGAAGACCAAGAAATAAAGGAAAAGATGGAGTGATGGATGCAAGAAATAGATAACATGGGGGATGAACATCCACAAACAGTAGGCTGGCTAAAAGCAGCAAATATGTAGAATACAAATGTGTGAAAAGCATGCATGATGTTTCAATATGTCTATTCACAGAGGAAGTAAAAATGGTGAAGCATAATAATAATAATAATAATAATAATAATAATAATAATAATAATAATAATAATACATTTATAATAATAAATTTTGAAAAAGAAAGCCAAAAATATATATATACAGTATACAGATATACATTGTATAGGTCAAAATTCAAAGGGAATAATCACAAATATGCTACAGAAATTCCTCACCTACCACACCAGTGTTGCCATGGGATACCAAGGTAATTTACAGCTGTCAATAAGGAAAATCAGGTTTATCATACTGGTATACGTCCATGCATCAGAAATCCGCGCAAGTGATGCCCTTTAACGTGTTAAAATCGCTATATTGTACTTGACTCACCATACCTTTACTTAAGAACGACATTTGATAACCAAATTAGCCTTCCAAAAATTAAATATAATGCTACATAAACTGCCTCAACATTATAAAATAAATATTTTGTGAAAGCCCAGGAAGTTAAATATACAATACTCCACAGTCTTCACCAAATAGTGGAGGTGTGGGAAGCTCTGGGAGACGATGGGGGTCCGAGGCAGAGGGTGAAGACTAGTTGGAATCAACAGTTGGCGTAGCTACTGGGGGAGGGGGGGGGGGATACCCCCCACAAATTGGGAAAATAATTGGTTGCAAAATGCAATTTGGAAAAAAAGAGAGAAAGAATTTGGCTAGTGGGGCAAACGGTGAGGAAGACATTGATCTCAGCCCTTATGATTACCAAGCTTTGGTTGAGGCTCTAGTATTATTTTTTATTCTTTCATGCTTTAAGAAATAAAGGTGTGAATCTTAGATATTACCTTGAATTGAAAACACTAATAAATGTCATGAAATAATATGAGATGAAGAGGTGAAACCTAGATATTATGAGGCAGCACCTCGAATTTAAAATATTGTAATGTAATGTTATTAATTAAGCAGCTTTCTTCTCAAAAAAATTTTCTTATCACAGCTCCTGGGAATGTAAGAAATTTTTTATCTCTATGTTTTTGACCTTATGATAATTATTTGTTTCCACATTCTGTATGTAGGATTGTGTATGCATGTAACTGAATGAAAATAAAAAATATGTAGAAAGCTATGTTTATCCTGTAAAGCTGAAATTACGAGTTGAGAAATAACCATAACATAACTCCTACCTCAGCCTGGTAGAGAGTGCTAGAGGTATGTGGCTGCCTAAGTACACTCATAGCATGAACAACCATATGTATACTCACAGTATGAATAACACCATCAAGGTTTCTCAGCTTCACTTTTACATAATTTTCTTTCATTGTAGAAGTATTTGGGAAAATAACATTATCTGATACCACTTCCACTAGACTCTTGGCACTATCCATGAGGTTCAAATCACTGTCACCACTCACTTTTTGGCTAGTTTTGCTTGCTGTTGGCATGCTGAAATGAAAAGATTAAGACAGTAAACCTTGCCTAATCAGCTGATTTTCCATCCATGACTAACCAATTCATGGCCCACTGAATTGTAGCACCGTATACAAAATACGAGTAATCCACACAAACCGTGCCCTCTGCAGTTAGAAACTAAAATATACTACACTGAAAATACCCAAAATATTCTGTATCTACACAAATATGATACAACAAGAAAATTAAAAGATTCATATTACTACTTGCATGTAAAATCCAATTTCAATACAGTATGAATAAGTACAACACATAACAAAATAAACATACGATATAATGAGTGGTGGTGGGGTACAGGCAGAGTGAAACTCAGGCAACACACACAATATGCTAGTTACAGTACACTTTTCTCTTATGTATATCAAATTTAAATTTCTGTTAACTAATAAGCTATTAAAGGTACAATGATAAACTTCAACACAATTCTACACAAAATGGGTCCCTCTACAGCAATGGTTCCCAAAGACCATATGGCCAGTCACCCCTAAGTCTTTTTTTTCTTTTAAATGCTCATGAAAATCGAGAGATTTGCAGACAAACAGACTTCTTTAACATTTACTCCACTATATATAAGCAATGTGGCTTAGCAATAAAGAAAATATAATAAAAACTATAAAATAAGAAACATGAAGAGCATTGGTGTGTGTGTGTGTGTGTAAGAACGTATGTGTGGAGGCAATGGGTCATAACTATGCCACCAGCCAGTCCAGCCCCCGAGCTGCACTCCCTCCGCCAATGTGACATTATGACATCCAGTACACACAGAGCAGCGCGACAGCAGCAGCTGGCTAACTGCCTGGCTGAACTGTGTCATGTTGCCCAGAGGGTGGTTTGAGTATGGAAGGAGCTATTTTGTGTACATAAAATATGTGTTATTGTATTTTATGACATGATATGTATCAATTTCATTGTTTATCATAGCAATTTTTGTGCTCACTAAATCGTTTAGCTCGGAACCGCATCGTTTATACGGTGGAATAAGTGTTAAAGAACTGTCCAATAAAATGTCATTGGAGTAAAATTTAAAACAATAAATGTTTATGTTGTAAAACAGAATTTTTTTTAGCACAAATAGAATTTTTTTAGCAATTAATTATTAAATTTTCCTGTGTTTTTAATTCTTATTGTACAAATCTGTGCCTTTCGGAAATTCAGCCATGGTAGGATACCAACTAACACGACTTTGCGAGGCCTACCCGTAATCTTTAATTACCTACAGGAAGTTGCAACCCTCCTTTGCCAGCTAAGAGAGCACCTGAAAGTTCTACAAGAAATGCTCAGTTCCTGCTCTGTAAAAGTGGATTGGTGCTAGGAAGGGCATCTAGCCATAAAACCTGCTTCAGATTTTCTTTATGGTAATTTTGATAAGCTCCTGACTAAAGAGGATGTAAGAGATCATGCAGCCAAGAAAGCTGCCATCAGGTAATCACAAATAACCCTTGCAAGCTTGGGAAATAACTATAAAATGTTTATGATAATAATGATGATATGAACATTCTCTATAGATTAAAGAAAAACATAAAAGAAAACTAAAAATTAAATACCTATTATATTTCACAGCAAGTGCTTTAATTTCATGACCTTGAGGATCAGTTGATGCCTCCTTCATGTGGAATAGGTTACCAGTAGTTGACTTAGGCAGTGTTGGGGGATGAGGTGCAGCTTGGGACTGTAGAGATGGGACTGCCTGAGGCTGGAGATCCTCATCACCACCTCCAGTAGGAAGGACAGTAATTTTTGCACACCGGCTCTCATTCTCACACATAATCTGTGGATTGCAAAATGTGAATTCTTCATATGATTTACATTGCTGGAATTCTTATAAGATCGTGATTAATTTGCATATAAACGTCATATATTTTGCACAAGAGATAAAAATTTTAGTATATAGTACATTTTAATAATGTATAAAATTTTCAACTGTATCTTTGGGTAGATTTACATAAATTTCTGGGTGTCTTTTTCTTCTCAGCACCGAGAACTCTCACTTTTACACTTGCCAGCCATTTTATAGGGAATTACAGGTAGTCCCCAACTTACGACTGCTTGGACTTACGTCCGTCGGGACTTACGACCGCCGTAGATGTGACCTTTTTTTTATTTATTTATTTATTTTTTCCTCCAAATGACGCGCGCATTTTCTATACCAAAATGTTTCCAGTTAATGTAGTCTCCATGTATAATCAGAAAATTATGGGGGCCCCATGTGCATTCAGCTGACTACAGTAAAGGTAAGTGCTCAGTCACACTGTATCCATTCCTCATTATTTATTACTTTTACTGTACTGTATCCATTCCTCATTATTTATTACTTTTACTGGACTGTATTTCATTGTAGATTTTTTATTAAAAAAAAAAAAAAAAATTTGAGAAAAAAATTTTGAATTTTTTTTTTTTAATCTATGTCGGACTTACGACCTGGATTTGGGTCCCTACCCCAGTCGTAAGTCAGGGAGCACCTGTACAAATGAAAATTTTGTCTGTACTGATGTTGGGACTCGAAAATACGTAATTTGTCAAAATTTTGGTACGACTGAGGCAGGTCGTAAGTGCGGGTGGTCGTAAGTCGAGTAGGTTGTAAGTCGGGGAGGAGCTGTATTTAAAAGCTCTCTTGCATTTCTTTGGTATTAATGGCAAAGAAAACAATACCTGCAACATGCCAGATCTTGCACATGTCTAAAGAAATTAAAAAAGTCTCTTTTATTCCCTGATGGGCTTTATATAATCAGTAATATAAACAATGATTAAATAAGATACCGTATATACTCGTCTATAACCCTCCCTCGTTTATAGGTTGACCCTGATTTTTTGACCAAGAAATCGTTAATTTATGATATTCATCGTTTATAGGTCGACCCAAGTTTTTGAGGGTAATGGAACAACAAAACCTTCAGTAAAAAAGCTCTACGTCCTATAAACTGAGGCTCGCTGTGCCTGAAACACCGAGTGCCGAAGGCAAATTGTTTACCATTTATTATTACAACACTTTACACTGAAACGCAGGTAGTTTCAACAAAAATATTGTATATTTCCATTCAAGTACTTATTCAAGTCAATTAGGAGGGAATATTATTGTAATACAACAGTTTTTTAACTGAAAACCATTCGAAAAGCGATTACGGTAAAATCTTTTGAACAACGAAAGAAAGCGAAAGTCATTGTTTTCGTCACGATTTTATCCTACTTTCCACTGTAATACGTACGTCATTTCAGCAAAAATATTACATTCCATATTTATTTCTGAGAATATATTCATTCAGGCACATTTAAGGTAAAATATACTTGTGATGTAATATTTTAATGAAAATATTTAGAAATACGGTATTGTAGTTTTCTTTTGTTTCAAATTTAATGAACAAAAATTTATGTATCTATAAATAAACCTTTGAAAATGAATACTTTATGTTTTACATCGTCCTGTGCTACCATACCATGCATTTGGCTACTTTGGGCTTGCTATGATGACGCAAGAGATCTGCCCTGGCAACTGTACCGACACACAGCTGGTGGTGCATCGTTTCCATTGTTTACTGGCAGTTACTGGTAAATATTTTTCAACCTAACGAAACTATTACCCGTTTAGAGGTCAACCCCCAATTTTTTGCCAAAAAATTTGGTCTTAAAAACTACACATGGGTATATACGGTAAGTAAAGGATTTGCTTGGAAGCATCAGTCACTGGTGTTTGAGTGAAGTAATCTATCATACTCCCAATTTTTTTCTAAGTGATGAAAGACATTTCAAAACAAGTGCCACAACTTTAAATACACCCATGACATATGGTGACTGATAACAAGCAATAATATTGTGATGCATCTCAACTTTTCTCATAAATTTAAGAAAAAACATCAAATATACTGCCACAGAGGAACCCAGACAGAGGATGTTAGCCACTTTCTCATTATCCCTGATACCTACCAGTACTTTGGAACTCTGAAAACATAATTCCATTTTAAGCAGAGGTACAACTGATGTACAATCCATACAGTCTGTTGGAACCTAACACTGCAGGTTTCATGGGGATTATTGTATGTATAATGTACATAAGGATGACTTACCTTAAGAGACTGTGTTAGAGGTGCGACAATTGACTGAGGCATACGAGAAGGTGATAGTTTGACACACACTTTGACGGAACTCAAGCTTAGCAGTATGGCTTCCCTAGGCTCAATGTCCAGCCATCTACAGTCAGATGAAACCTAGAATGAATGTTAATATGGATAATAAATAATGCCATGTTGTTTAAATATCCAACTTCTTGAGACATTATTACTTAAAAAAAAAAAGTTACCCATATATATCCACAAACATAGAAAAGTATCTGGAAATTTTTATTTTTTTTTAACCTGAATATTCTCATCCTTTTCTGGCTAAGGTTATGTAAATTACCTTCGCATGTGTCCTTTAAGTAAAAACTAGAAAAAAAAAAAATGATGAAAGTATCACTGATAATTGGGCCCTTATTAACACATCAAATGCAAATTTCAATTCCATGCTGTAAGGAAAAATACTAATTGTACAATTAAGACAATTTTTTCACTACTCTTAAGCCATTTTCTGTTTACCTCAAACATCTGTTGGACTTCACTGAAATTGACGACGAAAAATACCAGTGTTGACATGTCAGACGCTGGAACAGATAAAGTTTGGGGAAACACATCCCAGGTAATGGTTCTCCCTGTCTCTATATTGGCAGCTGGTTGTGACTTGTGGGGAAGGTGGAACACAGATCCCTGAACAGGTGGGGAATGGACTTCTGTTATCCTGGGTGAAAAGAAATACAATTATTATTACCCTCAGAAGTTTAAGTTAGCAACCATTCTTTTCAAACATATAAATAATATTTAAGTTTTATCTTCCAGTCTTTAATAATTGTAAACTTAAATATATCAACTGAAGCAATCACTTATTTCATAGCAGACTATTCATCAAGTTTAACAAGTTAAATTCGTTTGAATTTTTGTGTCCCAAATGAAACACATTTGAAAAATTAATGTTTTGTGTCAACTCTACCGTAGGTCTACCAAGCCTCCAAATCAAATTAAAATCAACACACCACAAAAGGCTTGATTTGGAAAATGGAATTACTGTTGGCTAGTCTTGGAACAAGTCTCAGAACACAAACTTGGCTCAAATACAGGCAACTTCATTAAACACCTCCTATATTCCTTACTTTGAATGATTCCCCCCTCCCCCCCAAGTGAGAGTGACTTATAAGCATGTTTAAATGATACAGTACTGTATTCAAACAAGCTGTTTGATTTAAAGCACACGCTTGGATAAAAAGCTGGTGCTTTCATGATACGAAGCACATTTGTACAAGTTTTCCATCTTTAGAGAAAATTTAAAGTAAAAAATGGTTCCAAGAGGAGTCTGGAATGCAACCTTCCTTTTCCCATTAAACTAATACTTAATTCAGCACAGATTCACTCTGTACTGTGTTTCTGAGAATGCAACCTGTGTGTAGAGTGAGGGCAAGGTATATGAATAAACGAATGAACAGATTAAAAAATATGATACATGTTATGTAGATTATGATTTTGCTTATACAGGTACCCCTCGACTTACGACCACCCGGACATATGACAGCCCGTCGTACCAAAATTTTTTCAAATTACGTATTTTCGAGTCCCGACGTTAGTGATTACGCTGTGTACTGACAAAATTTTTGTTTGTAATTCCCTTTAAAATGGCTGGCAAGCTTGAAAGTGAGATTTTTGTAGTGATGAGAAGAAAAAGAGACACCCATTTTAGATTTTCTATGTATTATTTTCACATTTTCGACTTACGACCTGGATTTGGGTCCCTAACCCCATCGTAAGTCGGGGACTGCCTGTAGTTTAAAATGAGTCAAATTAAGCACAGACAAAGCAAGGGAAGAGGCAGTCAATTCATACACTTTTCATGCATATTTTTTGTCTATAAATTCATCAATAGTTTATATTTAACAGTTACAAAACTGGATGTAAGCATCTGTAAAATTAATATCTATCTTACAAACACACTCATACACCTCACTGTCCTTCACCTTCATTAACCTGCAGTCCACTTGTCTCAAATACAGATGATTACTTCCTTATAAATTATCTATCATGCATTCTTCCCAGATGCCCAGAAAACTTTCAGTACTATATATTTGCTTTTAATGTGATAATGAACATACTTGTCATTGGCAGCAGTGATGTCTGCCATTGAGCCAATAGTGTCCTCAGTTTCCAAACAAGCAAACACAGTACTTGAAGCGTCATCATTTGTTTGGCGCTCTCCATATAACTGAACCTGAAACATAAGAATTTCCTTTAGTAACAATTATAAATGTAGTATTTTAATGATATTCTCACAGTCCTTATGTGCAGGCACTTTCTAACACTTATAACAGGCTATTCAATAACTCCTCTCTCTCTCTCTCTAATATTTGATGCACAGTTTGCTATCTGCCCTCTAATGACAGCAGCTGAATGACAGTCCTCAGTGTCTTCTTCACAATAATGATTTAATAATGTAAAGATATCTCAAGTATCCTTCTGTAAAACAGTAAAAGTCATTTAATGAAGCTACAGTAATTCATTGACCATACAACTCGTCACACGAACTCCAAACCTAAATCTAGGTTTTACTTCATTTGATATACATTTACATGCATCAAGATGTCTGACATAGCTGTAGAGTATACTGTACCTGTGAAATGTGAATAAAACCCTTACCCATTTACTCCATTATACATGTAATGTATCCTGAAATATAATTTTTAATTTAAAAAAAAAATATGGGTTACACCTCTTGTGTTATTACAGAAAATGGCTTAACATACAGTATACCATTTGAGAGAAAGACTTGGTACTGTAATACACTTTTAGCTTACTTTGCACATTCTATCAAAAATATGCTAGTTGTTCAAGTTATTGCATTCATTAATTGCACAAACATATCCACCATATCTAGGTTTACCTCTGGTTAAGTGGCACTGGACAATGACAGTCAGTACATGTGAAGACAGACGTGCAGCCAACTTACCATAATGAGACTTGACATTCAACAGATGACCGAAGAATTCAAGCAATGGGAATAAAGTAATATAAAGTGAACAAGAGGTTGGGAACCTTACATGTGTGATGAAAATCTGGATATGGTCCAGGGCCATGTAGTGATAGGATATGAAGCTGATATAAGAGAAAGTATCTGAAATTTCAATGAATGAGAGTATGGAGACAAAACAACAAAAAGAGAACCTGGATCTTAGAACATGAATTGAAGAAGTTCACAGAATCTTCTGGTTGTGGAGGGAGACAGTCATCTTCAACCTGCACTTCCTTCTCCCTACTATATGCAACACCCCAGTTGATCTTCAGCAGATCTGGATCATTGATGCGTCGTACCTTCACTTCTTTGTTCTGGAGTCTGGCAAAGGAACTGATATCGGTAACAAAACTTTTCTCCATACATTAGATTCTATAAAGTGAGATAACCAAATGGATAGCTTTGGGACTTGTGGAGGGAAACAAAAAATTAGAACAATTATACTGCAGAAACTTGAGAGAACAAATAATAAGAAATAAAAGATGAATATGTTGCTCTTTATTCTGGACACCCTGAATCATCTATGAAAAGGAGATGCATACATATGCCCCTCCCCAAATACACAAATACACACTCTCTCCACACTACCGTCTTCTTCTACAACTGCAAAGTGCAGTTCAACACCACAACAGTATCCAGCCCATAAGACCACCTACTGATCATTATAAGAACACCCCCATTCCAACTGTTGTTAAAATTCTCAACAGCTTGTAGTTAACTTGTGTACATGTATTCACCCCTTATCAACCTCACTTTTGTCCTGTAACTGTGCTGAAATTCTGTGTTAAGTGACCCTCTTCCCTATGCCATTATATGTCGCATGTGAATGTGTATATTTTCAGTGATTAGTTGCTGTATTTCTCAATAAGCTGTTCATTATGATTACACACACACACAAACATACAACATACACATAAAACTGGAGTAAAACTGGTTCAAGCAAGCCTCTTCAGCTGTGAATACACTCTCTCAATAAATCAAATACATTGACAACATATTAACATTAAATATTTGTGAACACATTGTTAACATTGTAACATTACCCTAATTTGTATTTTAGATAAAATAAAATATAAAATTTGCAGAAAGGTATTTTTCCCCCTCCACATTCTGGAACAAGTGTCTACCCCATATAGTTTGAGGTTACACTGACCTTGGAGATTGAGGGGGTTTGGCAAAAGCTTCATTACCCAGAATTTCCACTGTTTTTGACCACCATACACAATATAACTCCCTTAATTCATCCAAGCTAAGTGAAAATACATCATAACTCACCTACGGAACCTTCGTCGCAGAATCTCGTCCCCGGATATAACTTGCAGTACTCCCAGACAACCAGGAGTTTTGGCCAAAATGTTAGCTGTTCCATTTACCACAATGAATACATCCCTGTTTTCTCTAGGTGCTAAAATAAACTCTGAAGGTTGTATTGTGATGTCACTTAAAGACAATAGCTCTGAACACTGGTCATCTGTTGAAAAATTCAGAAATCATATGCAGGAATCATTATCTTCTTTGTACTAACAATTATGAAACTCTTTAAAATTTATTACTAAACAACAGTAAATATCAAAACACTGAGAACTGTTTCTGCTCTCTAATACACTGTAGTAAAATATCAAATTTACCATACTGTATGAAAATAACAAAATAATAGTTACTTTAGCTTAAATGAGGTGCTCAAATCATTTCTACAGACACATTAATAACAGAATGTAAAGCTGTCAAATAGCAGGGAGGCTATGCCAAAAGGGGGGGGGGGGTCCTCTAACAAGGAGTTTGACTGTACAGTATGAGTAAATTGTGACAAGGGTATATAAGGGCAACTTCAACTCAACTGAGCCACTAACCTAAACAAAGCCACCCTGTTCACAGAAGTTGGCCTCAAAAAGCAAACTTCTTTGACTCCCATCCCCTCTGGGACCCAACCTATTTTCCCCATTAAAAAATTATCTATGTTTATATGAATATAACTGCCATTAACCAAATAAAAGGGTAGTATCATGGTTAACAAAGCAAAACTGGTGAATTGGCAATGTTAGGAATGCACGCCCCCGCCCCCAAGTTAAAAATAAAATAAAAATTACGTTTGCTTTTTTCTACTGTCCAAATTACCCACTTGACTGCCTGAAAATGCCCAAATATCTCTACAAAATGTCAGGGTAGAGCCCTGAAGCCATTGATTTAAAGGGATGTGTGTGTGTGTGTGTGTGTGTGTGTGTGTGTGTGTGTGTGTGTGTGTGTGTGTAAATTAAAACTAATTTCCCATTTTGAGTTGAAATTTTTGTAAAAGTAATGTTCATGAAATATTAGCTTCCAAAATTGGGAGAAAAAACAAACATGTGTATTAATTCCCAAAAAGTAAATCTAAAACAATGATCACCACTTGTCTCGGATAGACAGTTAAGTACAGTACAGTAAAACCTACATAAATTGGACTTCAATATACAGTATTAAATTTGCCTTTTTCAGACTCTGAAGTGCTCTGGTCACCAGAAATAAAAAAATAAAATAAATAAATAAATAAAATAAAAAATGGGGAAGATTAATAAAAAAATCTTATGAAAAGAACCACACTTACTGAATAATGTACAGTGGTCTAATGAGATTTGCTATAGGCCTACTGATAACTAAGACACTTGAGTATGTAAGCAGACTGGGGCTGATCAGGTGTTGCTGCATTCATTAGATTTATTTATTTATTGATTCAGTATCCTACTCTCATATGTTAGGCCTCTTATGTTTTATGGTTCATCATGATTAATATAACATATTCAATAATTGAGAAAAAATACAATACTCTATGTAATTTGTAATATGGCAGGGTTCACAATATCACACTCTAATATGAAGATACCTTCCTAACAACATTATATAATACCATACCTTTGAGTGTTATATGATGACTCAATTTGGCTACTTGTAGACTTAAACAAATGATTAATGAATAAACCAGGGTATATGCAGATACACATTACTGTACACTACAATATTACTTATTAAGTAATGATAAATACACTACAATAGTATTTATTAAGAGGTGATAAATACAAAATAGTATTTATTAAGTGATGATAAATACACAACTTGCACTGTACTAATTTACTAAGTGTTGAACACAGACGTTGTGGTGAGCCAATCAGGTGTTTGGCCATTGTAAACAAATGATTCATGGTGCTCAGTGTGAGATTCTTTTTTCAGGAAAGTGGATTCTTTTAGGATAATATTTTATCCACCTGGTACCAAATGAATCTAAATTATATGAGAATTATGGAGAAAATGCATAAAGAAGTGTTAAAGGAATCTTTGGGGTTGGGAGCCACCCACCTGTGCTTTCCCCCCTTCCCTCCCCTGTCAGCTGCTCCTATATAGCACGCATCTTCCATATATAGTCTCTCCTCGACTTACGACATATTCGACTTACAACCCGGACATACGACGGCCATGGTCGTATAAAATATTTTTCACATTCCGTATTTTCGAGTTATGACGTTAGTGATCGCGCTGTGTATGGCTACTGACAAAAAAAAATTTGTAATTCCCCTTAAAATGACTGGCAAGCGTAAAAGTGAGTTTTCTCGTGATGCTGAGAAGAAAAAGAGACAACCCATTTTAGAATTTCTATGTACTGAACTGTATTATTTTCGCCTATTCGATTTACGACCAATTTGACTTGCGACCAGGTTGTCGGGACGGAACCCCGTCGTAAGTCGAGGAGAGACTGTTCTGTAGTTACAATATACTCCTACACTTATTTGTTCTTATTTTTATCTTTATAGTACAGTACCGTATACAGTTTTCTCTTTATTCACAAGACAATTTCTGTGGTTGCTTACATATAACACTTTACAGTAAATAACTATCATCTCGATGACAACAGTTGTTGACAACTAGACTTAAGTGTGATTCTCAACCCCAAGAGGTTTGTTTTATATTTTTTTTATTGTTGATGTTATATTCTTTCAATAATCTTGTCATGCACTTAAAGACTTTAGTTATTGAAGTGCACTAATAACATAACTGATTTTCTTTAAACAGTTTGGATAAATAAAACATCACCCTCCATATATTCGTGTTTTTTTTTTTTTTATATTTATTGGACTGGGGTCTGCCCCAATTAGTCCGATTTATTGAGGTTCTACTGTACTTGTACAGTTGGGCTTTAAAGGGTGGAATCATTCAAACATACAAAAATAGCCCCAGTCAACTTTTATCTGCTTTAAAGAATACAATTCTTCTTTGAAAGCAAGGCACAAGTGGATGAAAAATAATATCATACCTGTAAATAATTGTAGTTTTAAAAACATAGCTCTGTCTCCTTTATTCAGAAATGCAGTTTGGAGTATGGCTGGCAACCCTGGTGCCAACTCTCGTACAGTGAGAGGCTTGCCATCACAGCTGTCAGGAATCATCAACTCACTCTTTCCTCCATATCCTTGTAGTGGAATCTGCAACAGGAGGAAATAAAAATAATACCTGTAGTTATTGGTACAATATATTCAGTAGAACATACACCAAACAGAATAACTTTACTTTTCTGTACTTGAAGAATCTTTCCATGATATTTCACACATCAAATTATCTCTTCATTTCCATCGTTAAGCCCTAAAAGCAGTACAGTATACTGTATGTACATCTTAAATAAAATGATTAAGTTTGAGTTGGCCATATATCACTGGGTATCTCACACTTCTTACACAAAGAACAAAATAAAAAGTGAAATTATTTAGATTTGCCTGGAAAATGGCTGCAAAACAGTGAAAATTCAACCTCTGGTAAAGAAGTAGGAATGGAAAAATGCTTAAAGAAATGGAGAAGTGTGAAATGTAAATGCAGAGTAAAATAAAGTGGAATCCTCCCAATTGAAGCTGTAGTGAAGAATAAACAAGTTATATTAAGTCCTAACTTTTGAATCAATGACGATATTGAGTTCATTCAAGTGGCAGTGTGTAGAGCTCTAAAAGCTTGCTTTACAGATACTAAAGTCATATAAACTGAAAAGATTGTTTATTGTAAAAATTGCATTGTTTTTGATGGGTAGTGTGTGTAGTTTCATTAATACGCTTTGTTGAGGTATAATTTTCATTACATGGAATCAATAATGTATTAAGACTACACCAGAAAGTCAAAAGGTCATTGAACTGTCTGCATAAAAGCAAACAATACGAGGTATTACCAATATTTCGACTGGGGGCCAAGGGCCAAAAAGTATAATAAAAAAATGAAGTTACTTAAGTCTTAATTATTATTAGAAAAATTCTAGTAAACAATGACTTATATTACCAATACTACCACCCACCCTCGCTCCCAGCTATGATAAGACTCGTCACTCGGACAGGCCGGAACTCTACACGCCACATGCCACCAGCCCTCACTCCCACCCTCCTCACCATCCCTTCTCTGTTTTGTTTATTTTTCTCTCAATGGCCCTCACTCCCTCCTTTTTGCCAGTTGGAAAAAAAAGGTTCAAGTGTTATTACATAACATTCCTTTGACATCTTTGTAGAAACAAAGACTCCCATCAGCTACGAAGTAGGAAAATAATGAGTCACTATGCGTGAGAGGCTACGATTTGGGGCTGCGGGCGCTTGTCCCCTTCTCCCCCTCAGTCCGCCTCGAGGCGCAGATTACGTACTGAAGAGGCGCCTTTACCTACCTTCACTAATATGGTTCTCCACCTTACGAATATTGCGCTACCGGGACAGTTTGTGTTTCTGCAGATAAGGGAAATGTTGCACTTGGCGCCTCTATTATGTATTAATAATTTCACTTCATTTTTTTTTATTAAAATTTTCAATGACAACAGGTCAGATGTAGTAAAATTTGCTGCTGTTATGTAACGTACTGAGGGATTGACATAACTAAAATGCTTTCTTGCGTGTACAGCTGCCACAAATTTTTACCTTTTGCAAACTTATATACTGTACTGTATTGTTGAAGAGTGAAAACCTCAAAATACAGTATATTGTACCACTCATCTTACCTTACATTTGTGGAGGTTGACCACACCACGAAATTTGCATACAAGAGTTCCACTTAATGGTTCAATTGCTGTAGGACACAGGAACAAAGACAATGCAAATTCTTGGCAGGGTTTGAGTACCACATCCATTCTGCTCTGGCCTTTGTTGCTGCCCAGAACACCAACCTGATTTAAAGATGTCTAGGATGAAAGCCTTTAAAGTGAAGCATGAGGGCAGCAGAAGGAGGTGGGAAGAAAGTAAAGGAATAAATGTGTGTAATTCTTGCATATAATTTTACTTACTCTTCCTTCATAGAAGAGAACAATCATTGCATCTACAAACTGCTCTAGGACATGTCCAAATCTATAAATCTAAACCAACTAGTGTGTTTATTACTTAATGCTGTAAGACGAAAACCTCTTGATATCAGTAAAGATCTTTTAAAATACCACCATCTCCATCACTAATAACCATCTTTTCTGACACACCTTTATATAATTGCATAGTTTTACCGTATAAATTTATTTGTCAAAATTCACATAACAGATATACAAATTTATTTGAATCACTAAAGCCCTCACCTAAAATTCTTAAAACAGAGAAACCTTCCTCAGTTCCTCCTTCCTTTCTAATCCACTTTGATCTTCAGATAACTCACTGTCCATTCCTGTTTTTATCTTATTTGAAAATTTATTTAATGAGGAAGTTTTTAAGTAAGACTTGTATTCCTGTTCTAAACTGGGTGCACTCTCAGGATCCTTTTCTTCTCTTTAAAGATAAAAGCACCTACAGTATATGTATTGCCAGATGGTTAATAGTCTGGATTTTGCATAGTTCATACCTCCCTCCTCTCATGGAAAGGATGTATGGCTGGCTTCTTCACTAGTGTCCTTCCCTCAATAAGGGGAACTTATAGAAAATTTCAAGAGTGGGAAACAATACTGTACTATATTGAGGGTAAAAGTCATTTCCTGCAATACCTACTTTTTAGCAATAAATTTATGAAGATGAATCTTTTAGTTATTTCATTTAGTGATGTTTTGTACTGATTAATAGAAATTGTTACGTCAATAATTTAGTCAATTCTGGTTCAGCAAGTTATCTGAAAGTCAGTCACCAGAAACACATCCTCCATTTGTAACACTATATTTTTAGGAAAACTGCATTCGCAGTACAAAGTTTTGTATTTCGCACCACTTTTGCAGAAAGCATCCCCGTTAGCCAGAATCTATGATCTCCAGAACTTTCTATTACCTGGAGAGAGAGAGAAAAAGAACATTCCAAGAAAAATCTCTGTTCAGGGAATTCAAGTGAATTTCTGAGAGATTGCATCATGTGCCAACACGTAGATGCATGCCAGGCACATGGATGGGTTAGCTGCATGGGGAACATAGGCCGTAGGCTCCTGCACTGTGATTGGCTACTATTGTCATGTGACTGCATGGGATGCCCGTGATTGGCTGATGCATCTACCAGCCTATCTCCTCAAACCCTAGCCTCATGTTTCATTTAGTTCATAGTCTGCTGTCATTGTACAAGCTTGTTCGCTCACTCTTTGCTATCTTAGCATGCTATCTGTTTTATGCAGTACAGTACAGGTTGACAATCCCTAATCCAAAATCCTTGGGGCCAGAGGAATTTCGGATTTTGGAATTTTTCGGTTTTCAGAATTTTTTTTTTTAAATGTGTATTAGCCCACCCGGGCATAGATCTCTGACCCACATCAGGGCCTGGGGGGGGGGGAATATAATAATAATAATAATAATAATAATAATAATAATAATAATAATAATAATAATAATAATAATAATAATAATAATAATAATAATAATAATAATAATAATAATAATAATAATACTGTAATAATAATAATAATTCATAGGTCTAGGTCGTGTTTCTCACTTTTGATCTTTTTTTCATTCTTGTATTTCTTTATTATTATTATTATTATTTTAATATTACAGTACTCCTGTATTATTGTTATTTTTATTAATTTTATTATTATATATTATTATTATTATTATTATCAATGTTATCATATTATTTTATTTTGGTGTATTTTCATAAAAATTTTATTTACTATGAATAATTATTATTATTATAATTATTATTACTATTACATTTTCGCCCACCAGGCCCTGATGTGGGTCAGTCATGCATCCAGGTGGGCTAATCCTGATATAAAAAAAAAAAAAAGCCCCACAAAAACTTTCCGGTTTTCAGAGCTTTCGGTTTCGGAATTTCGGATAAAGGTTTGTCAACCTGTACTATATATCTATATATAACTGTACCAGATACAATCAAATCCTGATCACGACGTCATCGGCAAAGTCTGCATCAGCAGTGACGTCAGCGACCAACAACATAGCGTAAATTAAAATATTACCGCTTAACTAATGATTGGCGTCTGGACAGGTGCCGTAAATAATAGCTATAAATAAACTATACTGTATATATATATATATATATATATATATATATATATATATATATATATATATATATATATATATATATATATATATATATACATACATATATATATATATATATATATATATATATATATATATATAATATATATACCCCCTATATATATATTATAATTTTAAAAAAAAGAAAACAAAGATCACACTTGTACATAATATACTTTGATATAATGCTTAATTATTAACTATATAATGTATACCTTTCACATAATGAAGTATTTACACAAAATGTTTTCAACACCAAAAGACGACACAAAACGATAAACCATAAACTCAAAAAAGTACACAAGATAAGGTTATGTATAAACCATTTCTACAGTACAATAAATGTTTTTGTTTTTTCATGTGTAAGCCAAAAATGACTCAAGCTCAACTTATAACTCACTAAAAAGTAAAATATTCAAAAGAAAGATCTTCAGAAATCTTATAAGCATATAATGTTGTTTCACTCATGGCTTCATTATTACCTTCAAAAGTTGACATACCTGGAAGGCTTTTAGTGCCACTAATTCCCCAAGGTCAATGAAAGTGTTTGGGTGGTGCAATTATTCCGTAAGACCAACTTCTGAGAGCTTGTTCCTCCAATGCTGACAGTGCCAAACCTGTCCGTGATCTGTTGCTCTCAAAGTGAAGGACAGATCCTTTCAATCTGTTGATTAAAGTTATCTATGATGAAAATCTTTAGTAAATAAACAGGTTTTTTACATAGTTTTGTATCAATATGATGGGATGGCATACTAAGAAGGGGCATTAAGCCTCCATGGCATTATACAAGACAGGTCCAATATCCCCAATTGCCTGTGCATCCTGTAATACCATGTTAACTTTCCTTAGCCCTAAGCTGAGTTGAGTTACCTAGTATTCATATCACAAAAACTACTCCTGATTTTTTTTTACAACAAAAAGCTTGCCAATGTTCTTAGTTTACCGTTATTTTAATACTAAACGTTACTAACCACTTGAGGTAATGGTGCACTCATGGATTTAGTTAATGTTTCACGAACAGATGGCATCAAGTATTTCCCAGGTTGGACTAGTGCAGTGGAACGTGTATGGGATACCCCAGCTATAGACACCTCAAATTCCATTTACTTCTGGCTCAACATGCATCAGTAAGACACTGCAAAGTTTAAAATATTCACTATAGACTTTATATAGAAAAGTAAACTGTGTGGAATGACAAAAGAAAATATCTATTAATTTTGCATAAAATTATATAATACAAACATTTACATTTACAATGTATAACTTTCTGTTTGTAACCAGCACATTAGTTCAACACCATACATTATTTATTGTCACACAAGATCATTACCAAACATTAAGGGTATAAACACATTACATGAACCCCAAACACATTAATCACTAACACAACAGCAACACTAAACCACAGTACACAAGATTAATATCAGACTCTGGTTACTCATGCACAAAATCAATGTTATATAAACTGGATACATAATAACAAAGTCAATAACTAAACATTGACATTACTCTTCCTGCTAAATTCTCAAATACAATACTTAAGACCTGTGTTTCAATGGTTAATGTTACTAGAAGCAGACATAAATTTAAGCCAGAATTAGTTGCTCACCAATAACAAAATAAACTCCTTTTCAAGAAAACATACACCTTATATCAAATACCTTTCCCATTACGCCCACTTGTCCTTTGGGTGAAAACAAGAACTAGAGAAGCTGTGAATTAGGCCTATGACAACGCACTAGGATGGACAGTAAATACATCCATATATTCCCTTAACCTAAAAAGATATCCAAAGACCAAAGGTAGAAAAGTTTTTCAAAGTGACAGGAACACGTGCGAGTCATCTGACATTGTTTCTACACCAAAAGATTCAATGGTCGTAGAGCCTCTAAACGTACTGCTCCAATGTGTGCCTGGGAAGTGAAAGAAAAGACAGCACAATTTATGGACATGCATTACAAGCCTCACAAATATATATGTATATATGTGTGTATATATATATATATATATATATAGATATATATATATATATATATATATATATATGTATGTATGTATGTATGTATGTATGTATGTATGTATGTATGTATGTATGTATGTATGTGTATGTATGTATGTATGTATGTATGTATGTATGTATGTATGTGTATGTATGTATGTATGTATGTATGTATGTATGTATGTATGTATGTATGTATGTATGTATGTATGTATGTATGTATGTGTGTGTGTGTGTGTGTATGTATGTGTGTGTGTATGTATGTATGTGTATGTATGTATGTATGTATGTATGTATGTATGTGTGTGTGTGTGTGTATGTATATGTATATATATATATATATATATATATATATATATATATATATATATATATATATATATATATATATATATATATATATATATATATATATATATATATATATAGCAGTTAATGACCGGAGGTGCGCGGAAAGTGAGCCATCAAAAGTGAATAACATAGCATTATGGGATTAATTGAAATGGGTCAGGCCGATCCCAAACTCCCTTTTTGGCGACACATAACTATGTTGTAGTAAAAAATAACATCATAGATTACATGATGGTACATGCACACAATTAATACTTGAGAGAAATACAGTCGCCAGAAGTTAATGTCCATTCCAAATAATGGACACGACTCCCTCCCTCTCACTTTTCTGCTGGCTCTTCCCTCTGAGAAAATTTTGGGGAAAACCAGGTATAGTAATAAATAATACCTCAAACTAAAGTTAGGATAATATAATTGACATTGCTGGATTCCTTGTAAGACAAGGAATATTTTGAATATAAATGTCATATATTTTTTTCACAAAAATAACATACTTACTCAGATTAAACATTTTATCTAAAAATTTATGTCACAATACAAAATATATGATGTTTATATTCAAAATGATCCTCGCAAATTGTAGAATTCCAGCAATGTAAATTATATTCGGCGAGTAATTTGTATGAATTTTATGAGCTAAAACAAATATCTTCCAGTTAATAAAAAAAAAATATTCTTCAGGACACTATCTGTCATTCAAAGTACCCACCTTCCTCCCCTCTTCCAACAGCACCAGTCAGTCCCAACCCTCCCCCACCCCACCAATCCTCCTTCAAAGAGATGTTGGTGAAAAATTTAGATTTTAGCATTTTGTATTAAATAATACCTCAGATTAAAGTTAGGATAATATAATTGACATTGCTGGATTCCATGTAAGACCAGGAATATTTAATATAAACGTCATATATTTTTGCACAAAAGATAACATACTTACTCAGATTAAACATTTTATCTAAAATTTTGCTATATAATACCAAAATATATGATGTTTATATTCAAAATAATCACCAAATTGTAAGAATTCCAGCAATGTAAATTATATTCTATGGAAGTAATTTGCATGAATTTTATAAAGGCTAAAATAAAAATCTTGATTAATAAAAAAACAATATTCTTCACATGGTAACAGATGATTTGGTCGATCCTCCTCCTCCCCAACCCGGTAACAGATGGTCGGTCAGCGGTCCTCCTCCTCCCCCACCAGCGTCCTACTAGATAAATGTGATTGGGAATACCAGACTGTTTACCTTTTTAGTAATAAATAATAAATCCAGACTAAAAGTTAGGATAATATAATTGACATTGCTGGATTCCCTTGTAAGACCAGGAATATTTTTGAATATAAATATCATATGTTTTTGCTAAAAATATATATTTACTCAAGAGTAAACATTATATCTAAAATTTGTATGTCTAATGCAAAATCTGCATGTTTATATTCAAAATGATCATCAAATTGTAAGAATTCCAGCAATGTAAATTATATTCTGGCCGGATAATTTGTATGAATTTTATGAGCTAAATTAAAAAAATTATACTTCACGTGTAAAGGGGTACAAGAACTGGTGCAAGAAGTCCTATATTATGACAATAAAATCGAGTTGGTTCCTTAATCAAGACATCATATAGATGCAATACAGAAAAAAATACTTTAAAACTTCTATCTCCACAATACATCATCAAATGTACAGTTACTGTACAAGCCAATGCTCACCTTAACTGGAAAAGCTGCAATAATCATTGTTGAATTATCAGGTGTATCAAGTTCTACCTGCAGGTGGCTCTTCACTCCCACCACACCACTTTCACTCACTGGGGATAAATAAATATTAATAATTATGAAATGTTTCTTAATATATGTAAATTTTTTCATGCATACAAATTCAGCATCTGTTCAACTACTTTACAATACAAGAAAATCTCTCTAAATTACAATCACTCTGAGGGACACATGTTTTAAGATGAAATTTTTTTTGAGCTGTGACAGAGAAAGGAACAAGATTGGTGTTGTTGCTTTGTGATTTTCTGCAACTAGGTTATGGCACTGCATGGGTAATGAAGCTCCCACATTAGTTCTTGTAGACTGCAATGAAACAACAGGATCTTTGTAGTTATTTGTTCTCTCTAACTGCTGTAACAGGTATGTTCTATGATAGTGTTTCCTTCCTTGACATGACCCATCATCACCATGTCCATCCCATAACAACACCCAGCACCATGCATTTCAGTCATTTACTTACCTTTAACATTACCAAGGTGAGGAGCCTTAAGGGTGACAGTCAGTGTTTGTGGGACTGGACCAGAATCCTACAGGCAGCAGGCAGTTCAAGGGCCAAGTGGGTGGGTGAGATGAGCTTTGCAAATTCATTTTTATTGGAATTCCAATAAAAGATGGGAGACGTTACTGCTACCTGGAATATATAAATTATCATTAATATCACTTTTATTTCCACATAAAAATAAGAATTTATATTGAGAGACAGAGAAAGCAAGAGGGAGAGTATATACCCACTGACAGAAATGCCTGTGATCTGCCATCTATTCACAGACAAACCAGGGACTGAATGCATAGATCTGCGACTCAACTAACTCAACAGCTAGGATAGCTACTTATGTATTAGGATATTTAATATTAAGGTAATAAAATGGTGGCAAAGGTATGGCTATTGGGGGAGGCTGGAGGCCATTAAAAAAAAAATTACATACCCGATAAGCTGAAATGAATGACAGTCTTATTAACATATAGACAATACATTACCTGCTGCAAATTTAAAATGACTGGGAGAGTCTGTGGAGAGTGGTTGATGAGAGTCACTTCCAGATTATACAGCCTTCTGGCACCACACCAAAGTCTAATAAATCTTCTCCATCACATGTCAACTGTACCTGGTCAGGAATAACAGTAAAATATTACAAAAGTAATGACAAATATACTGTAACTTTCCAATCAATATATCTTTATAACAAAATTCATATGTATATAGTATAGTGCAGTACTTTATTTTTCAATTAAGAATATTATGAGAAACCACAAATATGGCTTATCAATCACAGATGCCTTACAAAAAAAAAAACTACCTTCATTTTTAACCTTAACCTTAAAAAAAATTCTGGAAAAAAGGTATATTTATAAGCCATGTTGTAAAATGAACTGAAATGTTATGAGAGCTTGAGTGAATGGAAGCAAAAAGGATGAAAAATTCAATAGTACTTATGTACAGTAACTAAAACAACTATCTTTGCAGGTGGGGGTCGATATGCTCCGAAATTTTACGTGTGACTAGTGACAGCCCTCACATACCAAAATTTATAAGTCTATGGTCTCATATTGTTTCCTAAAAGTATGCACAGATAGTTGTTTTAGCTACTGTACATTGTATATGACCATGTATAGGTGTACAGCATTAGCACCCGAGTATTGTATAAAATTTGCTGGCCAACACACACAGAGTGTATACAGTCAGTCCTCGACTTATGACGGGGTTAGGGACAGACGACCAGGTGTAAGCAGAATTGGTAATAAAATTGAAAATGCAAAAATAATACATAGAAAATCTAAAATGGACGTCTCTTTTTCTTCTCAGCACCACGAGAAATTTTACTTTTTACGCTTGCCAGCCATTTTAAAGGGAATTACAAACAAAAATTTAGTAAGTACACAGCTGATCACTAAAGTCGGGACTCATCGTAATACAACAAATATTTTATCGACTGCAGCGGTTGTATGTCAGGTGGGCATAATAATTGATATATATATATATATATATATATATATATATATATATATATATATATATATATATATATATATATATATATATATATATATATATATATATATATATATATATATATATATATATATATATATATATATATATATATATATATATATATATATATATATATATATATATATATATATATATATATATATATATATATATATATATATATATATATATATATATAAATACTATTATAACCACAAGGAAAGAAAGAAGCATGAAGTGTTTTCTTCTTTCCTTAATGATTATCAACATACCTAGATCACAGCCCCTACAGTGATTTACTGGCATATACAGTGGTCCCTCGGTTACTGAGCAATCCGTTCCAGCAGGTTGCTCGTTAACGAAACCATGTTCAAAGGGTTTTTAGGTAGTGGTTCCAGCTCACGAAATTGCCTAAATTCAACAAAAAGGTAGAAAAGTACACTTACTTTGAGGTGTGTATGTAGAAGGCTCCTGGAGATGATGATGATGGGAATTAGAATGGGGGTGGAGGAGAAGAGGAAGAAGAGAAGGCATTGGGGTGGAAGAGAAGTCACTCCATGGCACCATTCACCCATAAAATTTAGTTCTCTTGGTGTATTTCAAGATTATTTTCTTTAAATCAACACTGCACTGCATTATATATTGTCAATATGTAAAATATATTTCAAAATGACCAATAATTTGCTTGAAACACAGAAAAAAGTTTGATTGAAGAGTCTCAAGCAAGATGTTACCTCCACTGAAAACAGAGAGACCGCACCTGTCTGGTGTGTTAACAGGCTGGATGGCACGCCAGAAACTAGTTTCTTTACCTTCAATTATGTTCAATAATTGTTAAAATGACTAAAAAAATTAATATTAAACTTTTAAAATTATTGAATAGTATAAACTTCTTGATATTTACTAAAATAGTAAGGAATTTAAGCCCTAAAACCGATTACTGTATTGGCGGACTAATACTACAGCTGGTGGACCGCCAAATGCAAGCGAAAACAGTAACTGTTTAACTCACTAATTCCTTCTCAGGAAGTTCCTAAGTCAGCAACAGTCAAGAAGGCCAGTTAGCCACATCAAATCTTGTCCGAGGTAAGCAATATCCTCTCAGACCCAAACCTTCCAGACATCAGTGTTCCTAAACCAATCATTCAGTGAATTTTTTTTATAGTGAATAAAAAAAAACATTTGGGAAAAATGGGGTTCAGTTCCCCAATAACAAGAAAACCCCAATATCAAACCCCCAAAACATGAAATCAGTTCCCAACCAACAACAACAAAAACTAATTACTTAATGATACATAATTACCTAAATACTGTAATTTACTACCTACTATTAATACAGCCCATTGCTAGACACTGGCTGCATCTCGTAGCCGCCCTCAAGACTCGCCATAACCCAACCCGGCTGGGGACGCTCCTTTATGTTTTACATTTTCATTTACTTTTTTCTTTTTGTTGAACATTTTGTATATAGCATTGTGTGCATGTCCTGAGTAAAAAAAAGTGAAAAAGTTAAGTTTATCTACCCAAAATTATGAGTTGAAAAATAACTGTAACATAACTCCCCAAACTTATCTTGCCAACTCTCGCTGGTGCACAAGAATCGTACTGTATGTTTATTCCCTTTATGTTTTTGGACTTCATGAAATTTTTTTCTTGTTTTTTGCACATTCTGTATGTAAGTTTGTGTGTACAGGTAACTGAAAAAAAAAAAAACATGAAGAAAGTAATGTTTATATACCCAAAATTACAAGTTGAAAACTAACCATAATATAACTCCTCCCTCAGCCTGGTACAGGGATGTGGCTGCCCCAGCCGACTCCTGGAAGCACGTGATTTGAATTTTTGCCAGGACCCAAATTCATTATAAGTGGGGGAAGCTTTCGTAACATGAGAAAGAGGTGGTAATTTCGGAAATTCACATTAGCGAATTTTTGTATCTCGAAGATTTCTATAGCGAGGGAAACCTGTACAGTATGGTCTTTTTTACTAAGTTACATCGCTACAAACTGAATCTTAAATACAGGTAAAGTACTTTTCAACTCTTAATTTCAGGTAGATATACAGTAATTTTCTAAAAAAATTTACTCAGTTACATACACACACAATCCTACATACAGAAACTGCAAAAATAAATATTGCGAAAGGAATAATGTTTTACGTATCTACAGGGTTCCACTGTGAAGTGTGTGTAGGTGTCAGAGGGTCTGTGGCGCAGCATTGTTGCTAGGCGGGCACCAGGGGCGACTGCGACACAGTTAAATCACTAACACGTATCATTTTTGCTTTCTTTGTGCCTTCATTGATGCTATTTATATGCTTTTGTTATTGATGTTTGTATGCCTACAATTTTAAGTTTTGTGTATAGATAAAGCTACTTTTATGGGTGAATCTAGTGACCTGGGACAGTCTTCATAGCCAGTTAGAGAATGCTTACTGTACAATGTACATCTTAGGCATGGTGCTCTAGATTCCAGAAAAACCCATCTGACAACCTCAGATCCCAATCATACAGGATAAATGGTCCCATACCTGCATAGTAATTGTATATACAGGTATCCTTCGTTTAACAATGTGGTTGCGTTCCTGCAAAACCTAATGTGAAGCAAAATTATTGTTAAAAGAAGGATAACACCAAAGCAAGGAGGATGAACTATCCAGAGACAGGTGATACTATACTTTAGTCAATTGCTTTTTAAAAGTATTCTACAGTATTAGTAAACAATTATTAAATTAACTTTCCAATTCACTAAGACAGTAATAAATACTAAGTAAACTTACATCTGGTTCATTAATCTTGGCACAAACGATAAGTGTTTGAACGGAGACTTGTGAAGCAGCTACAGACGTTCCTGAACCCTTGGTGAGGTCTGACATTTGAACCTCCAAGATGGCTTCCAACAAACCCTTAAACTGACTGCAGACGCGTAACTTAATTTCACATTTATTCCGTGGTTCAATAAAGTAAGATGGCTTAAATAATAGACCAGAAACAGAAGTGGGGAATCTATCAACGTTCCTGTAATAAAAAAAATTATAGCATTAACTTCATGATTGGCATTATTTGTATATATTAAAAATTAGTTGTGCCTACCCCCATAGAGTAAACAAGCACACACGGCTGTACAAATTTTTTATTCAGACACTTTTCCTGAAGAGGTACACAGGTGGAGTGGATGATTACTTTTGACTGCAGCTGTACATGTCTAATATTTCATATCTATTCTTTTCAGAACTGTAAACCTACATCCACCCTTTGGTTGCCTTATTCGACTTTTGTCAAATGCGAATGTAGTCCACAGCATTAGAAATATTTTGGTCCTCACTGCCTTATTCAACTGTGAGTGTTCAAATGTGTGAATTCTCCCCTCTGATGCTCCAGTGGCCACAACAACAACTTTCAGTGTAAACAACCCAGCTGCTTTGGTTGCATGATTGGCTCTTCCTACACCTGAGTTTTGGTGATACAGAATACGAGGTCTGTCCAGAAAGTATCCAGCCATTTACTATTAAAAGAAATATTGCTTACCTAGGACAATGGCAGCTTAGTCCCCTTGAAGGTACTCCCCTTGAGACCTCACACACTTCTCCCAGCGTCCCTTCCCTTTTTCAAAACAGTCTGCAAAGTCCTCTTTCGGAATCTCCATCAGCTGTCTCGTCGCATTTTCCTTAATCTCGTCCAGGCCAAACAATAACGAAGGAGTACTACAACAAAGTTTTTCGCCGGCTGAAGGATGCAGTAAGAAGAAACGACCACAGCTGTAGGCAAGTGGTGACTGGCAGCTTCAGCATGACAATGCGCCTGCCCATTCTTCACGTCTCGTGCAGGGTCTTTTGGCAAAACATTGCATCACCCAGGTCTCTCAGCCCCCCTACAGCCCAGATTTGGCTCCCTGCAACTTCTGGCTTTTCTCAAAGCTAAAATCGCCATTGAAGGAGGAGATTTCAGACCGTGGACGAGATGAAAGAGAATGGATGAGGCAGCTGATGGAGATCCCGAAAAGGACTTACAAAGTGTAGAAGAACAAGCCATTGTCCTGGACAGGACAGACTACTCATGTTTTGAATCTGTCACAACAAACATCATTTACAAGACTGCTATAACATACTGAAGCTTCCATTTCATTATCATCAACAACATTTTACAGCCATTTAAACACGCTGCAATTATATGATGGCAGCTCTCCATAATGTGTGGTCTCCCCGTGTCATTCTTGGCCTCCCCCTGGGTCTCCTCCCCTCCACATTTTTACACAAGTACCACATAACTCAATGAGTTGCATCCAATCTACCATGCCTAAACCATCTCAGCCTAAATCTACACAGAACTTTGCCAAGACTCTCAATACTCAGCCTCCCTCTTAGCGCTGAACAGGGCCTCTTGTCTTTCAGTGTCACATTACATCTCACCATTCTCTTTCAGCTCACTCAAGCTTGCTTGTGTCATCCTCTTTAACTGCCCACGTTTCAATATCATGAAACATCGCACTTCTCATGCTAGTTGCATATATCTTTCCTTTCACATGGAGGGAAGGTCAAGAAAGGCACCACCTCCCTATACTTCCTCTAGCCACTTCGGAGACTTACAACCGAGTAGGCATCAGCACCGTTCATGTTACCCAGATAATAGAACTCCTCGACACAATTCTGAGATATACCCTCAATGCACAGTTCTCCAACCTTGCAAGAAGTAAATCTTCTGTATAAATTTTCAATCCTTTTCAACGTTTATCCTCTTTATCAGCTTCTTCATTTGAATTCATGATTTGTAAGATGGATTGATCGTTCTTATAGGGGAAAAAATTTGGGTGAACAACAGAAGCCTTTTCTGGAACACACTTGAAACCTATTGCAAAATCCATACTGTCACAACGTGGTTCAAATCAAATGATGTGTTTCCAAGCTGAAGTTTCATGTTTATACTGTACTCCAAACCACAAGATGAAACATCTACATCACTGCTTCGTGTTTCCAGTAAGCAAAATTAATTCATAATAAATCATATAATTATACCATAAATGTCAAGGACATCAAAATTCAGTAGCTTTGCAACATATCCCTCAGTAGGTCAAATATGCCTTTCTTTTCTTACTAATCAGCTCATATGTTGTTGTTTTAAGAAGTTGCAACATCACTACAGGTATAAGCATGGTGAAGCAATGCATATATAATAGGGAGGAATTAGAAAATGTGAGTGAAAAAGGGTCTCATAAGCACGTCATGTACAGCCAACAGTAGAAGTTTTCCATGCCAACCTGTATGATATGAGGAAGGTGACCTGATAAAACTGTATGGGTGAAGAATTGACAGATATGTTTTAAATGGCTTAAATGGCAAATTATATATGATTGTCTAAGAATTCATTTCATTTATGTAACTTAATTAGTATCAATGTGTAAAATGTGGGAAAATATTGTTATTGAGAATTATGACATTCCTGGGGATCCTGTTATATATGATTATTCATACTGTTGATGCCCACGAGTATTTTTCATGCTTAATGGCATATCCCTTATAAAGTTTTTAACACTAAATCTGAAGCTGCAAGAAAGTATTGCATAATAAGTCACTTATACACAAAATGATTATGTAAACTGTATCGACAGTATGTCTTCTTCAGTTCTCATGTTTGTCTCTTTTGACCCCAATTCCTGCCTTCCATTCTGCTGTTGACTGTACGTATCTATAATGGACAAGGTGTGATATTAAATTGATTGCTTGTAGTGACCTGGTGGATACAGTTAGTGTTATTGCCAATTTAGGGATTCTATCACCAGATCAGAAGAACCACCATATAACTTCCACTGATAATAGTTTAAGGTTTCTGACATGAAAATTCTTGGACAAAATTAGAGACCTGAATTAGAGGAGAAAAGTGTACAGCTTCATCTTTTTTTTTAATCCTGTTATCTGTAATGATGTTACCTTAAGACAACTTCATCACTTATGGTCAATATGAATAAGATTGTAACATTTCATAAAGGGACTTCTCACCTGCACCAATTTGATAGAGACCTGCTTCCAGCGAGGACTTGGGTTGTGAAAATTAATGGCGACTTCTGAAGCAATACCCAAAACACATACATTGGGAAACAAAACTTGTTGGGGCAAATTCAGTGATTCACCTGAGTCTGTAAAGATAAAATTATTTGTTATACCAACAAGAATTACAGGTACTGTATATAGCCAAAATCTTCCACTAGTTAATAAATACTGTATACAGTATAACAATTATCAGCCTAAAATATTTAAACTTTAAAATAAGAGTAATTTTGTAGCTCTATGTAACTTAAATTTTATACTTGAAAACAAACACTAAGTGCAATGAAGTTTGGGGACTGTTTAGGGGTTGTAATTTTAGCACCAAGATGTCCCTGTGAAATTCGACTACTGCACACACACACACACACACACAAAACACACACACACACACAAAAACACACACACACACACACACAAACACACACACACACACACAAACACACACACACACACACACACACACACACACACACACACACACACACACACAAAACACACACACACACACACAAACACACACACACACACACACAAACACACACACACACAAAACACACACACACACACACACACACACACACACACACACACACAAAACACACACACACACACACACACACACAAAACACACACACAAAACACACACACACACAAAACACACACACACACACACACACACACAAACACACACACACACACAAAACACACACACACACACACACAAAACACACACACACACACACACACACACACACACAAACACACACACACAAAACTACACACACACAAAACTCACACACACACACACACAAACACAAATTTTTTAAATTAATATATAACTATTTAAACCATATTGCTGATCAATGTCTACTTTATATTCTTGCAAACCAGTACTTTTACCTGTCTCCTGTGCTATGTTCTCCTGTGAGTGGTGCTGTCTAAATGTCTGGATGTAATTCACGGACTGATAATTTACAGGTACTACACCAGCTGCCACACCTAATGATTGTAAACCTGCTGGAACACTCGTTGATCGTATTGTGGGGGCATCAGTTGCATTTGATGAACTGCTTGCATTTGTTGCTTGCAATTCTGAAGTTTGGGGACTTGCAAATTTATGATTACTTACAGGGTTCTGAATTCCACGGGTATGACTTTTATCCGAGACAACTGATGGTCCTCGGCCTAACTGTGCAGGTACTTTAATTTGATTCAATGCCACTGGCATCTTTACAGAACTTGATGATAACCCCATTCTAGGTAGTGCCCTCTGAGTAGCTGGATGAATTATTTGTTTGCAATTTTCAACAGCTGTCTGACCTCCACCTTTCTCTTGGGGTTTATCACTTAAAGGAGATATATTTGATCTTGACTTGGGTCTGGGGGCACAGGGGGTTGATGAGTCAAAGCCACCACTGTTACCTTCAAGGAAGCTTGGTAGCTGTAATTTATGTGTGTCCTCTAAAATTGTAGATTTATACTGAACAAGTTTAATAGACTCATCAACGTTGGTGTCATCAAACTTAGTCTGCAAGTCATTGCTCATAATTTTTGATTGGTGAGAATATGTTGCTTCCCCAGGTGCTGAATTAGTTCTGCTTGCTTTTAGTTTTTCCATATGTTTATGTGGTATACCAGTAATTGGTTTTGGCATGCATGAACTTTGTGGAGGCTGTAGAAACTTTGTTTCTGAATTATTTACAAGTTTTTGGGTAGCCTCTCTACCTATACTTTCTTTACCAACAGATTTTGCCTCAGCCTTATGGTCAATTTTAGTTTGTTGCTTTGATTGCAATATTCTCCGTCTCCTTAATTCAAGTACTTCTGCACTGACATCAAGGTCAGTCACATCTAATGTCTTATGTAACACAGACTTTTCCTGTGTCATCTGAATAATCTTCTCAATCAATGCCTGAGGATTATCTCACAAGAGCATCAGACAAAAAACAGTTAATCATCTCTGCACTTATGGGACCCTTAATGTCATTTAAGGTCTTTTCTAACATTTTGTTAGTGTCAATTGTTGATAAATTTTGTAGTAGGCTCTTCTCTACTCTGATGAGACTTTTCTGTTGTCTTAAAAAATGATTCCTGGTGATTAGTTGTATTAACATTTATTTCACCAAGGTAAGATCCTATCAAGTCTTTTGGACAAATTTTAGGAGTGGCTTCATCATTACTCCAGGAGTAGTCTGTTTTGACTGGAACAGAATTATTATTGCTCAAAGACTCTTTTTTGTGAGTGTATGATGCCATTGTCTTAGCAGTCAAATTTTCACTGACTTCAGAGTTACAGTATCTGATCCAGAACTCCCAGAATTTTTTTTACTGTCACGATTAAATTCTGCAGCCTTTTCTGAAGCCTTTGTTTCCTGTTCCTCTTTTAAAGCTGAAAAGAAGGGAAAACAAAATTGGGATTAGCTACATATTATGTACTTATGAATTATATTAGAGAGACTATTATGATTACAGGAAAAGTGAATCAAAAGAAAAAATTATTTCAACATGAAGAAAGAATGATTTTGCAAATTCTGCTATAAACATGCAGCAGAGTATAAAAAAAAATCTAATGCATACTGTAATGTAAATGTACAGGGAGCTAAAAGTTATCAAAATTGACGGTTGATCCTGATATCTAATTTCATAACTAAGCATGGAAAGAGTAAATATGTACAGGTAATCCCAATTCATGCAGGGGTTCCTTCCTGAAAATCATTTTGTAAAGAGGATCACTTTTTTACAGATTCCCATTATGAAATCTGAAATATGTTCCCAGAAAAAACTAAAACCTTGTGACATGCTACAAAACATGTTTTTAATGTTCACAATAATTATAAGCCAACAATAAGTATAGAACACACACTCCTCGGGTTATGGATGGGTTCCATTCTTGATGGCTATCCGGAAGCCATAAGTGACCTTTATATAATACTGTAATAATAAAATGGTTGCCCCTCGTGTAACGGATGGCCAGCCCAAGGGCCACCTAGGCATTAATTTGTTTAAGGTGTAACAGCTGTCGCCAACACAACAACCACACCCAGAGTTAACAAGCTGCATGACCCAGTGTCAAGGAATAGTCCGAGAAGACTAGACAACTCACCAACTGCACTGGCTAACCATTACCTCGGAACACGATCCACAAATCAATTAACATCCATGTTCCCAATTACTGCTGGACTAGCCAAGGTTTCAAACCCATGAAGCACTTAGCTACTGAAAACACAAGGTCAGCTATAAGACATCTCATCAGCATGAGGGATGAAAAGGACCAAAGTTGGTTTGAGATTGTGACCTGTAATTTAACCTAGCACATGGGTTTCACAGCACAGGTGCATTAACAATGAACAAGGATTTTTAATTCTTGACCTAACTGGCAAGTGATTCCTCCAAGTCAGTCCCTCTTTAGGGACTGCAGTTGAATTGGAAGAGAGAATATTAATAGATTTATGGTTTTTATTGGGTTTCTGTAATATGGTCCTATTCACAAAAATTGAGGATCTTGGAAACCCTGGAGTATCAACCCATAAATCTGTTGACTTAGTATGCGAGTTGTTCAATCCACTATGTTGAGTTGTAAAAGAGTCTGAGGGAAGAGCTGGAAGGTACACTAAGAGAGACACATTAACAATATGCATGAGAGGAAAGGATAGGATAAGTGACAGTTGTGTGGGGAAGCCAATCCTACAATAATTGGAAACAAGGAAGAAAATTATGTAATCTGATACTGATGTTCTAGTCATAATGTGATAAAATTACTGCACATAAACTGTGATGATAAGGCTGTGATAAACTCCTGGATATCAAAGATAAAGTTGGTTAGATTTGCATATTATCTTTACCTGAAGGATAGGCTAAAGGCTGCTTCTCAGGATTTAACCCTACCTGAGCAGTATAGAATGGCATCCCTTCCTTATCTTTATTAAAACCTGACTGTACACAAAATCATCCTTGCATTTTTTCACAATTACACAAAATTACACAGGGAGGAAGCTCTTTTGAAAATGGTACATCTTCATAAGGAAGGTTTGCTACATCATTTTCTTACCTGATTGAGAGTAAGACTGCAACATTTGACTGTCCTCCATAGTTATCTCAATGAGAGGTAGGCTTCCCCGCTGCTGGAGGAGAATGAACAGCTTTTCCAAAATTAGGCTGTAAAGTTTAAGAACAATCCAATTAATATTAATTCATTTACATTTTCAAAATTGTGCTCCAAATTTATAAATAAACTTATGATATTCATTCTTTATTTTGATCTATCAGATTCATTAATTCATTTAGTCCTTTAGAGAAAGACAACTTGTGTGTAGATAATGTGGAAAAGCATAAGTGTAAGAGCTATTGAATATGATGACACAATGACAGATTCAAGGAGGAAGGAATGTGATGATATAGAATGATGAAACATCAAAGTGGAAAAGTAACAAATATAGAGTAATTTAACCTGTACCATGACTAGTGCAGTGTTTACACTATATGATCACATAGAAACCCCCACCCCAGAATTTAAAGGTTTAAAACTAACTTTGGCATCATAGGTCCATGCGTTAAAGTTATTACAGTAGTACAGTACTGTACAGTACAGTGATCCTCGTTAATCTAACGCCAACGAAATTCGGTTAACAAATTATTCCATAAGAATTCTACCTGGTTAACAAAAATTCAGTTAATCTAATTCTTTACTTAACTTCTCAACATTGCTCACCAGCTGGAATATTAGTCCGCCAATACAGTAATCGGTTCTAGGGCTTAAATTGTTCCCATTTGAGTAAATATCAAGAAGGTTGTACTATTCAATAATTTTAAAAGTTTTATATTAAAAATTTTTAGTCATTTTATCAATTATTGAACATAATGAAAGTACAGGAAACTAGTTTTTAGCGCGCCAAACAGCCACTTGACTCACCCAGCAGGCCAGTTTGTGTCCCTGCTCTGTGGAGGTAACATCTACTTGAGACTTTGAACATAAACTATTTTTACATTTTTTACAGTACAATTATTGGTCATTCTGAAATTTATTTTATATTGACAATATATAGATCAGTGCAGTGTTGATTTAAAGAAAAATAATCTTGAATTACACCTAGTGAACTTAAAATTTTATGGGTGAATGGCAGCATGAAGCACGGGTGATTTCTTCCACCCCCACTTCCTTCTCTCTTTCCCCTTCTCTCCACCCCCACTTCTAATTCCAATCATCATCAACCAGGAGCCTTTCATGCACACCTCACAGTAAGTATACTTTACTGCATTTATTTTTAGTTTATGTAATTTTCGGTGAGCTGGAACCAATTACCCAAAATCCCATTGAAACAATGGTTTCGTTTAACGAAATTTTTGGTTAACGAACGACCTTCTGGAACGAATTGTGTTTGTTATCCGAGGGACCACTGTACTGTATATAAAAAGGACAAACTAGACACATTGAGTGATGACAAGAATGCAAGTTTTTAAAGATTACTTACACCAAGTTTTTAATTTTCCACACTATTAAAGAAGATTGCCCCAAAAATTATATGAACTAGCTAAGACATTAGCTGAATTGATCAAGTTGGCTGGCAGTAATTCATTATCAAAACCTTACCAGTATCAGATACCCTGAACAATATATCGTGTGGGAACTACTAGGGTCATCCTGATAATATAATCATACTTTGTAAAATATATCTGACTTATTTACAAAGCTCATCTATTGTGACCCAAATATACAATATAGTATTAGTTTGAAAATTTCACTGTTAAGTCAGGTCCCCATTATTCAATTGAGTTCAGTGGCTACAATCCTGAGACTGTTATTTTCAAGCTCTCTTAAGAGCCTTCATCCTTCTCTAGTTGGGGGATGGCATTGTAGACTGTCCATTTCGCTATTATTCCAACCTAAATACTCATAGATCTTAGCTGTTCTTTGTTCTTCTTTGACATGTCTCAAAGGAAAGGAAATACCAGTTTTATTATTATCATATTGATATTATTATTACATTCATTTGTTTCTATTGGTGCCACACTGTGAAGCAAATGGAACTTTGTCTATCCTTGCATTTTTCTGTTTCTGCTCAAAATCTGGTCTCCAATTTCTGCTTATAGCAGTCATTTATACATTTCAAGTTTTTCCTATTTCTCAAAATACAATTTTTGCAACTACCAGGTGTCATATTATCATGAACAATATTTTCAAATACTTTTTGACTGACTGTACCTTGCAGCATTTGGAGCATCACTCAAACTGTTACCAAACACCATAACTTCCCAGAATCAATCAATAATGAACACACTTCGTCCTGTACTGTTTTGTTGTATATAAACGATATAGTCCACTCCAGCACACTCAAAATACAACTTATTTGCAGACTATAGTAATCTCTATGCCAGCAGGTATTAGGTAGTAGGCAGCTACCAACCGAGGTACTACCATCTGGGAAGATATTGAAGCATAATGTATTGTCTTATGGTAGATCCTGCTGCCATATGGCATCACAAAAATTGTGACCAAGTCCCAGGTTGCTAATCTAACTTTCTGCCTCATTTACACACAATTGCAGGGTCTCAATTTTTTCTTCTACTATTAACAACACAACATGCATATGTTGTTTCTCACTCTTGACCTTTTTTTTGTATTTCTTTATGGTTCTTTTATTATTTTATTACATTTCACCCCTAATGCCCCATGTGGGTCAGTGACCTGTGCCCTGGTGAGATAATCCCTGTATAATTAAAAAACAACTCGGATCTCTATTCCTTGGTGAGAACTATGAACACTGAATTGACTAAAGTCAGGACCTGGGTAATAGTGAATAAACTGACCTAACCCACTACACGATCTTTCACAGAAGGAAAACTTAACCCAAGATTTGGACCCCGTACCTTGAATACAGTCCTCAAACATGAACAAAATACTAAATTCCTTTGGGGTCAATGTTGATGAGAAACTTACCAGAGAAACCACATACAAGCCATTCACAGTAAAGTCACTAAACAGTGAGGTATCATGTATCACACACTCGACAGTCACTCACTCTTACAGCAATGAAAGAAATCTATTATGATCTTGTTTACCAACACCTGATACACTGTTACACAACTATAGCTCTGGCTCTTCAAAACACAACCCTGGTTACTGCAAAAAAGAGAGTTGTGCGGACAATGACCTATTTGAAAAAAATATTTCACACAAACGAACAATTTGCTAAATTGAAAATGTTAAAATTGAGGATCTTAACACCTACTGCTGTGCCCTATTTGTTTACAAATCTGTCAATCACTTGCTTGACAACAATTCCTGCATTTCCTGTTCGAAAAATCAGAGATACAACTTAAGACACCAAGAGCTACTAAGACCAACCCCTATGCACTCCTCTCAGTCCCAGACATCCATAAAATATCATGGAAGGTGTGGAACAACTACCCCCACCCATCAGAGCAAAGACTAATATCCCTTCCTTTAAATAATCTCTTAAAAATATTCATTGTCTAAGTATTAATATATTTGTAATACCTACTTTATAATGCTGCTTTTATTGCACCACCAAAACCGTTTTATCAGACATTATCATGTAGATAGATAGAAATTACCATTGCAATAAATACATTTGCCTACTAGACATAATACCTACAGTTCTGTCCTCTTGTTCCACCTTAACACAACCCATGTTGTACTGCTTCCTCCCTTATCATATTTATGTTCATCAACTCCACTGTAAAGTATGTATACAGTATACTTATAATATAAATGTAAAAATAACAAAATAATATAAATAAATAAATAAATATTGAAGTGATAACTGTGGTAACATTCTGATATGTTCTTATCACCACCATGCTATGTGTACTATTCCAGATGATACTACATGTTACATAATACTTCCTTGAGATAAATGTACAGTACTGTATACATATCAGGTGCGCTTAGAGCTCAGGCTCTCAACTGGCTCAACCATGTTAATATTATGATTTTTAATTGATTCTGTATTCGTTTTCTTCTGCCGAAATAAACTGTTTCAAAATCATCAAACACATGCATACACTCCTTTTAATATAATGAGAGCAAAGAACTCACCTATTTTCTTCTGTCTCCTCTCCCAGGAGCCTAAAGCTTCACTGTGATTTTAAGTAATCTTCCACCAGCATCTTGTTCCCAGGACCAACTAACTTCTTGTCAGGACTGATGATCCACTTAAGGCCTAGGACAAACACAAAAATAATATTAAAAAAATTTAATTACATTTATTTATTAAAATTTATTATTTCATTTAAACATGTGGTCCCCAGATGATGGCTGGTGGTTTATCCCACATAAATAAACAATAAGAATTCAAATTCTCCCTTAATGCTAGTGTTTGGAAACAATGTACGGTGTTTTTTTTACATACTGACACCTGAGCCAAGCATTTCTCTACCCTATCAGATGGTAACGAGGAACCTTTCGACTTAGAATAAAGACCAGATTCTTATTTAAAAGGTAATGTTTCCTGACCTTACGGTCAGCACGGATAAGCTACCAAGTGGGAGCCTCAGAGCCAGACTAACGTAATATACAGGCAAGCATAGCCAACCAGCTGCACGGAATAACGTGATGTCAGGCACTCAGCCAGTCAGCATGTGTGGTGTGTCCCTGTTATCTACCCCATGTTTTCATGATTATAAGGGTTGAGATAGCATGTACTGTAATTATGTAGCCATTCGGCCGCCCAGTAGCACTCAGAGCAGGTGAGGCTGCACTGTCAGCTATGTTATTGTTCAACCTGTATTTTGGGTAGATATACTCAGCCGAATTCCCCCACCTCCCTTTTTTCAGTTATAAGCACACACAATCATTCATACAGAATATACATAAAAAAAATCATAAGGGCAGAAACATTTCTACGCAAAGGGTAGCACACACACAGCGGGGAGCAGGGGTATAGGGGATCTGTCAAATGTTCGCTGTCTTGTGTCCCTTGATGTGAAACAATGTCAAATGACAATGCAGTATTTTTTCATTTATTATTATTTTATTATTCTCACATTTATTGGTACAGTATACATAACGATAACTGTTCGGTCGGATTCACCAAGCTAACTAAAAGATGTGTGTGGCTGCTGCCTGTATGCCATGAAGTCACATAGGGAGGGAGAGGCGGCTGGTCAAGTTACAGCTCAATGCCTCAATACATAAATTCACTTCCCACACACATGCTCTTCATTTTTCTTATTTTATAGTTTTATACAGTATTACATTTCCTTTATTTCTAAGCCACATTAGAGTGTTATAATACTGCACACTTGGAACACAGAATCTCCAATCCCACCAAAAATATTTTCCCAGTGAGTCAACATCGCTAAACCAAAACTGATCATCGCTTAAACAAGAAAGGATGAAAAATTTTATACTAAAGTGAATGATCATCGAGGGATACCTCTTATTAATTTTTCAGAGTTTTATACTGAAAACTCTCTCCATACTAAACTGGCTGCTCACCAATTATTTAGTAGAGAGAGGCAATACTGTAATGACCATAAAATTTCTTATTTCACCTATCCACACTCATTCCCAGAGTTATTAGGGGAAAAATAGATCTCCTCAATCTTGTTTAAAAAGGATGACTCAGAACTCCGCTTTATGTAAGCACATATCAGTGCTGACTAGTTCAAGCAAAATACCCATTATTATGATATGTGATGAAACCCTTCCTGCATTTATCTTCAAAAAATAGTGATCCTGATTACATAAATGGAGGCATTTTACACTCAAAACTAAAGCCCAGTTAAATTATGTGCAATTTTTTCTGCCAACTCAGTGGTGCCTTGGGCCTATATATGCTAGTTTTCCACAAGGTCAGTTGTTGCAAGAGGTCATGCCACATTCTGATCATAGAAAAACACAAAAGTCATATTAGCCCAATTTTTCCCTCAGAACAGACACCAGGTCCCAATAACATGTCAAGTGAGGAAAAGGCTCAACATCCTGCCCTAACAGATGAAAAATTCCTGAGGAACCCCACGAGGTATAGCAACAATTAAAGATCAAGCATGCAATTTTCCTACCTATTATGTTCCATCTCCAAACTATCTCCAGGGAGGCCTAGAAAGAACTTCACAACCACCTTCAAGATGTGTCAGAACAAATGATTCAGCACTAACTGCAAGACATGCCATCTTGTCATGCTGCAAAAAAATCTCCCTACAAAGTGTGTACAAGAATATACAAATGCTTGAGCGCCTGAAACTCACTGAAAGACAAGCTACCCTGTACTAACATACAACACCTCCTCAGTACCGCCCGCTGGAGGAATTCATGCAGATCTTGGTAATGAGATGGTTCCTGATTATTTAACAACCATTTGCTAAATCTATGCCAAATTGACTTCATTTGGTGTTAAAATCAAAGGAACATAAAATATTAAATAATACTATACGCTTCAATTAATTCTATTATGTTTAATTCATCTTTAACTTATACTTTTGTTAAAAAGTCATGTAAATAGGTTACAGGAATAAATAGTTTTAAGACTGTATCTTTATCTAAAATTTGCCACATGGGTGTGAGGCACCTGTGATTTAATTCCTGATAACCACAATAAAGCTAAAGAGATACTGTACCAAAAGACAACTGAACATAATCATACATATGTACCTTACAGTAATTTCTGCAACTCCATGAATGCCAGAAAACAAGAAAAAGTCAAGTTGATTATTTGTGCATGCATCCTCTTCTATAAACTTGAATGCTTCACAGTTTTCCTTTCTTCTTCTTCCAGGAAATCCAAATTTGGTGCATGAAATGCCTCTCCTCAAACTCTCTGGCCAACTCAACCTGATCTGCCTTAAACCAGTCATTTGAATCCCTCTGAAACAAGACCTGAAACATGAGTAAAAGCACTTTAAACTAGCATACATTATGTCACAGTCAACTCAAGCAACAAAACCCAATGAGAATTGATTAGTTTTCAATAACAGTAACAACTGAACTCTGCTTCCAGAATAATCAAGTGAATGTGTTCTATAAAACAAAGACTAAAATAACATGACTGACCAAGATTGGTCATGAACTGCATCAGCAAGGAGGATCAAATGTCCTCAATCAGTAATTAGTTGATTTCATGACGGGTTAAAGAGAAAACTCTAATAATATCTGAAAAATCTCCTCCTCTCACTCTTTTGGGTGAATCAAGGTACAGACACCTAAGTGCTTACAAATGTCCTAACTTTCCTACACTGTCTACACAGTGAATCTTTGTACCAATGTATCCAAATCCCACAGAAATTGTATACTGAAGTAATCAAAGGAATATTCTATGCCTGCAACTTGAAGATAAATCCCCATCCGTATACAGTGCTGTTATGCAGAAATATGAACCACTGACCTATTTTCATCATAAAAGTCATTTTCATCCAATTTGCTCACAGTCACCAAAAGACCCCAGAGAATTACATGATGTGGATAGTAGTTGATTCTTCCAGCTCATTACCAAAAATTGTTGACCGAGCTGAAATCTGACCTGCATCAAACCGAACCTGTTGGAGGAGAAATCAACCATTTAATATATTCTATATTCATCTGTTAAAGTTATAATAAAATGACAACAAATAAATTGGCAGGTGTGTGTGTGAGTATGTGTGTTTTCCTCTTCACTGCCACCATGTATTTCAGGAGGAAAAGGAGTGCAAGAAGGTAAAACTCTTATACAGTAGAGTACAATCAGTCCCGAAGTTTCATTCCTGGACCCTGTGTTTAAGTTGATCTGTTGAAAACCAGAGCAGTCCTAATCCCATAATTTAGCATAGGTTAGAGTACAACCCTGCCCAAACAAAAACAAATATATCCTATATACATACAAATACTGCAATGTAAATACAATGAACCCTCAAAGATCCAGACTAAAGGGGGGGCACCTGTCTGAAAAAGCCAATTTCTGTATCTTCTGCGAATGTACTTAATGTATAAAAACGCTAAATTATATACAACACCAAAAAATACAGTACCGTACTTTACAACATATAAAGGAGTACTGTATTTATAAAAAACTTTTGTGTGTACAGTGCAGTATTTTCCTCATGTAGCCATAGTTTTCTTAAAATAATATATACAGTAGAAGGAAATAGAAGAATAAATAAAATTAATACAAATAAATAAGTTAATGTACAACAAAAAATACTGTAAAGCCAAATCAGTAAATAAAAGCCAAATGAAAGTTTAACACAGTCGCCATTTGTATATACTCCCTGCTTCATCATAGTGACAGAGACCAGCTGGGACACCGATTCCATAGCAACACTCCCCACCCCTTACACACTGTGCTCTCCTCCTGCTCCCTCACTGAACCAACTAACTCGTGTGCAAAGAAATGTATATTTCCTTTACGTGTTTGCCCGTAAGACAATTATTTCTTTTACTTTTTTCACAAAATGTATGTACAGTACCGGTATGTAGGATGGTGTATGCATGTAACTGAGTAAAAATAAATGAAGAAAGTTAAGTATATCTACCCAAAAATACGAGTGAAAAACAACCATAACACCTGACAGCTTGGCCCAGAAGCCTGATGGTTACAGTGACGAGTCTAACCTGGCTACAATGCCATGATTAATCACTACTAAGCACTAATATATCAGTGAACACTAATATTAACAGTAAATCAAGTGAAATATGGCAGCGAGCAGAGAGTTACAATAGCAGACGACGCTCTAACTAGAGGTCACTCACTCACTCCCCTGCCAGGCTTATGATCCAAATACGCATGGGAGAAATACATATCTTGTACTAGTCTAATTTGAAAATGGTGATGGACACAACGATAAACAAATTATATAAACCATGCATTTACCTACTTATAACATAATAACAAACATTCTATCATTACTAGAGTGAATGAAATAATATTCCCCAAACAACAATTGACAACTGTTTATGTTTCCTGTTGCCAGCACTGTGTCTCAGACGCTGACATCTTAGTTACACGGGCCTAAGATGATCTTTGCTCTGTTTTGGGAATGCTTCTTATCCCACGGAACCCCTAAATTTTGTCTAAATCTTCCGAAATCCGGATTTACCGGGTCAGAATCTTCGACAGTTCACTGTACAGTAATCACCCCATTAGCCACAATCTTAGACTCCCAGAACTCCCCAATAGCTAGATTTTTTATGCATTGAGAAATTCCGAAATTCTCCACCCCTAGAATGGGAATGAATTTCTAAGGATTGCATCATGCGCATTTCCATAAAATTATGAGAAAATCTCTCTCTGTTCCGAGCATGATAAGAGAATTACCAAGAGATTGCATCATGTTACTGAAGGACGTGCCAGGCACATGGGTGGAAGGGTCAGAGTGCTCGTGAGATATAACTGCCCACTACTGTCATGTGACTGCATGGGATGCTTATGAATGGGTGATGTATCTCATAGCCTATCTCTCCTCAAACTCTTGCATGATGACTCTTAGTCCATTCTGCTGCCATTGTACAAACTTGTTCACTCATTTACTACCATTTTCACATATAGTCTGTGTTGTACAGTACAGGCAAACCCCGTTATTCATAGCCTCGGTATTCGTAACTCCGTTTATCCGCAATCAATTTATTGTTACTAATTTTCACTATTCACAATGGTTGCCCCGTTTATTCAGGAATTTACGAAAGCAAAACTTTGAATCGCTACCAAACCATAACGAGGACAGTGTGTGTGACGATTCCTCTGCTATACGCCTCCCGCCGCCTCAGTCTCTCACGGACTGGCATGTGTTTTGTGTGATCTTGCAATGCCTAAGCGACCAGTTACTAAAACCCCAGCAATGTTGCTGAGAGATCGTGTGGCAGGTACGCTGACGAAATTGATATCAAAAAGACATGAACACGAGAAGGAACGTCAGTGATTGGGCGCATGCACAGCTTGGCTCCCTCACGTGCATTCTATAGTTAAGAGTGCCGACAAGATCAAGGAGATGGCCGGGTCTGCAACACCACTGACGGCTACGAAGGTGACGAAGTTCTGTGATGCTGAGATGGAGAGTATGGAGCGGATGTTGAGCACGTGGATTGACGACCAGGCCCAGCGCCTTAAAACACCTTTATCGCAATGCATGATTCAACAAAAGGCAAGATCGCTGTGGAAAGATATAACTAAAGATAAACCCAATGTACCCAAGTTCAGTGCTAGCCGTGGATGGTTTAACAGATTTAGGAAACGTTTATCAACCCACAACCTAAAAATACAAGGAGAATCAGCTAGAGCCGACCATGAAGCAGCAGAGAAGTTCCCACCATTTCTCGCAACCATAATTAAGGAGGGTGGGTACAGTCCTAAGCATGTCTTCAACTTGGACGAGACTGAACTCTTCTGGAAGAAAATGTCTTGACGGACCTACATATCTGAGGAGGAAAAGACCGCACCGGGATTCAAAGTTGCTAGGACCACCTCACTCTAACGATTGGTGGAAAGGCTGACGGTGACCTATAGTTAAAGCCTCTTCTTATGTACCAGTCTGTAACACCCCATGTTCTGAGGGGGATTGTGAAGGGACAACTTCCTGTCGTCTGGCGTTCAAACCAAGGCGGGTGACAGGTCTGTGATGCACGACTACGTTCAACTATGTGTCCGGTCGCATTGGTCGCTATAATAAGGAAAATAATTTTGATGATAAAGCCCTGATGGTGATCGACAATGCACTAGGTCATCCACCAGCTATGGTTGACTGGTGTAAGAACATTAAAGTTGTGTTTTTGCCCCCCCAACACCACGGCTTTGGTGCAACCCATGGACCAGGAAGTCATCTCTACATTCAAGGCACTCTACACTCAGCGTATCATGGAGCACCTGACTGAGGGGACTTAATCTATGGCATTGAAACATGGACTTAGAATGGGATAGAATGCACTATAATTCAAATTAAAGAGATAATTTATCTGAGGGCTGCATCTGGGAATATCAAAATGTAAGAAGTAAATTTGGAGCAGTGGACTGGGTGAAAACTGATTTGCTGAGAAGGATGCAAGAGAGAATAGTAGATATTGTCTAGGCAGGGTTCCCAACCTTTTTAATCTGACGAGTACCCAGCTTATTTTTAATGTTCAAGGGAGTACAACTGCACCATACAATGAATGTGTGTACTCCATCCAACAACTGTGTCAACTGGTCATGTAAAAGATCACGCCATCAGCTCAGTGCCCTATGTACATTGAACAGAACTGATGATTCCTCTGCAAAATCCATTACTGTTATTTTCTTTTTTGCAGCGTTTAAACTTCTAAAACATAATTGTCAACACAAATTTTTCTGTATAATATTTAAAACTTAAATTAATGGGACACTGGCAGCAGTGATGTATTTTGTAGTACAATGGGCAGTTCTGCTTGATAACTGTCAGTGAGGAGTTATAAAGTGATGTTCTAATGTTCAAAATTTAGAACTAATGCTTGCGAGCACAATTTTAAGCACTGTAGAAGAGCACTGCCAGACTATCAGGGAGCACAGTGGTGCTCATGAGCAACAGGTTGGGGACCTCTGGTGTAGGGGTGTTGGGTTGAGGGAAACCACTAATAGTTTGAGACGGAAAGGTGGAACATTACAAAAAGGGGAGGGAGAAGAAATAATAGGAGGCATGTAGTGACAATGTGGCTCTTCTGTCATAGCCATCTCCTTACAGGGGAGCTCCCTAGAGGAAGGAGTCATTGTAGAACAAGAGAAATGGTTCTTAAACTCAAGTACACTCATACTTTTAGCCATCTTGATGGTCTGTCACAAACAAGTTTTTCTGCTGACAAAAGATATTAGATGACTGCAATTTTACTGCTGTTACAAAATATAATTCTTTATACAGCTAGTTCACTGTGTAGTTCTCTTCAGCTCTTCTCTCACATTGCTACATCCTCTTTCTACTTAGAGCAAGAGCTTTTAGCCATTTTATATAATGATGTAATTATTGCAACAAAATACATATCAAGACCATAAAAAATTCCATCCACGTTGAAGAAAATGAAGAGCAATTCTCAAAGCAATGGGCTGCCACACTTCATTTATCCTTTAGACTTGAAAGAATCAAAAGCCAAGAGACATTTGATTTTTTAGGTCATTTTTGTATGTAAAGTGCCTGAACAAGATCAGATGCTGTTCTTTCTTTTATTGGGCCTAACTGAATACAAGGTGAGGTTACCAGTCCCATGCTCCTTTTTATACTAAAAAAATAAATAAAAAAAATATTTTGTATATCTCTAAATTTTAGTATTGTACTGTATTTAGAAAATATTTGTCATTCTATGTTGATTCTCACTGACCTATCAATTCCTCAGTCTTAAGTCTAAAATTCATAAAATATACAAAACTTTATAAAACAAAGGAATACATTAATACTGTACATTTCTTTCTTACCTTATTGCTAACAAAGGCATCATCATCATAATCATCATCAAAACTGGCTGTCTTGAGGACCTCATCTCTAGTATCCCACTCACGAGAAGCCAATTTTGAAAGGCTGTCAATTTCTTTCTCATTGCATTCATTTAACAATGAGTGTTGAGGTTGAAGAAGTGTGGATGGTAGACCCTCAATCCAGCCCTCCACATCACATGCTGTACTATCAGAATGCCACCCTTCTGAAAAAAGTTATTAAGGGTTCCATTAACTTACCCTAAGATTTTTCACATCATTCCTTCAGAGGTTAAATAGTATGATAGTTTTATAACATGAACTCGCAAAGTACCTGTAAGTACGGTCACTGAATAACCCAGACCCTAATACATATCTTCATGAACCTTCTCTTGTTACTGCACCTTCAATATTTTGACCCATCACCTTTGTCATGCGCTCTCTTGATATACCTTCATTTATTCATTCCCTTGGTAAATATCAAACACTACAATACACATGGATTTTACAAACCACCCACTTAATTATGCTTTCAATCCTCAGCATCAGGCCTCCAAACACAAACAGTTTCTTCTTCTCAAGAAATTCACATTCATTGCTTACACTGATCAGGATCTCATCTTCTCCATCTTCACATAGTGTTACTGGTTTGTCTTGTCCCTTTGTTTGCCCACATGCCTAACAACCTTCCCTGATATTTCAATACATTCCTATATTATCAACCAAACCAAGAGTACTATAGAAATCAAACGTAATATCCCCGTTAGCTGGAATAATTGGTGCAGAGCACTTCCGGGAATGAGAGATTTCCGGGTAACGAGAAGACTCTCAAAGCCGGGAAAAAATCCCTCATCCCCGGAATTTTCAGGGTAACAGAAAAATGTTCTTGGAAGTTCCAGAAATTGCCCAGTACATCATCTCTTGAACCCAAAAATATCCTCATCCCCGAATTTTCCCGGATAACGAAAAATTTCAATGAATTTCCAGAAAATGTGCCTCATCTTCATCTCTCAAACCTGAAAATCCCCATCCCGGAATTTTCCAGGTACAGGTAAGATTTTCTCAAAATTTTCCGGAAAATGCTCCCCTTGGAAAATCATTCCCAAAGCCAGAATTTTCCGGAAACTGCTTTGGGAATAATTTTCCGAGAAAATTTCAATTCCGGCTATCGGAAAGTTCCGGGTTTGAGGGATTCCGGTTAACTGAGTTATTACTGTACCTGTACTCTATTTCCTCATTTGCTCCCCATTATCCATTGAATTAGTGATAATGCTATTTCTAACTTATAGTATATCTAGACCACACAAACTATATAAATTTCTACCTTCTTTACTCACACAAGTCTGTAACAATATTGTAATAGCTACATTTTACATTCTCTCAATCAACATTTGTGCACAACTTTCTACAAACGAACTTAATTATTTGATACTTCAGTTTTAAACAGAGCAGTCAAACATTAATAATATGTCCTGTCTGCCCACTTACTCACCCATGCTTCACTCACTGTGCTCTGTAATTCTGCTACAATCGATCCAATTAAGCATTACAACAAACTGAACTTCAGCAGTAATCAGATGTCATCTTTCTGTGTCCGATCTCCATTCAAATACTAATAATTTAACTTACATGTTGAAATGCTTTTCTAACTCGTGATTCCTTTATTCCCATTTTTTTTCTGTAGCTATATAACCTTATGTTTAATGAGACAACCCTTTCCACATTGTCTTCTTTCTTATAAGAAAGATACCAACTGCTTTACTTGCACCTGCTAATCAAAAAAATTTAAATTTTATTTTGTCATTCCCTTAAAGTGTAGATTACTAATACCTAACACTGAAAAACTGAATATCAGAAAAAGTAAGAGAGTGAGATGACGATAATCATGTGCTAATGTTGATGGTTAGGGCGATGATAGCCAGGATGATAATGATAAATGACAGATATTGTTAGGGATAGAAATGTTTGAGAAATATTTTACAGATTTACTTCAGAAAAAGGAAAAGACAACATGACATAGTAAAATAAAAAACAAGGAAATACTTAACAAAAATGTGACTTACTAGCTTCAGTGTGAGTAGAGAGTGCATAAGATCTATCTTGAGACATGTGAGGATCTTGACACCTCATAATATCAAGACTGTGTTGCAAATACTTTCCATCCAAACCTGAGAAAAATAAGGATTCATCTATATCTGCAGTGGCAATAATATTGGCAAAAAGAGTTCCTTTAAAAAGCACCTCTTTACCATTGCATAATAATTTGATTCTTAATGACAACACCCAGTTAATCAAATAACCATTCCAGCTACCTGATCATCCTGGTGACAGAGCAAACATTTCTCACAAAACATCCACTTTTTATATTGCTCTCTCTTCTCTGAATGATTCTCCTTATCTCTCTTCTTTCTACATCTTGTACTCTCCTCTTCACTAAATTCCTTCCCTTCCAAGACATGACTGGCACTTGCCCAATGGACAATCTAATATTCAGAGGGGAAGATACCTAAATGGGAATTTGTCAGGTGCTGCATGACCCCTCCTTGCTGTACATGTGAGATGACAGGAGTTATGACCTCACATGATTATGAGGGGAGAGTGATAGTTAAGGTAGGTGATCACAGGTGCTGCCTCTGCCTCCCCACATACCCTACAGGCGAGGTGAGGTGACAGGAGTTATAACATCATATGACACCGGTTACTGCCACAGACATCATTTAGATGGACACAAGTGATCTGTGAGTTGACACACACAATAAATTTTAATGTTTTAAAATGTTTATTTAACTTTTTCATAAAATTTTCTGGGCAAGTAAAATTCAAAAGTCACTTGCCTGGGACAAGTAAATGTCCATCATCTGCACAGCCTGATTTAAGGCATCTGGTATTTTGTCTTCGCTGAATAGGATGGTTTAAAAATTTCTCCCACACCTCCACCTGTAACCTCAATTCTGCTGGCATCATTTCACAAACAATTCATCTGTATTTGTAAAGAAACCAGACGCTTAATTCTGGTTCAAACTTTCTTGCTGAAGGTCAATCAAACACAAATAAAGCTCCTTCGGACAATGAAAATTATGGGGAAAAATAAAGCATTTGCATTACTGCTCATAATCATGATGAATATACTGTACTACAGGTACTTCTACTAGCCCCCAAAATAAAATCCACAACACAATCCATTTATTCTGAACCCATTAATGGCAAATCTTTTTGGTCATTAGCTGAGAGTTTATTTAAAACTCTTCACAGCCTAAGCAACCACCTAAATTATAGCCACAGTGTTTTCGGTCCTTTCCAGTCTACACTCAAACAAAGCCTCAGGACATAATATCTGCTCCTTCTATTTATCACCCCACAGCTCACTTCAATCACCATTAAGAGTCATGGAATCTGTCATAATTAAACAGCCACAAAAACTATCTGAATATTTCATCTCCTCTCTGATTTTCAATAGCTATGATTTCTTTTTCAGGTGTTCCACTGCAGACTTGCTAGCTTTCCTAACTCCTGAAGTTGAATGTGGTCTTGACTACTTTTGTAAACCTTGTCTTGTTGTCTTCAATATTTTTTAAATTTCTGAATGTATAATTTGGAGGTAGATATTAGGGAGAAACCCAAGAAGGATGGAAGGGTGGGGTGAAGGATACACCAGAAGTGAGGGGCCAGACATCCTAGACATAATGATATGCATGAATGCCCAAAAAGCATGGCATTGAGTGACATCAGTGGATGGATGTGCTGGTGGTGGGTGGTGCCAGGTTGTGTGAAATAACAGGTAAATCAGATACTGTTGTGAGCCTTATTGTGGTAAGGGAGTACCATAGCAGAACAGGTTTATTACAGCAATAAGAATGAATATAAAGGGAAAGTTTGTATGTGCATGAGTGTTTACAGGTACTGTATATGTACACTTTCAATTCTAGCTGACCTGTAATATACCCGTAGTGAGAAAAGGTTTGAAGGAGTGAAAAAAGGTACCTCTTCACAAATACAGTACCAATAACATAATTGATGAACTAAAATTTTTATGAAACTTATACAAACAAATGGATGCTAGGTGTAATGTAGGGTTGGAAGCTTATGATTTATCAGTCAATCATCCAACTCAAGTCCCAACTAAACCTAATAAAATTACATTTACTGGCTAGGAAGCTGAAAGCAGGTGAACAACAGGAAAGAATGATAAAGGGGTATTTAAGAGACGAGATGACTGATGTGCAGAGGTTAAAAATGAAAAATGAAACAGGACTGAGGGGATTCAGAGCAAAATCAACACAAACAACTATCTTCCATAATGGGATGCAGTGTACTGTATACAGTGGCCCCTCGGTTAACGAACTCAATCCGTTCCAGAAGGTCGTTCGTTAACCGAAACGTTCGTTAACCGAAACCATTGTTTCAATGGGTTTTTGGTATTGGTTCCAGCTCACCGAAAATTTCCTAAATTCAACAAAAATGGTAGAAAAGTTCACTTACTTTGAGGTGTGTATGGCTCCTGGATGATGATGATGATGATGATGGGATTTAGAATGGGGTGGAGGAGAAGGAAGAAGAGGCAATGGGGTGGAAGAGAAATCCCCATGGTGCCATTCCCATAAAATTTTAGCTCTCTGGTTTAATTCAAGATTATTTTCTTTAAATCAGCTGCACTGCATTATATATTGTCAATATATAAAATATATTTCAAAATGACCAATATGCTTGGAAACACAGAAAAAAGCGTTTAGTTGAAGAGAGTCTCAAGCAAGATGTTACCTCCAGTGAAAACAAGAGAGACTGACGCCTGTTTGCTGTGTTAAGAGGCTGGATGCACGCATTAAACTAGTCACTTTACTAATTTTGTTCAATAATTGTTAAAATGACTAAAAAATTGAATATTAAACTTTTAAAATTGAATAGTATAAACTTCTTGATATTTACAAAATAGTAAGGAATTTAAGCCCTAGAACCGATTAATGTGGCGGACTGATACTAAAGCTGGTTGCGGTCAGTGCAAGCGAAAACATGTTGAGGTCGGTTAATGAAGTTAGGTTAACGAATTTTTTTCGTTAACCGAATTGAAGATCCTTATGGAAGGCAGTTCGTTAATCGAAATTACGTTAACCGAGGTGTTCGTTAAGCGAGGGTCACTGTATATATATTTTTTTTATTCATCATGCCCTTTTTTCCTTATGATGTAGGGTGGATGAAAACAAAAGTAACATAGATCCTACACTCAGTCACACTAACTACAATGTGAGTTCTGCTACAGTAATCACCTTCCACAACAAGGTCCATGAAATATAATCTCATTAAATATCATAGTGATACTTTTACAAACATTCAATATTATGTTCTCTTACCAGATGGGAGCAAATCTTCAACTTTTCCTTGACTGAGATCAGAGTCTTCACCTCCTGATAAGTCTGTATCACTATCTATTTGAACAACTTCAGGTGGAGGACTTCTAATCAACTTGTCTTTCCTTTCTTCTGAAATATTGAATATTACATAATCTAAACTTGAGATATAACTATTATCTACTAATTAATAATAATGAGGAAATATAAATGATATGTAATAATGGATATTTAGCTTTCTGAGTTATGGTATATACTTATGATATGTGATCTGAACATGAATTGTAATAGAGACTGCATTGATTACCCCTCAATCATGAAAAAATAACATTAAGGTAAACATTTACTTCAATAAATGATATACTGAGAGGAATAAACAATGAGGGATAATCAAAATAACAAAAAGGAATATCACATACCCTGTTTTTTAGCATCACACACATAGAATTGTCTCACTGCAGTTGACATTTTGATATTTCCCCAGTTGACAAGTTGGTGTGGTCGACTAAAAACCTACTTGTTGACAAACCTGCCAAGTGAATATATAACATAAGAATAGTAAACACATCAGAGGTTAAAGAGTAGAAATGGGTGAATGTAGCAGAAGAGGTAAGGATAATATTCCCAAGCTAGTGATTAGGGAGCAAGGGATTATCATACTAATGTGTAAGGTGTGCTTGTCTAAGGTAGGAGGGCATGTACTGGAAGGCATTTAGAGGCAACTAGTGAAATAATACCAAAATAAATACAGTGATATCTCCGTTAGCTGGACCCGGTCTGAGAGCACTTCCGGGAATGAGAGATTTCTGGGTAACAAGACGACTCTCCAAAAGCGGAAAAAGTCCCTCATCCCCGGAATTTTTTAATTAACAGAAAAAATTTATCGGAAGTTCCACTTTGAAGAATTATTTCATCTCTTAAGCGAAAAAATCCCTCATCTCCGTAATTTTCTGGGCAATGGAAAAATATTCTTGGAAGTTCCAGAAATTGCACATTACATACATCATCTCTCAAACTCAGAACAAAATCCCCCATACCCAGAATTTCGGTGACTGGAAAAATTTTCTTGAATTTTCTGTGCCCCTTGGAAAATCATTCCCAAATCTGGAATTTTCTGGAAAATTCTGGCTTTGGGAATAATTTTCCAAGAAAAGTTAAATTCTGGCTATCGAGGAAGTTCAGGTTTGAGGGATTCCGGCTAACGGAGAGTTTACTTGGCAATGTATTTTTAAACAACTGTCAATGGTAGAAATAAAGTAACATGATCTCATATAATGACAGATTAAAGTAATATCTTTCAAATGGATCATAATACCCTGTATCTGTAAATGTGTAGTTCACTGCTTTCCTGTGTAAGGAAATCAATCTTAGGAACACTATAACATGTGCTTTGAATAATTCATAAAAATACAGCCCAGAAAATGAAGCAGAGACCAGAGGATGGGTAGAGTTCTGGTGACGTGTGACCTGGATGCCATCAGGCATGCTGAAGCACGTTGGGAATAACTGGTAAAGCAGGGCCACAACTCTCTGAGGTAATCAAAGACTACCTGCATAATAATACTGTACATAAATAGCCAGAATAAGTAAACTCGTCTAGCTCCTCCACCCCATCCTGAGGAATTCTACTTAAAGATTTTAAATGGCCCAACAAATGTTAGAATATGTCATATCTGGCTCTAATAAATTTTCTTTACTTATGAAGACGGTAATTAGGTCCAATTTTATCAATTTAGATTAAATTATGCAAGCAATACAAAAATTCAATCAGCTGCTCCTTCTCAACCCAACAGATGCTCAATTCAAAGAGTTTATGTGGACTGACTAAGGTTAGATTAGGTGGCATCTTATTTAATAACTTTCAATTAGCTTAAACTTTGCACTGTTCTGTGTACTCTTTATATTTACTTCTCTTTGCTTATGAGTTCTCAGGTTTCATTTTATAAGATTTTGTAAATTAGGGTTATGTTATGCTGCCTCCTTCTCGGCTGATAGATGCTCGGTTCAGTTTAAATTGGCTGACTGAAGTTAGGTCACGTTTAGTTTAAAAATGTTCAGTGTCAGTATATTAATTTCTTTGCATATTAAAATAGTCCCCCCATCCAAAAGGACCTTTTTATGGAAAGACATACAGTATCTGCATTGTTCACGTACAGGCTGAGCCATTGTGAATTTGTATGACAATTTTACTGAATACATATCTATCAATGAAATACTTAAAGTTTCATCAATATATCGTCACTAATACAGGGGTCCCCAACTTAAGAACGTTTGACTTACAAACACCGCAAATACAAACGGGGTTAAACTTTAAATTTACAGTATTTTATTTACCTGAGGACTTATTTTATACTTTAAAGTTACTGTATTTTTTATTCTATTTCTTTTCTCTTAAATTAAGTGATTTTAGATGTATATAATCTTAAGGATATGAAATAGTGGGAATTTAAACATTGTTCTAAGCCACGATATGCACATTGCACGTGTTTCGACTTGCGTCCATTTTCGACTTAAGAACATCCTCAGAGAGCGGAACTCCTTCGTAACTTAGGACCCCTGTACAATTAACATACTCAAACCATCATTTTGCCCTTTGTTCATATGACATCAACCTTATACGGTTTGCATCTTGTAATCAGCACTGGTCAAGTGATAACATATGGCCTTGTAATGTCAGGTTAAAATACTTTTGTTGATAAAAATTGCTCGGGTAAAAGTTTGGAACCTTGACCCTCAGTGGTGTGCTAGGCTTTTGACGTAGACTTACAAATTTACACTGTACTTATCTAGTGATGGAACATACTGTACTCATACCGAGTTTCACCAAAAAATTCTGTAACTATTGATAAAGCAGTTGTGCTTCAGACAGAGCTTTCACTTGACCTTGACTTAGAGACTTCTTGAACTTGGTATTCCCCTAATAACTTTAGAGTGAGGAACTCTTTATACTTATTCCCAAGAAATTTTGAAGGACAACTTTTGACTTAAGGAATAGATTGTGAAACATATACTGTAATGACAGTTTTTTAATTTTACCTAGATATCATTGGAGCTACTGAAAATCCTTTGGCGAGGTCAGACTGAAATATCACTTGCCTGGCAGGCGAGTGATAATTATGCCTGATATGAATGTTAAGATCTCGTAAGTAGACCCAACGATTTTGAAAGGTTTTACATATACAGTCTCTCGAAAAGTTAAGTCACGAGAGGGCTGATGGATTAACTTTTTGGCATCGCTTTACCCTCTCCATAGAGTGACTCAGTCCACCACAAATTGAGTTGTATGTCTGGTAGCGAATGAAGACGGTGTTTAGACGAGGTAAGCACATTCCATCAGCATCAGTTACCATATGAGAACCATACATGGGGATACTCTTCCATCTTGTCCCCCTGGGGGTGCTATTTTTCCTTCAGTCTTTCTCTTACATTGCTGACAAACAAGTAGGGATGATGCCTTGGAAACTGTGAACATAATCCATAATTTCTGATATTCAAGGTGTTAAGTTGCTAGAAACCAGAGATCCAGCAACCATACAAGATCAGACATGCAAGCTGTAACAAGCTTCCCATTTTCTGTTTTCAATTCTGGCTGTTTTTCCTTCAAGAGCTCAAATTTCATTTCACAGCTTGAAGAGACATTCCAGAACTCGCCCTCTGCTCAACCAATAAACCTCTGAGTGGTAAAAGACGTCTTTGAACTCTGCATCAACCTTTTCCAGAAAAATTTGACTCATGATGTTTCAGCCCTTTGCTATGGATTTCACAACTACATCCATCAAGTGATCCAGCTTCTATGACATATGGATCAACCCTATTCATCTAAATAAGTGAGCTAATAACTGGAGATATCTGTACTTGTACAATGAATATGCACATACAGTAGTAGTGCCGGCCACTATGAGTGAAAAATGGAACTTCAAATTCTAATCAATGTTTACTGACCTTTACAGTACATTGACCATATAAAAATTAATCAAAAAGACCAAAGCAATGACATTACCATCACTGTGTTTGTGTCTCCCTTACTTACTGTTCACCTGCCATTATGGCATAAAAATTACAATCTAATTTAGTCGTCTCTCTCACACTAAAACTTAAGAGTGAGAGAACTGTTTTATTCCTCTAGGGTTTTCACTCTTTTTCTGTGTTCATTTCCTATAATGAACATATCAAAATCCAAATACATCCTAAATACTCATGCTCTTGGGCACTACAGGATGCCTTGGCCTCCTATGGCAGTCCACAATTTAAGTCTTTTATTGTTATACAAACAGTTTACTTCGCATGATAAATCCACCTGCTCATTCACGTGTTTCACCATCCACAACATTCAATGAAAAAGTTATTACTCTTCAGTAAGCAAAGAGGTGGATACGTCTGGGGATAATTTTTCTAGATAAAAATATTGACCTTTATTAAATGATAAGGAATTCTAAAAAGAAAAAATTTAAATCCCGACTACAAGATCTTATATGATTAACAATGACAGTTCACAGTCCATGATACTGTATACTGTTGTCTCAACTCACCACTCAAGTTGTCTATATTGATAAGTGGCACATCCAACATACTCCCAAAGCAGGAAGGCTCCCTTGTTAAAGATTTTCCTTGGAGTGTGCTATGTATCCGTTTTTCAGAAACTGCCAAACTTTCCAGTACAGTCTGCAATGATAAAATAAAATGAAATAAAGCATCACATTAATACTAAAACTCTTTCTTCCATGCTGCTGGGGGAGGGGCTTGATTCAAACAACTCTCTCCTTTAATCCATCTTCATCCATTCACTAGCTGCTTTAGTATTCCCAAACACTAATTGATACCATTTCTTTTTAACTGAGCTCTGCTGCTTCTTGTATGCCCTTCTTTTCACTTGCAAGACTTTTCACCCCATCTTTCCATCTCTTCCTTGGTCTTCCCCTTTCCCTTCTGTCATCCAGCTTTGAATCCGTATATACTGCCTATAACCCCTTCGTATATAGGTTCTAATTCCCATTTTATGACCAAGAAATCGTTAATTTATGATATTCCTCGCTTATAGGCTTCCACCCAAGTTTTTGAGGGTAAAGGAACAACAAAACCTTCAGAGAAAACACTATCCTATAAACTTGTTTTACCATTTATTATCACTTAACCTGTACACTGAAACGCTGGTAGTTTCAACAAAAATATTGTATATTTCATTCAAGTATTTATTCAAGTCAATTAGGAGGAATGTTATTGTAATACAACAGTTTTTAACTAAACCATTCGAAAAGTGATTACGGTAACATCTTTTGAACGAAACAAAGCGAAGTCATTGTTTTCATCACAATTTTATCCCACTTTCCACTGTAATACGTATGTCATTTCAGCAAAAATATTACATTTCCGTGAAGGTATTATATCAACCACAGTATGAATAGAATATCACTAATATAACAGTATTTTAACCGAAAACTATTAAAAATACGAGTAACATATCTTGAACATCGGAAGGTTAGGTAAATTCTTTGTTTTCTGCATGTAGTCTATCCAATTTACATTGAAATACACGCTTCAGCAAAACTACTATTTATTTCTGAGAATATGGAAATGTAATATTTTTGCTGAAATGACGTACGATTCAGTGGAAAGTGATAAAATCGTGACAAAAACAATGACTCGCTTTTCGCTTCAAAAGATGTTATCAATCGCTGAATGGTTTTCAGTTAAAAACTGTTATATTACAATAATATTCTATCATAATTCACTTGTGATGTAAAAAGTTTTTAACTGAAAACGATTCAAAAACACGTGTACCGTCTAGCTGATACGGCAGAGCCCTGGTCGTGGAGGCTTTGTGTTTGCATCGCCCTTCTTAAGCAGCTTTTAATTTTAGCGACGTTGAAATTGTGTTTACCGGGTATTCTATTTTCTTGCTTTATTTTTCCAGAAATATGACAAGATTTTATATAATACAATGTTACGGTATTTTTAATTTACAAGTATTCATTTTTAAAAATACAGAACACCAAACAAATACTAGTATCGATATTTGCGTGACTCTCCGCCAAAAAAGACCAAACAGCTGGTACTTTCCCTCAGCCCTACCAAAAATAGCCCAACATCTTTCTTTTGTTTATTCTCTTCCAATTTCTCACTTTTAACTGGTATTTTTACTATATTGCCTACATCAGATAAACTACAGTAATTGAGGTTAGATATTGTTAAATTTGATTACCGGGTCCTGGCAGGTACCGTTAGAACCACCTGACCCTACCAACAGTGTTGCAAGTCAGACAGCATTTTTTTTTACATTTTGGTGTCTCCATTTGTTAATTTTTTTTCTGTGGGGTTTGCACAATAGTATACTGTTTTACCTAAAGTATTGTAAAACGATTTGGGAAAAGAAATACTTTGTAACTTAAAATTTTAAAAGGAAAATTTTAAAACTGGCAACTGTGTGTAGATGACTTGACTCACATCATATTGATGTTTCAAATTTAATTAACAAAAATTTATGTATCTATAAATAAACTTTTAAAAATGAATACTTATGTTCTACATACTCCTGTGCATACCATACCATGCATTTGGCTACTTGGGCTTGCTATGATGACGTAACTGTACAGACACTCACAGCGGTGGTGCATTGTTGCATCGTTCCATTGTTTACTGGTAGTTACTGGTAAATATTTTTCAACCCTAAACTATTACCCGTTATAGAGTCGACTCAACTTTTGCCCAAAATTTGGTCTTAAAACTCGTTATACTACACGGTATATACGGTATGTATCTTATACCAATATTTCACTTCCCATTCTCTCTATACATTCATCACACAAGATAACCCTGTACAGCTTTGTATCTATCACATCTTTCATCCACATCTGTATAAATTCCATATTCTCTGCATTCTATTCACTCCACATATTCGTCTCAAACATGTAATTTTTATCACTTTTAAATAAGTTCTTTCCTCTGCAGCTAATCTATGCTTTACTCCCACAGAGTAACCTCACCTTACCCACACAAGTGTGAAAAATGGTCATAATACATTTATGTCGGTTCAACAGTTCCTATACACTTCCCAAACTTTGCTTCATTTGACACAGTTTTCTCTCTCTCTAAACAGTTTTTACTGTACATATTAATTTCTTTTCCTTTTAATACATGATGCAATTCATCATCTTTTATTTAAGCTCACAGACACACTCACAGATACCTAATAAACAACCTCACTTATTCCACTCAATTGTCAATCAAAGCTAGAACAATACAGTACAGTTTGAATTGAATTGTAACAGTTTATTTAGCCAGAAAAACACAGATACAGAGTGGATAATAATAACAATATTAACATGGCTGAGCCAGTTGAGAACCTGAGCTCTCTTTGAGGCACAGTATCAGAAGCATCATGTTGGAAGTTTAAATCTTATTTATATAATAAGAGACAGTATGTTTATTCTAATGATTTTTTATTGCCTCTCACCATTTCCATATGGTGTCCAAAGCTCCATATAAGAACTAGTCAAACTTCTAAAATCCAATCCTCTAAAATCCATTACACACTTTTTAAAATCTTTTTTCCTAGGACAGCTTGGGTCAAGAGCACATTCAAACATACGAATTGCCTAAAATGCATGTGCTCATATTCATTTTGATATCGTACAAAATTTAATTCTTTTAATGGCATCTATTAAGCATTCTTGATACACTGACTGATGTTCAGCATTTATAGGGGCTCATTATTGCCCCCACAGCAAAGTATAGTACATGCTCAACCAGGAAATCCCTACTTATGGGCAACTTTTCCCACACCCAGATCAGATTTGCTCCACACTGGTAGCAGACTATAGGACTAGGTACAGTAGTGACCTGAGGTGAGGTAACTCTCCCTACGTAAACCCAAACTTAACTAGTAGACCACTCCCTCTCAATTGACTTGAAAATTAATAAATTTCTGGTCTAGAGAGGTTCCAAGCAAAAATCCAAAGTCTAGAGACATACATCACTTGTAGAATCTAAGAATAATCTGGTCTTGTCACTTCATTGTTATGGTGAGCCAATCAACTGATACCGGTACCTTTGTTTAACATAGCATTAACAGAACATTATCATGTTTTGGTTGTGTACAGTGTACATAATCTGTGCCTTATTTTTCTTCAACTCTGGAGTAAGAATGAAGCATATTGTGTCATCCAATCCTTACTCTATTGCACCAATGATACATATTGTATCTGAGTTTTTAAAATTTAACTAAAAATCCATTTTTTGGATCTACTGGTGCCTGGTTTACAAGACTCTACAAGCACCCTTGATTTCAGTTGCTGTTTTAATGCTTTTTCCAGCCAAAATTTCTTGAGAAAAATAAAATAAAAAAGCATTAAAATACCTTATGTATCTGTAATTCAATCACACAAAGTTAATTTACTAAAATATACTACAGGAACATCATCTACACAAAAATTTACTGACCCGATGAGACTGTGAATGATCCTTATTGGCAATCTGAGAGCTACCAACAGTATTCTTGAACTGTCCAGATCCATCTGAGAAGCCCTCACTTGCCTCTTCCAGTGCAATTAAATATTTTCTGGCTAGGTCTTCTCTGTGTACATAAGTGAATTTTTTTTAATAAAATAATGAATTAATAATTAGTCTTTACAAATACTGCAACATATGCCAAGTAGCTACTACAATTTCAACATCATTTTCAATATATATATCATTTGGTGAAAGATCAAGGAATGTTGAAGACACAGGTAATAATGGATTAAAAAAACTGCATAAATTATAATGAAGACATCAATGTTCTGAGGTATCTGTCAACAATAAAGTTTGACACTAAAAGGCTTTCATGAAATGGATAATTACATACAGTAGTAGATACCATCATGAAAATGTGTCCAAGGAAATATGCCCTTGTCTCTTTGTAGGCTCAAGATGTCACGGAAAAGTACAGACTGTGCTGTATAAGCCTTAATGATACATTTTTTCACACAACATACAACTAGTCCATGTGAAGTTACACTAACACTAATAATATTTATGTATTATATACACCTATACAACCAGCCATTGCTTACATTACATATTCAGGTACTGTATGTTATCATCTTGTTGCTAGGCCGGTTGCATAATGGAAAAGTACTGTAATGTATGGTACTGTGCACCAATGGTTACCAAGTTACTGTTTGTTAAAACTGCAATCTTAAAATTTTGTGAATTGGTTACACTGTCAAGAAATATTTCTAGAAATGGAATGGAGTTAATATTAAAAAGAAAGAAAGAGCAAGACATGTATTGGTAGCAGGTAGGTATATAACAATTACTGTACAACCAAAATACTACTGTGTAAGTATACCACTGGCAACAAAGTGGATATATTCATAAAATCCACTTCGTTCTTGTAAACTTCATTGTCAGAGGCAGATTTGTCATGGAGTAAATGGGAATAGGTTCTAGTCATTCGTTATTCTGTACTATGTATATGCCAAATATTAACAAAAAATGATTATAAAAAATGAAAATGAAACACGGCACATCCTAAAATACAATACAGTACCTGTAGTAAACATTTAAGTAATGCGGTACGAAATAACTGTAGCTCATTCCATCCTCTGGGCGATGTGATGCCAAGAGTGGACGGCACAGTTCAGCCCAAAAAAGCAGCAAAAATGAGCAAATTAATATTGTATGTACAGTACTAACTTCAAGCCAGTGCATGAGGTTTAAAAATATAACAAAATTGACCTGAAATTTATTGAGTAATATCAACCATGAAATTTAAATTAAAAATTATACGAACCTGTACAGTACATCATCACTGAAGACAATTCTGTAACTCTAGTGCCTTTAAGACCTTAATCTTCATAACAGAAAGGTTGATCAAATTTCAAGACTAACCTTGATTTCTTATTTCCCACTGTGGAAGTAGCCTGTGGTGGGCCAGCCATATCCAGAATACAGTCATCATCAACAGTTAAGTTGGAATTCCGGCCCAGTCCAGTTATTATTGACTGGTCAATTTCATCATTCAGAATGGGGTCACCAGCCTTCATTTTAACCACATATCACCTGCAAACATCAAATACTAAACAATGAAAAATCATTTGTACAGTATTTTACTAGGCTAAACACAATAAACATCTATATACTACTGTAAAGGGTACAGTATTAACATATATGTAAGTGAACT